CGCCTTAGTGTTGGTACGCAACTCAAAGGTTGAATATGAACTGAGCAAGAAGACGAAGCCACGCTATTTGGGACCTATGATCATAGTGCGTCGCACGAAGGGAGGCTCATATATGTTGGCCGAGTTGGATGGCGCAATCTCAAAACTCCGGTTCGCCATGTTTCGCATCATCCCTTACTACCCATGTAGCAAGGAGCGCATATTGGTAACCCAAATGACTGGAGTAGACGATGAGAGCATTGACGAACTAGAAGTGTATGAAAATGTAGAACCCGAAGAAGATGAGCCTGAGTGTGCACAAGACGATTAGTGCGCGCGACCATATTTCCCACCCCGTGCATCATCCAATCATATTTGCGCACACGTGCATTCCTCAAAAACATTTAAAAAAAACACCAGATAATATGAAAACACAAAAATATTCCATTAAGTACATACTCTCAGTTTCACCCTGGGTTTCATCTGGTGATATCTTTCATCTCATTTGTTCATATAACACGCATTGCCTGCACATAAACCCCACAGACTCTAGAATATATCAACGCACCACGAAAAATGCTAATACCCCACAAGTACATACTGATCACTACCTTATTTGTATAGCGCGCGCATAATCACCTCTATAGACTTTCACTTCTAACGCGCGTGCGGCGCCACACACTTTTTCTAATTTTCATTCAAGCGTGCACGTGGCGCAACAAGGCAGAGATAGATGATGGAAGGCACGCGAAGAAGACAAGACGGGTGCGCACCCCGCAGAAAATTCAGTAAAGTCTATTGCATTACCTTGATCTCATCTCGTGCTTGTCCCTTACTTACATACTTATAATTTCATTTTCTTAGCCCAGTGAATCAGACGAGGACATGGACATGGACATGGGACAAGACAACACAGGATCTATTGCAAAGGCGCATTGGCACTTAGAAGGAAAACAAAGGCACATTGGCGCTTAGGAGAAAAGAAAAACAAACAAAGGTGCATCTACTTAAGGGAGTCATTGATCTGCCTCTCCAATTCAGCCCACTCGTTGGACATAGCGAAAAATTTGTTGGAATAGTTGAGGAGGTCCGCCTGTTGGGTGCATGCATACTGGCAGATCTGGAGAGTGGAAGTGCGCAGATGCACATTTTCCTCCTTCAAACATGCAGCCTCTGCGCAAGCCTCTTTCAACTCCACCTCTGGATCCTTGAACTTGTCCTTTCCCTTAGGCGCAGAACCAGATGCCAAAGGACCAACAGCGCACACAGGAATATTGCGCGAGGCGTGCACGACCTTTTCCTCCACAGTACGCTCTCCAACTATCTCCACATCCATCTCAGACTCCTCAGATTCTTCTTCATCGTTGACAGCAATGGAGGAAGCGGTCTCCTTTGCAGACTCAGCAATGGGACACTTAGGCAATGGCTTGCGCAGGCGCGCCTTAGGCGCCTCTGTATTGTTGCGCTTAGCTAATCCACTGCAATCAGTGGCACACACCAACAAAATATAAGAGGCGCGATGTAGAAACAACAATACTGTGAGGAACAAATGATGCTCCTGACTGTATCTAAAAAAAATGTTGTAGGTCGTGCATTGCCTAGTCTGCTTGCTTGAGATGGCAAGCACGTTCGAACCTTAAGGGGAAGCGAGTGCAGTGAAGATCTCAAGGTACCTGCTGAAGCGAGGCGTGAGAAAGCGCAGGTGCGCGCAAGGCACGAAGGCGCGGGAACGCGCGCACGTGCTGCGTGAAGCACGGGAAAGTGTGTGCACGTATGTGGAAACAATAGAGAGGTTAGACTTAAGTGATAATATGATGCAAGATAAGAGAAGAGAGATGTGAAGTGTAGACAAAATGGATTTCTACTATGTTCTACTAAGTAGTAAGTGGGTGCAAAGTTAAGTCAAATAAAAGTAAAGTAAAGTGAGGTAAGGTAAAAAGGTGAGGAGTAGTATGTACTGCTGGCGCTTATATAGCGCGCCTAAGCACTGTAATGTGGAGCTGAAGCGCTACCGAGTAGGTATGTAGAGATATATATAAGTAAGGGTCCATGATAAAAATAAGGTGGAATAATATACAATGAGAGAAACAGAAATATATGCACTAGAGAACTTGGAGGACAGTTGATGGATGCATCTGGATGGCTGGTGCTATAGGGCGCTCAAGCGCAGGAAAGTGCGCTGTAGAAACTACAATACAGAGAGGAACAAAAGAGGCTCCTAACTGTATCTAAAAAATGTTGTAGGTTGAGTGTTGCCTAGTCTGCGTTACTTGAGGAGACAAGTGCGTTCGACCCTAAAGGGGAAGTGAGTGCTGCCAGGATCTAGAAGTGTGCGCTGAAGCGAAGCACGAGAAAGCGCAGGTGCGCGCAAGGCGCGGGAACATGCGCGCGTGCGGAAATGAGAAGGAGTAAGCTTAAGTGAGGATATGATGTAAGATAAGAGAAGAGAGGTGCCAAGTGCAGACAGATAGATTCTCAACTATGATTTTCTAGGTAGTAAGTAGTAGGTAAAGTTAGAGGTCAAGTTCAGTGGTAAAAAGTAGTTTTGAAAGTAAGTTGTACTATGTACTGCTGGCGCTTATATAGCGCGCCTAAGTGCGGTCATGCGGAGCCAAAGCGCTACCGAGTAGGTATGTAAAGATATATATAAGTAAGGGTCCATTATAAAAATAGAGGTGGAATGATATGCTAATAAAAGAAATGGAAATATACGCACTAGAGGGCTTGGTGGACAGTGGATGGATGCTTCTGGATGGCTGGTGCTATAGGGTGCTCAAGTGCGGGAACGCGCGCGCGCGCGCATATACATTGCGAAGCACAGGAAAGCTGCGCCTCATATAGGAATAGCTGTGGACAGTACACAGAGTGGTGCTGCGAGTTTGTGCTGTATACTCCCTAGTGGGAATTGCCATATCATGCCATGAGAGGCATGATTCTCTACAGCACACGCATATACATCGCGAAGCATGCGAATGGTGCGCGCATGGCGCACATTGTGCGGGAAAGCTGCGCCTCATATAGGGATAGCTGCGGGTAGTGCACGGAGTGACACTACAAGTTCGTGCTATGTACTCCTTGGTGGCAACTTCCATATCACGCCATGAGAGGCATGAGTCTCTACAGTGACTTACAGAAAGTGCAGGCACACTTGGACACATCACAAGGAGGGCAGCGGCAGCCAGGTGCGCCTCCCCAATCTATGTCCTTGGTGATGCAAGCACCACAGCGCCATGCCTTGACCACAGACATGCGCCCGACATGAGGCTAGCGCAGCCAAACACGTTAGTAGAATAGTGCGATAGCAGGAAACAGAATGCGCACCTGTTTACTGGCATCAGTACCAGACGGGTCAGTGGCGCGCATCTCGACCTCAGGTGTGCCACTTGCTTGGGAGGCGCCTCAGGAACTGCCTCTACCACCTTCACCTTCCATCCCTTCACAATCGCCTCAACATCCTTGCAAGTCTTCCACCCCTGCCTCAGGAACTTAGAGCTCTTGTCATCCAAATCGAGCACAACGCCCAATTCACCTGCGCACACGGAACATCCATTCAAGGTGGTCTAGAACCATTAAATCCCAAAGAGATCAGACAAGTAAGCACACTCACCAGGACAGAGTGCCACTCACACAACAACATCTCTTGATCCTCGAGGAGCTCCGGCTTGAGATCAGGCACCGACATCACACAGCCCTCCAAGGAGACCAGGATAGAGGCCCAAGCAGTGGAGAGGCGATTGGTATTGGACTCCGCACTAGCATCAGCCATAGGCGCGTCCTCATGTGGTCCTTGCACCACAGGCTCAGGCTCAGCGGATGGAGAAGAGTTCAGCATAGTGATGTTGAAGGGGGCCATGATGAGATTGATAAGAAGGAAGTCAAGAGATCGCGAGAATGCATCCATCTTCTTATCAACATCTCCCCCGATTACATCATCGATGCTCGCGATTATCAAAGGATGACCCTACTCTCGCAATCACCTGATCCCTGTCTATCACCACTTCCCTAAGTCCAAGATCCCACGCTATAGCACTGAGTGGGGACACTCAGAATGTAAGTCTGCAGGAGATGTAGAGACTCGTGCGTCTCAATGCCGAGTATGCGGCCCTTATCCACACATTCCTATGTGATCCAGCTCTAATCCAAAAGGACCAGTCTAGCGCGCCTTACCTGCGCTTGCACGCGCATTCGTGCACCTCCTCCTAGGTCTTCGCACTACTGTCCATCCATTCGTCCCATGTCCTTGCTGATTCGCTGGTGCGTTATTCTTATCTCTTTCATTGAACTAACAAAATCTTTGGTCCGGCGTCCACATTTACTTATAGAAATGAAAGCTGTGACGACTGTGATGTTGATGAGTACGATACCCTTGACTACAAGAACTAGATCTACGGTTAGTAAAGCTCTTTGACATGGCCTACATGATACTAGTGACACTAGCCTATGATCAACCACAAACACTATCACAGAAAGTATCAACTAGTGCTATCCTGGGTGTCTCGTATTCACAAATACATATATGTAAATATATTCACGGCGGACAATCCATGCGACTTGGAAGCGCCTATACTAGTTATCCATCCCTACTTGAAAACCCTGACTGCCAACTGATGGCAAAGTTTGAACTCAGATAATCACATGGCTGACTCTTGTTCGCTCGCTCTACTCGCAACCGCAGACTCAGAATACTTTCTCATACGTCTTCATACTATCTCGAGTCATCAAATTGAAACAGCAGAATTTGTATGGAAGTAGTGTTGCCCAACTTTGTTTGTGCTGAATAGAGCGGAGCCTCGCTTGAAAGGAGAGCTCTCGGATAGTAGGTTATGCTGACTACTTGAATTCCTGAAATAGATTTGAGCTTGTCACTGAACTTTGCGTAAAGGTAAACTTTCCTAGGTCGTCATTTTCCTGACAATATCTAACTGCTCACTGTCAGTCAAACTGCACCAAACAGTGTAGCCGAAGGGTACTATTTGAGTCGCAATCATGCTCCTTCCTCGCCCCAATTACTTCCACCTGCCATGTCTGAGGCACAGGAATCTCAGTGCAGTCAACATCGTAAATCAGTCGATGCCCTTCAACTGGGTCCCAGGAAAAGACTGTGGGTATTTCTATCTGCAGAAATTAATTGCCACTGATGATCACAATCTTATTACAGGAGCGCAACTGACCCGTTGGTACACTATGGCCGTCATTCTGGGCAAACAATCCACGCTCTCTGCAACTTTCAAGCCCTTCTTACAAATGGAATTTTACGGATGGGAGAATTGGCCGAGATTCCAGAGGAAAACTTTACTGCAGAGTACGTCACTTTTCTGCAGAGTTGTACGCATCAAATTCAACCTTTTAAGGGAACGGCGCGAGCATCATATCTTTCAAGAGCTCCTCAAATCTGTGGCAGGGCTGGAAGAGCGCCTGTTGCAAGGTGGAGATGATGAAGTTGATGCTGTCGCTGAGTTGGCAAGTATCTCAGTTTTCTATGTCTTCAACTTAGCCTCTCATTTTACACATCATAAGTTCACCAAAGGTGCATCTGGAGCAAGGGGTGACAATACTAAGAGCCTCAAAGGCAGTGTCCTCAACTGGATTACTCCTAAGGGGCAGAGTCTTGTTCCTCCTCTTGCTCACAACATGAAAATCGATTGTGGTTTCCATCATGAACGGACAGGTGCCTTGCTTTGTCCAGCTGGCCTCGACTGGTCTAATGCAGAGTGGGTATCTCATATGTCTGTTTCCTTGACATACATACTAAAGAAATACAGGACAAAAACTAAGCTACAAAATGGCGAGATTATCGTGACCGGAGATCAGTGGCCATTGTTTCTGTATGCTGACTACCATTACGACCCTGAGGATCCATGGAATGGTCTGTTACGAAGTGCCTTATTAGTTTCTCTACAATACCAAACTTCGCAATGTTTTTTTTTTCATTCTAACCAAAGTCACAGGCATATAAACACGTTTTCACGTCCCCCAGCTCCATGGATAAAGAACCAAAGGCCACTTGTTCAGGTTAACCTCATCTCCTGTGTTCTCACATACGGACATGGTCACTGACTCGGAAAGGTTCTACAACTCCATTTTGGAGGTGTTCGAAGACCTGGATGAGAAACAAGAGGTAGATGACCTAGTTGTCTGGTGGAATAGGTGATTGAAAACTCGACATCTCTATTCTGAGGATACTCATGTTTTTAGGCAAATTTTCCCTTCGTACTCGATGCAACGGGGGTTGCCGGTGGGATGGGAGTAGCGGACAGGAGGAGCAGGCAGAGGGGTGCCAGGGGTCTCGGCGGTCCCAAGGGTCCCAACCACACATAGACATGTAGCACGACACGCGTTAGACGCATTCCATTCCATTCAGTCCAGTCTTAGCAGCCTGAGGTTCCTCCTCCTCTCTTGAGCATAGGGTAGAGCCGGGTCCACCTGGTGATGAGAGTGGGACAACGACCTATTGCATGACGGAATGAACGTTGCCAGCAGCAGCCGAACAAAGATCAGAACCAGAATCAGACCGACTCACCATAGAAGACATTGCTCGCATACGACATCTCACATCTCAAAGTTTCCTACTAACCAACACTCAAACTCCTTCGCCTGCCTCACCAGAATACTACAGGCAGGGAAACACCTACAGAACAGATCTAACAACTCCCCGCCGTCCATGCAACATTTCAGCCCCTCCGCATCTACAACAGTCCGTCCGTGTGGGGTCACCATCGGAAAACGAACCGGATAGTCCTACAACGCGCCTACGTCCAGCGCGGTTCACACCGAACTATCATGTCAGTGGTTCCACCACACCGAGCTCCACATCTTCATTCGTAAATACCAAACCTTTCCCAACACCTTGCCCGCCAACGCCAGTCATGAGCGGCGACAACCCGCACCCAATCCCATTGTTCCACGGCGACTATAGGGAAAAAGAAGAGCCATCATTATGGTTTGCGCAGTTCCAACTATCCCTACCAGACAACTACTCTGACGTACAACACGTACGACGGCTCAAGATGCAGCTCGCACCAGGGAGCATAGCAGATCAATGGTTCGATGGCATCTCAGTAGCCTGTAGCTCGTTTAATCAGTTACAAGGGGAATTCATGATAAGGTGGCCGCCGCCAAAGCCACCCCAGTATTCACGAGCACAGCAGAAGGAGCGCGTTATGGCGCAGGTGCTGAAAGAGGAGGACATTGGAGTATGGCTACCAGGAGAACCCACGGGCAATTACGGACACATCACTTGGGCCAACAAAGTGATGCACATCGCCATGGGTATGGGCGACAGCACAGGACTCTTGGTGGAGTACGCACTCGAAGGAATACCCAACGTACTCAAGGACCACATGACATGTTCTTACGCATCGTGGCAGGAATTCCTTCAAGATGTAGAGAGCGTACCAGCGGTCAAACTGAAGAGAGCTAAGGAAGATCTGAACATGAACCGAACACGAGACACTGACATTGCACAATTGAAAGCTCACAATTCGTCAGCACTCAATACACTTCCCTTCCAGTTTGCGCAACTATCCATGGACAGCGGGCGCTCTCCACAACCGTACTACCAAGCACCACGCGCATATGCCAATCCTAATCCATTCCCCCAGCTACCTCCAAATAACTCGAGCACTACGTTAACCCAAGGAATACCTCTTGCACCAATGAGCAGACCAATACGGAACATGGGAGCAGGGATTATGGGATGGCGAGGCAGCCCATTCACACGCGCAGCTCTTACGAGAGCACAAATCATGGAGAAGTTGAATATGGTACCGCAACGTCAGAACACGGAGACAGGAATGCGCCAATACAAGGCAGATGTGAACACATGGCATCGCATGCACGGTGTAGAAACAACAATACTGAGAGGAACAAAAGATGCTCCTAACTGTATCTAAAAATGTCGTAGGTCGAGTGTTGCCTAGTCGGCATTACTTGAGGAGACAAGTGCGTTCGACCCTAAAGGGGAAGTGAGTGCAGCAAAGATCTAGAGGTATGTGCTGAAGCACAGCGCGAGAAAGCGCAGGTACGCGCAAGGCGCGGGAACACGCGCGCGTATTAGCGCGAAGCACAGGAAAGCGCGCGCGCGTATGCAGAAATGATAGACTATGCTTAAGTGATGATATAAAACAAGATAAGAGATGTGAGATGTGATGTGCTAATGAATAGGTTTCTACTGCGACTTTCTAGGTATTAAGTAGGTAAGTAAAGATGGGTGAAAAAGTAAGTGAGTAATAGTATGTACTGCTGGCGCTTATATAGCGTGCCTAAGTGCGGTCATGCGGAGCCGAAGCACTACCGAGTAGGTATGTAAGGATATATATGGGTGAGAGTCCATGATAAAAATAAAGGTGGAACACTATGCTAATAAAGGAAATGGAAATATACGCACTAGGGAGCTTGGTGGACAGTGGATGGATGCATCTGGATGGCTGGCACTATAGGGTGCGCAAGCGCGGGAACGCGTGCGCACGTATACATCGCGAAGCGCGGGAATGGTGCGCGCATGGCACGCATCGCGCGGGAAAGCTGCGCCTCATATAGGAATTGCTGTGGACAGTACACAGAGTGGTGCTGCGAGTTGGTGCTGTATACTCCCTTAGTGGAAACTGCCATATCACGCCATGAGAGGCATGAGTCTCTACAACGGCACTGAGGGAATTCCATCTATAGAACGTCCATATCCACTGCGCCCAGGTACAGCAATTGTCGGATCGGGAGAATGTTATACCTGTGGTATGGTCACGGAACCAATGCATCTCAGCTCGCAATGCACTGCAACGGAGACATTACGGCCTCAGGAGTCAAGATGGCGCCAACACATAGCAGCAATGTTAAGGCGAGCATCTCCCACGCAGACGACGACCCCCGCGTACACAATAACGCATGCCACGCAGACAACGCACCTGTACTATCAGCAATACGGGAATCCGCTATCACCACCCGTGTTCACAGTACAAGAGGATCAAGGCTGGTGGGATCACACCAATGCGTGGGCGCAGCAGGAGACAGGATATGAGTGGGAGCCGGAAAATTATGGGGGACCTCTACCCAACGTGGAGCAGTAGCAGTCCCCCAAACACAGACTCCATCTACGTACATTCAATCGCCCGCAAAACTGACACATACGCTACCTACTGTACATAATATTCCTACATCTATGCCGTCACCTTTCTCTCATTCTCACCTAGAACACACTGATGATATTAGCGCAGAAGTTTCATTATCTCCTTCCAAGTTAGACGAGGCAGATCCTATCGTCGCTATGGCAGACTCTTCCCCGGTTGTACCGTCTCTTACACAGAGCAATCCTATTACTGATGTTTATATGGTGGATGCTTCAGGAAATCCCATTCGAACAAGGACGAGCAACCCGTTCTTGATGGTCCCAATTCTACACGGACCACAAGGAGAAAAAGTCCGATTTTTAGCTATAGTTGACAATGGCGCGATGATCAACGCCATCGATACGGCAGCATTTCAACGAATAGCACGACGACTCACTCCGCTAAGTCCTTCGCAACGTACACTACGAATGGCTGATGGATCATTAGTACCTTCAACAGGCGTCTGGACAGGACAGGTCTCATGGGGACCCTTACAATTAGAAGCTTCATTCGAAGTCTTCCCTAGCGGAGGATTTTGGCGTATGTTGATAGGAAAACCATTGCTTGAACAGTCTCAGGCCATGCAGGACTACGGCAACGATTCCATCACGTTCGCATCTCAAGGATCGCAACACCGAATAAACAACCTAGCACCGTTCCAACCATTACCACTCCCATGCCTTCCAACTGCAATAAGTTTCCCAACTGCAACTAAGTTTCATTCCCCCTCTCAAACGTCCGAAGAATCCACTAATGTCACGAATATAGAAATACCATCGCAGCAAGATAAGCATAATGTATTGCACACGGAGGACACGGAGGACAATGCACTCTTAGGTGAAGTACTAGACATTGCGCATCCCAATCCGTCAAACGATATGTTCACCAGATTAACCTCTCTCGGACCGTTCTATCCACCATGGGTGGAGTTGATTGTGAACACCGTCCATTACGGACCACAACTTACGGACAACCAACGCCATATAGTACGGAATCTAGTTACGGAATTCGCTGACATATTTGCATTGTCAACAAGGGAAGTGAAACAGGTCGATTTTGTTAAGTTCCGGTTGTCGATACCTCCAGATGCAAGATTCTCCAAGAAAGTTCACCAATGCCCACTAACACAACCACAGTGAGAGTACTTGTTCCCGGTACTGGATGAGATGAGGAAGGCGGGGATCACCCGATTCATACCATCGGATGAAGTCAAAGTGGTAGCATCTACGGTACTTGTGCAGAAGACTCACTCGGGCACCAGTTTATCACTCGACGATATCCGGCAGATCGTTAATCAACAGTGTATAGAATTAGGTGAGCCGCTGGACCCTAATATCGATCCGAACTCAACACTGGATAGGATACTGGAACCTGTTGACTCATCGAAAGTGAAATGGCGAATCTGCCAGAACTTTAACGAAGTCAATAGGGTATCTAACGTAGCACCCACACCGCAAGGAGATATCAACGCGAAGCAACAACGATTAGCGGGACATGAGTACATTTGCGTCCTCGATTTCACAGCAGGATTTTATGCAATTCCGGTAGAGGAAGAGAGCCAGCCATACTTATGCTTTTATACAGAAGGTCGTGGATATGAAGCATACTGCCGGATGCCAATGGGAGTACAAGGTGCGCCATCGTGCTTCAGTGATCTTACAGCTCAAGCACTCCACGACATCATGTTAAAGCTACTCTTGGAACTATACGTAGATGATGGAGCAATGGTGGGTGATAACTTTCTAGAACTATTAGGACAACTATGCATGTTCTTCGAACGATGTCGCAAGCTAAGTCTATCATTATCACCATCTAAAACCATGCTTTTCTTTACAGAACTTGTTTTTGGTGGAGCATGAGTGGGATGCGATGGTATCAAGCCAGATACAGCAAAGATTGCGGCAGTAGCTGAGTGGCCAGTTCCTAAGAATCTACTAGAATTGATGCGCTTTTTAGGTTTAACAGGTTATTTCCGAACTCTTATCAAGAATTATGCTAGGATCGTAGTTCCCCTCACAGATCTACTCTGGAACTTAGACTTGCCATCGGCAGACGTCAAAGGAGCGAAAAGGAAGTATTGACAATTCCTGAGAGACCGCAACCTCACACAATTCTGGGAACCACGCCATACTTGAGCGTTCTTACGACTCAAGCAGATATTAGTATCAGAACCCATCCTCAAGGCACCGAAATTCAACGGCACCCCATTCATAGTTACAAGCGACGGGTGTAAAGACGGATTCGGTGCTGTCTTGTCACAACGTTTCACAACTCAACTTCCCTCAGGTGACACGATAGCCAGAACACACCCGGTCGGATTCACTTCGAAACGCATGTCACCGGCAGAGGAACAATACAAACCATATCTACTGGAGTTTGCAGCACTTAAGTTCGCCTTCGATCACTTTGGAGGAACGATTTGGGGCTTCCCAGTAGAAATTGAGACGGACTGTACCGCCCTTCGAGACACACTGCTCAACGACAAGGCATCAATAGTACATGCAAGATGGAGAGACGGTATCTTAGCATACCAGATAACTGCCATACGACACAGAGCAGGAACTACTAACATGGCAGCAGATGCGTTGAGTCGACGAATGTCAGGGCAACCATGGAAAGATGGAGATGGCAGCGCATGGTCTGTTAGTGAAGACTGGGAATCAGCACACGGCTTAGTAAATGACTTACTGCATCTCGACAATACTGACACAATGACTACAGAGCTCAAGTCACGCTTCGCAAACAAACCCTTGTTCATGGAAGGTAATAGAGGCCATACATAACCTTGATAGCGCCAAGTCAGAGCAAGATCGTAGACGGGCACGGCATAGGGCACTGGGGTATAGCATCGAAGAAGGACGCCTTTGGCGTATTGCAGATGGCAAGTCTATTAGGGCACGACTGCGGTTAGAATGCATGTCGCAAGCAGAAGCAATGGAGATGGCTAGACAAGAACACGCCAACAATGGCCACTGGGGTTGCGACCTCACCAAGCTCAAGCTAATGGACCGTATATACAGTCCAAGACTCGATCGATCAGTCACAAATGCAATTCTCGCATGTCCGCAATGCAAGAACTTCGGATCAGCACAACTTCACGCATTGATGTATCCCATCACCCGTCGCCATCCATTTGAACTACTCGTTGCTGATTATCTTTCTCTCCCTAAGGGAAAGAATGGATTTCACAATGTACTACTCATCTTCAACACGTACTCGCAGTACACGTGGGGCTTTAAGCTTAAAATCCACGGAACAGCGAAAACGACCATCGACGGACTGAAAGCCATAACGCACAACTTCCGAGCACCGGAGACATTCATGACGGATGGAGGATCACACTTCGACAATGGGGATGTACGTGCATGGTGCACAGTGCACAACACGAAACCACATGTAGTCACGGCATACTCACCATGGATAAACGGCTTAGTAGAGAATGCAAATGGGAAGCTTCTGGGACAGTTGAAACGACTATGTAGTCCAAGCTTAGGAGAAGACGAGTATGAAGACGTACGGGCAGAGGATATATCACGCGCGTGGCCAGACCATTTCGACGACGCAATTAGGCACCTTAACGAACGCATCATCCCCGCATTCCAATATTCACCTAAGGAGCTATTACTGGGACTAGTCGTCAATACGATACCCACGTCCGCGTCACACACCAGCAGTGAGCCTTCCGCCATCGACATTGAAGTACACATGGCATATGTGGAACAGCAACGTCTGGACGGAGCAGATCAAGCAGTCTCTCATGCCCACAGGCACAAAGCGGTTTTCGATCGTCGGGTTCTCAAATCCCATTCAGGTGAAGTCATCTTTGAACCAGGTCAATTAGTACAAGTCTATGCTAACACATTAGATATGACACTCGCGTCATCAAGGAAACTACAACCCCGGTGGTCAGCACCAAGACGCATCACATCCAAGATAGGGAACTCATACACCATCAGTACATTGGAAGGATTCCCCATCAACGGATTGTTCCATGCGAGAAGGCTGCGCCTGTTCATTCCACGAGACGACACAGCGCTCACATCTCTTCAAGAGACGCTGACAGAGAGCATTGCTGAAGAAGACTTGCCCAACGTATGGGACCAAGAGCTAGACGCAGACATGGAAGAACCGAGTACGGAGAGCGAGAGTGTGCAAGGCACAGAGGACGAGAGTGGTTGAGAGCAGAGCAGGATCACGCCCCCGGAGGTGCGCTTTAGAGGGGGGGCACATGCAACGGGGGTTGCCGGTGGGACGGGAGTAGCGGACAGGAGGAGCAGGCAGAGGGGTGCCAGGGGTCTCGGCGGTCCCAAGGGTCCCAACCACACATAGACATGTAGCACGACACGCGTTAGATGCATTCCATTCCATTCAGTCCAGTCTTAGCAGCCTGAGGTTCCTCCTCCTCTCTTGAGCATAGGGTAGAGCCGGGTCCATCGAGCACCCAGTATCCTCTCATGAAGAACAGTGCGTTGGTGAGGATTCAGGAGAAGCGAGCACAAATGAAAGAGCCAGGTTCAGTCCCTGATGGTAGTAGCAGCAGTATGTAGCAGAAATCCAGCACATAATAGTTGATTATACCTAGCCAGAGAATCTATGTTCTGCTACAACAAATGATCGTGCATATGTGAGTAGCTTGAGACAAACACCGCAGAAATGATTGTACCCAGCATCAGACTGAAACTGTATGGATATGTTTTTACCAACAGTAGCAGTCCATGCATCTTGGTCAATATATTATCTGCATTATACGACAGATGCAGCATACATCATTTTATTCTTGTCCCAAATTTACCAGTAAGGTGATGCTAGACAACGAGTAGTGAATACTGTGCTGATCAGACACAACCTCCATCTGTTTGATGTCATTTGTGTGAGTCACAAAGACAGTGATTCATTATATTTATATATACTAATGTTGGTGAAGCATCACAATTGCAAAGGACCAGCACACCTTTATGATACTATGTCTGTTTGATGTCGTTCCATCTGTTTGATGTCATTTGTGTGAGTCACAAAGATAGTCATTCATTATATTTATAGATACTAATGTCGGTGAAGCATCACACAGTCATTCATTATATTTATATATACTAATGTTGGTGAGGCATCACAATTGCAAAGGACCGGCACACCTTTATGATACTATGTCTGTTTGATGTCGTTCCATCTGTTTATGTCATTTGTGTGAGTCACAAAGATAGTCATTCATTATATTTATATATACTAATGTTGGTGAAGCATCACAATTGCAAAGGACCAGCACACCTTTATAATACTATGTCTGTTTGATGTCGTTTGTGTGAGTCACAGAAGAAGCCATCCATTGTATATGTAGATATATATAGATACTAGTGTTGGTGACTGCATCATAATTGCCTAATGCACATATATGGCAGTCAGTGTATCAAGCTTGACAGTGAAGTTTCATCCCTGCATATCTTGCGGGTTCTGCCATGTCCATCCTACCATGTAAAGCTTGACAATGGGACCTATCATTATTGCACTTATTGTAGCAATTTTACTTATGATAATTCTTTATATATCTATACAATTTCGTCATTGAATGTCTGATGCAGATGCGAACATCGCCATCTTGCCGTCCTTCAGAGAATACATCACCGTCGAAAGCTCCTGCATGACTTTGCGTTTCGAACAATTCTGTTCTCATTGGGGAAGTCTGAGAGCTAGGAGTTGGTGGTTGCGTGTTCATAATATCTTTGACAATCGAAGCAGAGCGGGAATTTGCTTCCAAGATGTGTGTCGAGTGGTACAGAATCACGTGTGCCCTCCTTCTTCAAGCTGAGTGTAATGCGTGACATCATTACGACCTTGTGAAGGAACATGGTCGAGGATAAGAAACTCATGATCTGCGTAAATCGGACTCACCGTTAATCTGCAAAATTTATCCATCGATGTTTGAAAATCAGCTCCTGGATTACCAATCCACCACACTCACATAAGTTCAAGTCTGAAAAGAATTTCAGTTTTAGAGCATGTCAGTTAGCCGTGCCGCACGACACATAGAAGACGTACTGTCCAGTGATGTTCTTCAAGCCCTCTGGAGCCCTCACAACCATGACGGTAAAGATAAGGTTTATGGTACACATTACACTGTTAAATTAAATCATATAAAAGTCTGCAATTATTCGATCCAGGAGCGTACCTGTAGAATAAAACTCCATCTGCAAACAGCGTGTGGACGATATGCCCTGCTTCCTTATTTTTTATCGAGGGCAATGTTCGGTTCAAAGTCAAGGTAAAAACGACCGTGTCATAGAGGAGAGGGACCCATGCCCATGAGGATGCAAGACTCTTTCTGAGTTCACTTTCAGTACTCCACGAACTGAATTAAAGCATGGATAACATACACAGAATTAGAGAATTCCATGCTGACAAGCTATGTGAAAACCGTGAGTAGATGAGATAACAAGCGTCCAGATAGATGGGTTCACAATGTATAAAAGAGGAGTGAGGGACAGCTGATCGACAGATTAAGTGGACCCGAACTGCAGGTCAAACGACTTTGATACTCACCTACGCCGTGAGACAACAGCCAAGCGCCAACTGCGACCCAAACAAACAATAACGATGCTACAAGGATCACAACACATCTGTTGTCGTGGTACATAGCTCGAACGCTGATGGATAGGGTTTGAGAATTGTGCATGGTGATAACTAGTACATTTCGATTGAGAGCTCACCGCAGGAACATCATTAGTCCCACAACTTGAATCCCAACTGCAGTCATGGCCCCCTCGTACCGAACGAAATGCTCGCATCTATGCGCCTGTCACAACACACTGAAGCTGAGAATTGTATGTCTTACTTCTGCATTGCTCGTTAGGTTATCTTCATCAAAAAAGAACAGAAAGTATACTAACTATGAACGACCAAGAAGGCAGGCTATATGCTTCATGATAATTAAAGCACTGGTCGGCTCGACAGGTATCCAGAACTTACCAACAAGGTTCACGATGAAACCGATAGGTGTGAGGTACCGATTCTACATCGAAGTAAGGCAGGAAACATCATTTTCGGCCCATTGACGTACGAGCAAGAATAAGAATGTCACTGAAAATTGATGTCACCACCAAGAAAATAATCTATGGGCGAGCTTACAGAGGTTCTTCGGACGACCCCATATCATCTCCACCTGTGGTAGGTTAGCCGATGGGCCAGAAAAATAGTAAAGACAGACCTCGTCTGCAAAAGTGATTGTATGATCCCACACCAGAATTGTGAAGCCAAGGACGCCAACAGCCTATCTCCTCAGCCTAAATTATTGTATGTGTATTTGATAACCTACAACAGTTTGAGAACTGGTAGGAGTGGTGAGGAAACCGAGGGACATAGCACGAGACATGACTCTTACGCTTCCAGCGCCTCGCTGATGATTTCGGCGTTCAGTGGGAGCGACATTGTCAAAGTGGCTCTTGGACCCAATAGTTGTGCTATGAACAGAAGGGCAAATGGTGCCGCTGATCCTAAGAAAAGAAAAAGGTACGCGGGGGAGTCAGATCAGCGAAACCTCGCTGCTCATAAATATGTACATACTTGTATACTTGTGATGTCCCCGAGACGTGGATATCGGACATTACCGCGACATAGACTTTGCCAAGATACCAAGCGTCAATGAACCACGATACTTGATGCTTGATGCACTGATGATCAAACGACAGCTGTGCTCAAAATGCGAGCGATGCTACACAGCCTACGAGGCGTCTGTAGTTTACGAGAGTTTACGTGATTGCAGGGAAGTCCACGGCAAGTCTGCCAAATTCAAATTCTGTTAGTGAAGGCTTGAATAAAACTTTGTCCGCCCTAAAGTTCAGAACCGGGCACAGCAGAGCAAGGTATCTTGACCATGCGTTATTTGATACCACCCACAGCGGGAACGGCGGATTGACGGAGTACGCCCTACATCGATGCCATCTGGGGATTTGGGTTGGGACGAGATACGGGGTCCCGGGACGCAATAGCAATGTCCTATATATAGAATCTCACTCTCAATGGACAAAAATTGGATGCAAAAAAAGGTAACACGACATCCTGACCAAGAGACTGGTGGTAGTGCTCGGCCACTCTGCGTCGAAGTTTAGGAATAGAAGTTAGGGACAAGAAAGCTTCAACGAGGCCACGGAGTACTTCGATGTCCATAAGCCGTGGGCCAACGAAAAACAAGACATGGGCATCGTACCTATCACAAAACCCTTGGTAGGAAAAGAGCGACTATCTCCATTAGTCCAAGGTCTGCTTAGGGGACACTAGACCGAACCTTAGATACTTATGGGTGAGTCGAGTCAACCTATAAATTGCAACAGCGAACAAGGCTTTCGATAACGTACAGCCACAATCACAGCTGCAGCGACTGATCGTGGGACACGCTGCATTACGATGTCACCCAGATTTGCATTTGGTGCTCAGGTGCAGTTGGCAGTTCCTCGACTGACCGTGTCCGAATCTACAGTGATGGAAAAACACGTTTGAAACGATGATATCTGCGACAGAAACGAGGTAAAAAAAATAACAGAAGGCAGTGAGCCAGTGATTATGACGGAAGTAGGCTGTGTCACATGCCAAGGTACAACTTGCCTGCCGCCTTGTTGGTCCACCAACATTGCTGGCCTCGAGGTTACGGAATATCTGACAAGTCCGTGTATACCGGATCCATTCTCTTGAGTCTCCGCTTCTCACTCGTGGATCAAAAACTCTGGCAATTGACAGGTTCGCGAATTCATGTGCGGAGGGGTGTGACATGAGAAATTGAGCCTGACTTTGTCGGAAAGATGCATTCAAAGCCCCTTGACGCAGCCTGCGTACAGATGAGGTGAATATACCTTCATAAGGAGAAAGGGCCCGATACTCGCGTCATCGCAGTGCTCATTTTCTACTGCTAGCTTCTAGTGATGCCGCAGTCCGGTTCTGAACTTCGGTTCGGACCTGAACCCTCCCGGACCGGACCGTGGGTTCGGTCCTGGGTTCGAAATAGTATAAGGACCGAACTGATTATTAAGTTCAGCGTTCGGCTGCTGCCTGAATACTGTGAACCCGTTCGAACCCGTTCGAACCCGTCTGAACGTGTTCTCATATTCTTTGCATGATCCACCAATATATCTGCTCTGATCTTCTGGCAACCGGCATGTCGATCGATCTCGGGACAATCAATAGCGGATCGGACTTCGCAGCCAAAACACCCAACACATTTCCATTGGCGAGATCTGACTTCCCTGGTAATCTACTCGATGTTCTGGTAAGCCTAATGTTAAACAAATGTTAATCTTTATTCAGACTTCAATGGTCTTTATTTTCAGAACATATTCTCAGGTTTCTCGTTCTGGTACTTCAAGCTTCAACACCAAGTAATTGCATGGCAACAGGATGTTCAAGGTGCGTCATTTTTTTGATCTCTTATCATAAAATTTGGAATAAATGAGCTACTTACTACAGGTTCAATCTTCACCCTCCTTGCTGCACAAATGTCGTGCGCACTTGGATCTGACGGCCAACTCAAGGATGCTAGTGCCATCGATTGGTACAATGATCCTGACGATGACACGCCCATGCTTCCTCCACCTCCACCTCCTGCATCCAATGGCAAGCTAACTGCCTTTGTGTCTCGCTCAGGCCGAGCTGTTAAACCGACAGAAAAAATCCGCGATGCTGGCAACACGACTCCAGCCAAACGAGTGGCTCCAGCGCCTCCCCAAGGACAGCCTGCACCCAAGCGAGTGCAACGTGGGTCCCGTCTGGTCCGTCACCATGATGACGATGACGACGAACCTCCTGCACTAGAGGATTGTTCAGATGATGAAGAAGAGGCCGAAGACAATGACGGGGAGGAAGCTTATGAGCGGACCAAGGTATTTGGAGACAAGGACCGTGAGGATCGCAAGCATAAGAAGAAAGAGGAGCGCAGTGGGGATTTGAAGGTAGTATTTACTCAGGAGAAGGGACGCATCAATCCGCACACCCAAGAACCTGAAGATGGCTGGTGGTGCGAGATATGCAGGTATGTTTTTACTTTTACTTTGAACGTCACACACATAACTAACTTTGTCAATTCAAGAGCCAATGATGTACCCACCAATCAGTGCTTTTTCAAAGGCAGTGTTTCGACTCGCCGCACCCATATCGCTCGAAATGCGAAGTGTCACTTTCCAATATACCGCGACCGCTGCAAAGAACGAGGTATCAAGATGCATGATCGGGCGATACCTCCTAACTGCAAAGCAACCGACGACTTGCAGAAAACGTTAGATGCCTCCCTCACGCCTAAAATTCCTGAATTCACCAAGACCGGTCTAATGGATTACATTGTTGAGCTTATCGTGTCTGAGGACGAGGTGAGTGTTTTTTTTTGTAATCGTGACTTAGGATGTTCATGCCATAGATAGGCATTCCAACTCGTTGACAAGGGACCCTTTCGCCGGCTCCTTCAATACCTCCGGCCTTCCCTTTCAGACAGGGATATTCCTCACCACACCAAAACTCGAGATGAAATTCTTGAACGGGCGCAGCTTGCCGTTCAACGTGTCAAGGAGAAACTTAAGCAAGTTGATAGCAAGATTTCGATCACGTTCGACTCATGGACCTCTGAACCTGGGGTACCTTTTCTCTCTGTCACCGCGCATTATATTGACTCCCCAGCTGGGAAACCTCATGAGTGGGAGTTGAAGACAGAGCAGCTTGCATTCACCATCATCAACGGCAATCACAGTGGGAGCAACATTGGACGAATCCTGATTGAAACTATCAATAACTATGGCATCCGCACTAAGGTTGGATGGTTTACAGCTGACAATGCTACCAACAACGACACAGCAATTCAGACCGTCGCGCTTGCTATCGACCCTTCCGGCAAGAAATGGATTGCTGGGGAACACCGTGTGCGGTAAGTGAACTATTTAATATCGTGATTTATATATATTGATGTCTACTATTCAGCTGTATGGAGCACGCCTTGCACTTAGCTGCGAAACACTTTGTCGAGGAGGTCGCACCCACACCAGCAAGCGTGCTCCTCAAGAACATGGCCGATGAAGATGACGATGATGAAACGACTGATTTCGAGGTTGCCGACACCGCAGGAAAAGCCCTCGCACTTGTTACGCAGATTCGGAAATCTCCCCAAGCACGCACTTTTTTTCAACAGTGTTGTGTCGAGGTCAATGAGCCGAAGCTTGAGCTTTTGAAATGGATTCGCACGCGATGGGCCTCACTCTTTGGTATGTTGGAGCGCACCCTTAAGCTACGCAAAGTAAGTTGGTTTCTATCCCTATGCCCAATACTAACTCAATTTGATCTGCCGCAGGGGGTGAATAGATTCATACAACTGGCGGATGACAGTGACGAAGTCCCAAACTTGCAGGGCAAGTCATATGGAGCATTCAAGCTTTCAGCCGAAGAATGGAAGAAGTTGGAATTGATGCACGACGTGCTTCAGGTATGTGCGAGTGTCCAGTCGAGTCTCAAATGTTGTATTAACCTACTGTATAACCAGGAACCTGCCAATGCACAACAATCGTTTTCGGCGACTCGTGAACCTACTGTATGGCGCGCAATTCCAGTCCTCGAGTATCTCCAACAAACTTGGCAAAACATGGCTAGTTCTTCGAAGTTTGACGACTTTTCATCCGCAATCAACTCTGGCCTCGACAATATTCGCAAATGGTACCACAAGATTGACGAAACTGATGTTTATTTTGTTTGCCTCGGTATGTGTTTTATTTACTATGATGCCCTATCTAATGCACAATGTAGCGCTTGATCCTAACTATAAGGTGGCATATGCGAAGGGTAAATGGGAGCCTCACGACTTCGACGAGGGCATGAGAAGCTTGCGGAAGGTTTTTGACAAATATTATCATCACAACTCCTCGCCCGCTGCTGCAGAGCCGTCTATTGCAGCTCCTGCCTCGCTTGCTCGCCATGGGTCATACGGCCATAGCTGGATGCGCGATGCTGTCAAAACTCGTGTCGCAAATGACACCGCAAATCGAAGACCTCGCCAGGAGCTTGACGACTACCTTGCTGCCCCATTAGAGGATGTTGAGAATATAGTGGCGTGGTGGGGTGTGAGTTTTTTCGCATCGCATTTCCTTGCAAGTTGACTCATTATGCCTTTAGCACCATTCCGTTCAATATCCCACCATCTCATGCATTGCAAAGGATTACCTCGCTATTCAAGGCTCTGCCGTTGCATCTGAACGAGCCTTTTCGAGTGGCGGCATCACTGGGACTGCGCGCCGTAATCGTTTGTTGCCAACAACATTCGAGGCCCTTCAGTTATTGAAGAGTGGGTACCGTCAAGGCCACATTTCTGCAATGGTTCAAGCTGAGTTTGCTGCTGCTCACGAACACTATGCCATGGACGAAATTTAGCTACTCATTTACGGTTCATGTATTTCTTGCAATTTTTGTCAAATTATATGTAGCGTTCGAGCGTTCGAACGCGTTCTGAACTTGAACCGAACGCTTGTGAACGCGTTCATAAGGGTCCGGTCCAGCGTTCGCCCTCCTTGCCTGAACGCGACCGATGGTCCAGTTCGGCGTTCGCATTTAGAGGCCTAAGAACCGAACCGAACCGGACTTCGGCACCACTACTAGCTTCAACCTTGTACTTCAAGTTGTCGTGCTCTTTGGAGTGCCACCAAAAGATAGCCACAAGCCATGATCACTGATACCTTCTGACTTGAGGGCTGCGTTATATCAGGTACCGTCGTAAGTGTGACAATACTGCAGTGTCAGTGATGTGGACTAATCTGCCGCTATGAGTGGTAGCGTTTGCGCTTTACGTGATTGTAGGGGCACTTGCTTGGTAAAGATGTCGTAATATCCATGAGGTTCGGAACCGAGCTGGGGCAAAGCGGTTAACAGCATCTGCAAAACCACTGAAATGAACGCTTAACTTACGCGCGTTACGGACACTTACGAACGCTTACGACTTCAGTAGCGCACTCATGCGATTGGTGGAGATGCTGAACACCAATATAACGCACTAGCATCTGGCTGATAAAACTCAAGCCTGATTATCTTTCGGTGATAAGATGCGATAGCAATAGTCAATACAATTGATCATGCTAATCTAGCCACGGTCTACGCAAATTCAGTACTAAATGTATGGTAGCTCTCTTTGTCCGCAAAGTTGTTCAAAAAGAAACGCTCGTGGCGTTCCAAACAAGTGGCCGACGAAATATCACTGGCCACTTTCTCGCCGAAACATGGTATGAGTTCAATAGCGTGTGTTACGTCTGTAATTTGCACCACAGCGCCCTGCCTATAACGATTACCAGTATTATCTTGAACGTACGAACGCTCCACGGTCCACATTGAAAGTTCGGGTTGTTCGTCAGGAGAGGCGATAAAGTGGAAGTATTGGACGTAAAGAAGCGGAGTAGAAAGGTATGTTGGAAGGTCTAAGTTGGATCCTCGTCGAATTATTGGCTGGAAAACCAGTCGGACCTGTGCGACGCGACTGCCTGGAAGAAGTGATAAAATCAGTACTAAAAACCAGTACAAAAACATACATACTCGTTTGGCCATCATCTCTCATGGTTTCAATGAGAACTGTATCACAGTTGCCGAAGGGGAAATCCTCACTAGGTGGGTAAGCTTGTATCACTCTGCTTGGCATTATGATTCGTGGCTGGAATGCTGAGCGAAGCTGTAGTTGGAATTTGTTCCACGTAGAGAGGCGCCCATATTTGCCGTCCCAGAGGCTATGCTCGCCCATGGACTGGGATGAACGATGCATGAAATCGGTGAGCATGATATCAAAGTCAGGGAGCGAGTATTTTGTGCGAATCTCAACTGGGGACAGAGATTTGTAATCCGGTGTTACATTCAGTTGAAAGGCGGTGAGTGCATCTCCAGAGAGAATGCCTTTGAGGAAGTGGTTGCGGACAGGTCGAGGACCATGGACGGACTTCGCTTCGTCAGGGAGAACTCGGGAAACCCAGGAGAGCGCAGGGTTGGTGGTTATGACATCTTCATCCTCGGCGTGTATAGCATTGACTAGTGATGCGCCGCGAGAATGCAACAGCGCAAACAGGTCAAAGATCTCCATCGCTTCTTGCCGGTTCAGGATCCGCACACACTGCAATGCAAAATCTTTGCTTTGCCGACTTGTCCGACTGAACAGATCCTTACAGTGTGTGATGAGCAAGCGCTCCGTCACATCAGCCGAAAACTGCATCAGGGAGCCCAGTCTCTCCACCGTCCCGCAAAAGCTTTGCAGTAGCTCGAGTTTAGGGATGAAAAAATCTTCTTTCGCACCATTCTTCCCCCTCCTTGCCTCAGCATCAACGATGGCATCCTTGAAGGAGTGGAAATCCGCAAGTGCCTGTGCCATGGACTTCAGTGAGTCAGGTGAATGAACTGGATTTTGTGCGAGGTAGATGAAGTCTATGAGGGCACGAATTGCACGAATGAATCTGGGTGGAGTGGCCCCTGCGATTGACGCGACAATAGTGCGTTGGATATCTCTGTGCTCACGCCCGGTCATTTGCTTAACGTGGGTGACACCTTTCGCAAAGTGGCGTGTCCCGACACGTTTATGCTGAATGGCGAAGCGGGCATCGAGCTCATGCTTGCCCACGGCCTCCTTGACCCAATTGAGCGGATGATCAAAGAAAAACTTATGGCAAGTATGGAGGATTTCAGCAGCAAGGAAGACAGACGGACAGGCGTACTTCCAATCACGCCAAAATGGCATATGAACTCCGGAAAGATAGACGGCTTTAGCCGCTTTCTGGAACTGGTCCAGGTCCCAAGGATCAATTGTTTTGGATATGTCGACAATGAGTTGTAGCGTATGCCGGCCAGTACGAGGGGGGTGGAGTGTGCCATCACCGAATTCCTTTTGTGTTGCCATGGTCAGAGGGGATGCACTTTTACTAGTTGCAGCGATCATACTGGCCTCTGGCAGGTCGCATACATGAGCAATGAGAGGTGTAAAGACATAACGAATATATCGGAAGGGATCCGACATGAAACAGCCTTCTGCTGCTGCGGCCTTGAGATTGGCTAAAATGAGATCCATACATTTGTGCCATAGTCGTGCCTGTAGGATTGTCTGATAGTCCGGATGCACTTTGAACTTGACAATGGGCATATAGCCTACACAGCGCCAAGCTCGTAACGTTGCCTTAGAGCGAACTTCGGAGTCGATATTGCCGATGGTGATGAAGACCGGATGCATCTCGAGCCCACCGGTGACTCGTGTTACAGGAGTTTTATCGGAACCTAATATGATTGGGACTTGAGTTGCGCCCATAGGAAGATGATCCTAGAAAATCCATCAAATTACGACCAGTAGACTGACAGCAAATATACCTGAATTTTCCATGCCATGTCAGCGCTCATATAATCTCCATATTCGCGCTGATCTCCAGCTTGGACGACATGTGGGTCAAATGTCATATGATTAGCAAAAGTTGGATCGCTGAAAAGTTGCTTGACCACATCTAACGCATCGCGCCAAATGAGCTCTATAGGCTGAGATGTCTTGTAACCGGTGAATGCGATTTGAGAGACTTTCCACTCCGTGAAGCAGGGTAGCGTATCCATCCAGCCTATGAGTTGATCCTTCGAAGTGAAAGATGGTCTTTCACGAGTGTCAAACTGTGGGCATAGGATCAGACTTGAAGGTAGGAGCTTAAGTTCACGGTTACCCATGTCAGCTTCAAGAACTTGGCGATCTGAGTTTGAGTAAGATTTTCGACCAAGAACTTCCCCAATTGCCATTCGGCTTCGTCATGAAAAGGGTAGTAAGTGTTTTCCTTACGCCGATATGCATACTCGTCGTCTTCCAGCTTATCGAGCATGTTTTTGCCAGTTCCGAAAATGTATCCAGAGTGTGGATGACAACGACCAGTAGCGGGTATATAGCCAGTCGGATGGTTACCTTGACGAAATGCAGGAGGGAGAGGCAATTCTTGTGGACGTGCATCGGATGGCCAGCAAGTAGACTGAGAATTGAGATGGGCTGTGATTAATTCAATCGTTGGAAAGGCTCCTTGACAGTTGGGACAAAGCCTGTCAAAGTATGAAGGTATGTCTGTTCGTTGAGCAAAAATTGTACGCACATTGTAAGCTTTGCTTTGCGGTATAAAGTTGTATACACTCTGGCAGCACACTGCAAATAATCTTCAAGTCTTTGAAACTCCGCTGACCTGCGCATTTGCTCAGAATCATTAGCAAAGTACTCAGTAATACTCGACTTCTGGATGATGAATACATCCTCTCCTCCATGCTCCCCCCCTCGATCAAGCAGTCCCTCTAATTCTAGCGGAGCTTCTAGCAGTGGAACTCTTGTCGAATCATCAACATATGACCTCGCCAAATATAAAGGCTTATCATCATCCGGAATTCACGTTCTGTCCAAGCAGATAAACTCAGACAAATCCCCCGAATCGATGATCTCTGTGCTTTCTCCAACTGGGTCACACCGTTCTCTCCCCTTTATGGATGAAGTGCCGAGCCCTCCAGATGGCAAAGAGAGCCTATTCTTTAGGCATTCTGATACTCCACCTCCAGGTGCTTCCCCTCGTGCACAGTACCTGCGGGAACGAATGTCCAGGAAACATCAGCCATACCCTCTCCACCCAGCTCCACTAGAGCTTCGGTTTGCAGCTCGTGTAACAGGGAGGGTACGCCAACCAGAATTCACTCCCGAAGAAACTGAACAGGTATTTTTTCTTACAATCGTTCATTCATTCTCATGTTAATTATTGCAAGAATGAACAACTAGCGGAGAGAGGCTTGTCACAATTGAGCCTCGCAACTCTGTACAAGGCATACAAAGCGAAGCTGGCTTCCCGTGAGACTGCGCGCCAACGTCTGTTGACGACAACATGGGAGATTGAAGAGGCCGAGCGCTATACAGCATTCCTTGAAGCACTCCATGTCGAGAGTAAACGGTTCCTGGGGTTAGAGGATGCCAAGTTGGAGAAAATGAGAGAGTGGTTTTCTTCCCGTAACCTGACAGAAGTTGCAGACGATACCAACTACCTTCAAGCTGTCTACGATGACGAATGCGAGATCCTCCGATCTCTATCTACTCAGGCACGACAAGTCTCAAAGATCTTAGGAAAATGTTCCGATGATATATTCTCGGCATCCACAAGTGAATCTACCAGCAAATCGCCCTTAAACGTGCTCTCGGTCGTAGAAGATGAGGATGATTTAGATGATTTCTCGGACCTCGAGGCCTGATAAGATCTCCAAACGTGGTATGTACATGCGCATGTGACGGCTGATCTCCCGCGCTGATTTCATATCTAGTAGATAGCCCTGCTTCTTTGCCGTTTCGCTGTTTCATCAATTTTTCCCGTCACTTATGATCTTTCGTTTTGTACAGCTTGTACAGTTTGTACGTGTTATTACCTGCATACCAGAATCAAAGTGCCCGTTACATCGATAACCGATGACTTGATTGTTTCCTTCCCCTACTACAATCGTATCTGACTTGCTCGTTCCCCTCTACTAATTCTGCTCGCCAAATGCAAGGTACTGGACGCGGTACCAATACCAAGCGCAAAAGCAAGGCTACTGTCCCAAAACCATCTCGGGGATCAGGGCTTAATCCGTCGGGACAGCCAGCCAACGATCAGCTCAACATTCCCTCAGAACGACTACGAATGCCCGACAATATGTTCGATCCGTATGATCGAGGTGGAGGTGGGCAAGGGAGCCATTGTGAGTGAATTATGAAACTGCGGACTCTCGATGCTGACGAAGACATGCCCGACACTTAAGCTGGTTCGATACCGCCACACTTTACCCTTGGGGACGACGGCAACTTTGACATAGACGCATTGTATGGTCAGGCTGGTAGGTCGCCGATCACACTCAATGATGCCTCAATGCTAACAGCATCAATTCCAGGTAGACAGACGCTGACAGACGCTTTGAGGTCAGATCCCTACACAGATGCAGACCTGCCCATGTCGCGATGGACTGGGCATGCGCCAGATCGCGGAGTACATCTAGTGCTGGCATACAAGCCAACTGATCTAACAACAATGCAGAGAGGTGAGATACCTTCATCCGATGTAGTGCATGTGAGTATCGATTCATTTGTTGGATGCACCCTGCTGACGCATTTGACTCTAGACTACAGGGCCTGCAAGGACCGTACGACGTGTGACCCGGCAGGTGTCAATGCCCTCAACACCATATGCGGTTCCACGAACTCTGGTGAGTTCTGATGCGCAAAGCCCTGTCGCCATCGAAGTGCGCGCTGGGCCTTCTGTGATGGAGCCGTCGTCGTCGTCACAGCCTCAAGACATTACGCCTACAAAAGAGGTCCGTCAACAAATTGTATGCAAGGCGAAACATGGGGTTGTTGGTTGGCTTTTCACAAAGTATGCGATGTCGCAAACTGCAGCAGATCGGAAACGCCTCATCAAGAAAGCCATTTTAGATGCAGTCCCAAGAATTTTCTCGTCGACCGGTGAGTTTTTTTATTAGATTCATCCATTACATGCTGCTAACAGGCTTTATAGTTTCATTCAATTCCCTAGTCACTAAAGAACAATATCGTTCTGTATCCCAAGCACTTACAAATGCACGCGGCAAAATTATCGACATTGCTCGCAGCGGTGTACCTCATGCGTACGAGCTATACCGCCCAAGTGGATATACGGAACGGACACCAACTCAATACCGGGTGCATATAGCTACGACACTTACCCGTACAGGCTCGTTGACGGTCATGCACTCGCATCATTTTGATCCGGTATGCGCATTCATTTTCGGTGCAACGAAATGTCTAATTTTCAATTAGGATGGTAACATACATGTTCACAGTCATTTCGACCATTCGTTCATCAAGCACGTCGTGATCCGGTTCATTTGGTATCTTCGACACGAAACCTTCCTTGGCGAATCCCCCCTCACGAAGATCAACTACATCATCGCGATTGCCGTAGCGGCTGTTTACTGTGTACTGCAGGAACAACGGATGCCGATGCCATCCATTGATCCCTTCACAGGTCTGGTCCATTACAACAAATTCGTTGAGGTCATCGCCGTCCTCGATGGTCTTGATGGAGAAGATAAAAAGGCGCTGGAAAGTTTTAAGCTTGATATGCTCGAAGTTGGACCATCGCAGATGCGCACTAATATTGAGGCCGATGATGATGATGATTTACTATACGAGTAGATAACATAGATCAATACAATGATTGTTTTCGATAATCTTGATAACGCATCTTTGCATAAATTGCCTGATATTACCGGCTCAGGGTGTAATATAACTAAAAGTATGCTTTACGAACGCAAACCTGAGCTAGTCCAAAAATGAAATGCTCAAAAGCACTTTAGAGCGAGCGTCGACCAACTCGGCTTTTTAGATGAGGGTTTCAACTTTCTGCGACTCATCATGCATCGACAATGGACGTTAGAAATGATAAGAAAGAGCCAGGCTGTTCCCGAGCCTACTTGCCTCGGCGATGCCTCATTCCAACTCAGCACTAGCGCTCATGAACTGCTGTTACACAAATTCAATGTCTGACATCGGCGGCAGCCACGGCAGGTGACCAAACGAGGACAAAATATTGTGTAAGCATGACCCCGAGCCACCCACTGAAGTTCCGATTCGTTTATATCTGTGTGTTTATCGTCAATCGTCAGTCGCCTCCGAATCTCTTCTGCTCTATCCATTGTCACCATGTTGATTATTCAGTTGGTTGAGCTCGAAGATAACGGAACACGAGAAGAATCTGTACGTTCGGACTTAGAATGACGGGATGAAAAATCAGGATAATCGGGGAAACACTCAGGTTTATAATAGGTTCAAGACAACGCAACGTAGCAAGAACAAACGGCTAGTAAGACCGGCAAGGTACGATGACAGTTGGTAAGAATGTCGATAGTTGTGACATCGAGTAACTGAAGAATAAATAAGCTAATGAGTGTAGTCAGGGGTTTGGAACGGGGTTATTAGGTGGTTGCTTATAACTGTTAACTTCGACAGCGCTACCGAGCGTTACACTTATCCACTAACCGAAGTCCTCACTTGTAATCAATCTCTATTGATGGAGACCATAATATTTTATCCTCACTTCAGCTCATTCCGAATGTCGCTCATGAATGAGGGGATTTCTGAACTAGACATCGTACGTGGCCGTGATGTTTACAGCCTTCCTTGATCCGATCACAATGTCGGTAGCCTGGTACTATCACTCGCTTCAGTGCGGCATTGTCGTGGTCCAGGTGAGATCTGGTCTGATATGAGCAAATATGACGGCGATCCGATTACATCATGGGCCATGGTCTGCCACGACTTCAGTCGTTACGTGCCATGGCAGCGCGTTGGACCACGCCCTAGTCACGATCGGACTCAGGAAGACTAGCCCATTGCCGATCCGTTCAACGGTGGTGAGCCCAGTGGTCATACCGACTTGGATGCTCTCCCACGCTGAGTCCCTGTACTACGGTTGCGACTTGGTTACGATTGGCATTACCTCGGATCTGGCATCTAGTATCTACCTTTACTTTGCGTCGTGATTGCTACCCTTTCACATCCCTACGTGACGCTACGTCGCTAGCCTGGAAATGTATGTGGGATTCTCGCGATGAGACTCTACAGTATATAAGTGCGAAGGGCGATGGTAGGCATATCAACTTCTGACCCCATATTTCCCCTCGCAGGCGACGCACTGATGGGATCATATTTGACGCGCCTTACATTCCTTGTTGCACTTCTAGCTGGCTTAGTTGTGCAAATACAGGCACTCTCCCCTGAATATCTCGCGTGCCAATTGCAAAAGGATGCGGAAACCTCTCCATTAACTGGGTGCCCAGCAGGAACCCTGTATGTGTCGCCCACAGATAGCAGGGCAACTTTCACAAGTGTTCAAGCTGCTATAGAATCTCTGTGGGTAACTGTCGGGATTTTTTTGTCTTCTGTCCTGATATTCCTCCAGGCCACAGACGGGCGACGCTGTAATTCTTATTGGAGAAGGAGAATACTTTGAAATGGTCAATGTTGCGCGGTCCGCACCGCTCACTCTTCTGGTAATCATCACTTTCTCAGGCGTAAAGTTCAATTGCCGAGATATTTTTTTGTGTAGGGTCAACTTGATCCTTCCACTGCTTACGATCCAGCGGGGAATGCTTCTCAGCGCAACCTTGTTCACATTTGGAACAATATATATGTCAAAGATGGACTGAACGATGAGCAGACTGCGACTTTCACTATTTCACCTACCCCAGGAGAGAATTTCGGTAACACTGACTTTAAAGCGTATAATATCGACTTCGAAAATCGTTCTGTAAGCGTTTATTTATCTCCTGTAATTATACATCTGTATAATCTCACTCGATCCAGGCCAACTACTCGATTTCTCAAGCCCTCGTCACCGCCATCAGCTATGCAAATGCTTCCTTCTATGGCTGCACCTTTGCTAGCTATCAAGATACGTGGTACACCGGCAGCAACGCACACACATATGTCGTTGACAGTATAATATACGGTCAAACTGATTGTAAGTCATGCTGTCTTGGAAAAGTCGAGCTGCAGCTGCTGATGCCGTGGCAAGATCTTTTCGGATTTGGCATGGCGTAAGTGTGTATTGATGCATGTGTAAACTCCCTGAGTAACCTTTGGAATAGCTGGTTCCAAAGCGTGATTTTGGCCAACCGAGCTTGTGGTGGTGGTATCACAGCCTGGCAAGGTGCGACTGGCACCAGGAATGGGGCATACATCGCCGATTCCAAAATAATTCGGGTCAGTTTTCTGGTCTGGTGCTCGTGTTTTTTTAATGACTAGTATTGTTTTAAATCCAGTCCCCGGATGCCAATGCTACCACTCCGACTGATTCTGGCTGCTCCCTCGGTAAGCCAAGAACTGTCATATATGTTTTGGTTGTAAAGTTAAGCTCGGATCGTCTCTAGGACGCCCATGGAATGCGATGGCCGTTGCTGTGTACATGAACACCTACATGGATGAGAGTATTCGATCTGCAGGTTTCACTTCTTGGTCTGGAAAGTAAGCACTGTTGTTGGGGGATAACACCGATCGCTGATCCTCTATGGCAGAGAAAGCATTCCAGACACCACTTATTACGCAGAGTTCAATTCGTCTGGTAGGCCTCATGCACTCATGCTGCAGGCGTCAGATCCTTACGCTCCTCATAGGTCCCGGAGGGGATACGTCAGCACGTGTAGCGCAAGATCATATCCTGACTTCCGACCAGGCATCATCCTTCACGCTAGAGGAAGTTTTTGCCGGTATACCAAAGTGGATTGACTTTAATTATGAGTATTGATGGATTTTGTCATATTGTACTACAAAAACTCCGGTGACGGAAATTCGTCAGCAATTAATTGAACTTTCCTCGCATTTGCACTTTCACACATACGGCAGCCACACAGGTCGATGCCGATTCAAGCCCATTGGAGCTTCCACATCTTTGACAGGCGTAACGGATAGCCGTGCTGCATGGCAAATAGCTGTCATCGTCCTGAGAGACCCTTCAACGTTCCTTTTGTCACCTGTCGCCTCATGGAGTGTGACAGATAGTGCTACTACCTCTAGGTTTGGTGGGTCCATTCGCTTTGGTAGAGGTTTCCCATCTCCGAATGCAGTATCTGGCGGAAGTTGCCCAAGTGATCGGAGCCACTGCGCAACTGCTGCTAAAGAGGCACGGACTTCCCAAGAGCCGCCTTCCTGTTCAATAAGAATTCTTTTAAGAAATTGACTACGACAATGAACGTCGTTGGGGCCTGAGGACTCACAGTGATCGTTTTTGCGATTGCAGCTTGAATTCCAAAAGCGAGGAAGTACCCTGCAACATGATCCAAGGCTTGTACAGGGAGTGCTCGAGGTTCTGGCTTATTCACGACGGGCAGCTCATTGAATTTAGCAAAAGCTTCAGCCTCTGCCCAATTAAAGCCCGTAGCAGTCTGAACGAGCGAGTCGAACTAGAGATCTCATCGTCAGAAAGTATAGTGATAAAATTCAAAAGGATATTACGCCACGCTTGTGTTTCCAGGGACCCTCCCAACCGTACGCTGTCAGATTGGCGCATACAATACCAGGCCGAATTTTGGCAAGTTCCTGGGGTCCAAACCCTTTTTCCTGAAGGCCACCTGGTCGGTATGCTTGCAGGAATACATCAGCATCCTTGACTAATTCTTTCAGGCAGTCATTTTGTGGGGCTTGGGTGAGATCGAGCTGCGTTGTGCGCTTGCCACGAGATGTATCGACATCAAGCGCGGGCAAATCAGGAAGCTTTGGGGAGGTAACGAGGAGCACGTCAGCGCCATACGCTATCGAATTTGTAGATCAATAATGCGACCCGGATCATTTCGAGAGAGGAATATTGTCACATACCTGCAAGCGTTCGGCCGCACACCGGTCCTGAAAGTACCCGGCACAGGTCTAACACTCTAATTCCCTCGAGAGGGAACTGCGGAGACTCCTTGATGTCCCGTTTAGGAGCTTCTCCGATCTTGATGAGCTGGATTGGAGGCGTTCCTCTTAATGCAGCTGCTTGCGGATGCTTGTCCCACTCCTCAAATGACCTATAGGCACTAACACACATTCTCTGCTTTACTGCTTCATCTTCAAAATCTTTCGCATTCCACTGCAATAAAGCGGCTTGAATGGCTTCACGAGTGGGATCACACTGCAAAATATTGAGGATGCCCTGTCGGTGACTTTGGTGATCGTTAGCTACCAAACACCTGCCTAAAAATTGACGCAAGCTTACTGCGGGAAGTTGGTGTGCAGACGAACAAAACTGTCGTCCTTGGTTCTATATATTCCCGCCAGATAATCCTGCGCAGATGTAGTAGGCACCTGGCCATCTACGGTGTACCAAGATTCACTGCTTGACTTTAGTAAGATGAAATCAAAGATCGAGGGAAGAGTAACCTAGAGATGTCCAGAATAGCGTGACGTGCGTCGACACTGACGTCTTGCATATTTCCAGTCCTCAGAGAAAGGATATATGCAGCTGCTAGGCCTGCTAGGCCGATAGATGTCTCAAGGGGGCTTGCTCATATCGATCGACATGCGGGTATTCGAGAGAGGTTTGCTTACCTGTGCTGCGTTTCCTAGCTTGAAGGAAGAATCAATAGCAGTGTCAGGGCAGCCACTGAGTTTGAGATGTGAAAGGATCTCTGGAGGCAAATCATTGTCGAGCCAAAGAGAAGCGGCCTGATCGCATGATTGTGAGGTGTAGGACATGTTTCTGCGCCAAATATTGAACGGGAGATATGATCGGAATGTTTAGGAAGTGCACAGTGGTGACCTGACTGGGATAGTAATAAGATAGCAAGAGCCAGCTGAAAGGGTCACCGAGTCCGTCCGAGGCTACAAGAATGTCACAAAAAGAAATATGAATTGTGCATGTCCAACGCGTTGGTTGACAGCTCAGCACGCTCGCCAGGTCTCGGACACAATCTTTGCGAGTGAGGTCTTTATAAATGCAGAATCCTGAAGATCATCATGCGCACTCATCGTTGACTCATCGAATACATATATAGGCTAAGGGTACAGGTATGGAAAAATTAATGTCCGTCAACGTGATCCACTAGCACTTGATCCGACGACCTACCGTATAGCATGATTTGAGCTCGTTGTCTCTCTTTTCTTGCAATTGCCTCCTTTTCTTCTCTGTCGACGGTAGAATGAAATAAAATTTATCGCACAATTCTATCGGGTGCATGAGAATTCCCGTCATCGAAAGCGGAAGTTTAAATGTGTCGGGATAAGCCGCGAAACCGAAAACTCCCGAAGAGGTGAATATTTTGGTAAGCGCAGCCTTTCGTTTACTCTGTCCTCTTCGGTATGGTCTCCAGAGCACTGTCGGCGTCGCTAGCCCGTTCACTCAGGACTTCAGCACGCAATCCTGTAAGTTTTCGGGCTTTTCTATGTCGTCTCACTTTGATTTTCATCCTCAACCACAGCGGCCTTTGCGGTCATTTGCGACAGCTGTGAATATTCCATCTCCCATCACCCAAACAACAACTCTCTCCAATGGCTTAACTGTCGCAACAGAGTCTCATCCTCATGCACAGACCGCAACAATTGGCGTCTGGATTGATGCCGGTTCCCGTGCCGAGACTGACAAAACTAATGGCACTGCCCACTTCCTTGAGCATATGGCCTTCAAGGGCACCAAACGTCGCAACCAACACGCGTTGGAACTCGAGGTTGAGAACCTTGGCGCACACTTAAATGCGTACACCTCTCGCGAGCAGACCGTGTACTATGCAAAGAGCTTCCGAAAGGATGTTCCGGTCGCCGTTGATATCATTTCCGATATTCTGCAGAATTCCAAATTGGAGACTACAGCTGTTGAGAGGGAACGTGATGTCATTCTTCGAGAACAGCAAGAGGTCGACAAGCAGCTGGAAGAGGTTGTGTTCGACCACCTTCATGCCGTTGCTTTCCAGCGTGCGTCTTTTGCTTCGATCTCATACGTGCTGTACACTCATCCATGATGATCTCTTACAGACCAACCGCTTGGTCGTACCATTCTTGGCCCCAAAGCCAACATTCTTTCCATCAAGCGTGGCGACCTTGATTCTTACATCAAAACCAACTATACCGCCGACCGCATGGTTCTCGTCGGTGCCGGAGGTGTCGACCACCAGGAGCTGGTTCAACTTGCTGAAAAACATTTCTCCTCGCTTCCCACCTCACAGAACCCGATTCCTCTTGGCCGTCTTGCTCATCCTCGTTCGAACTTTGTCGGTTCAGACGTTCGGCTCCGTGATGATGCAATCCCGTGTGCACACGTCGCCATTGCCGTTGAGGGTGTTGGTTGGAGCTCACCTGACTACTTCCCCATGCAGGTAATGCAGAGCATCATGGGCAACTGGGATCGCTCCCTCGGGGCTTCTCCTCTTCTCTCATCCCGTCTTTCTCACATCATCTCATCGAACAACCTTGCTAACTCATTCATGTCCTTCTCCACGTCTTACTCCGACACTGGTCTCTGGGGCATTTACCTCGTGTCTGAGAACCTTATGAACCTTGACGACATGGCACATTTCACTCTGAAGGAATGGTGCCGCATGTCTATGGCTCCGACTGATGTCGAGGTCGAGCGCGCCAAGAGCCAGCTCAAGGCTGGCTTGTTGCTCTCGCTTGACGGGACGACTGCTATTGCTGAGGACATTGGAAGGCAGCTTGTCACCACTGGTCGCCGTCTCACCCCTCAGCAGATCGAGTCTGCAGTCGATGCTGTGACCACGGATGAGATCAAGCGCGTTGCACAGAAATACCTGTGGGACAAGGACGTAAGAGTTTCTTCTTAGACTGGAGCTGGGCGCATTCACTTAATCACTCCTTTGTAGATCGCTATTGCAGCTCTCGGCCCGCTCGATGGACTTCTCGATTACAACCGCATTCGCTCAGACATGTCGTCCATGACATATTAAAGGTTAGTTTCATCCATTGTTTGCATTGGATAATGTACTCATGATTCACAGTCACAGGATGGTCAGTTTGACTGTTATTGGGACGCTAGCTAGACGATACGCTGTTCGCCGTTGTTCGTTCCGAGTAGACAGCGGAATAAATGACTTTTAATACCAATATAATTTACCAAGAGCAAATCCAATGGCAATTGATGGCTGTTCCTGTCCATGGCGAAAATTTGATCGATGATTTCACGTGCAGATCATCAATCAATTTTTTGTCATGGATTCTAATTCTAATTAAGCCTATAGATGGTTTGTGGCAAAGACTGGTTGTGAGTCTAACTAACCATGGGGTGAAACATCTGTACTAGCCAATCGACACTATCATGGCATTAATATTGTGGCAGTGGACAGTACGATTTTTAACAGGGATGCACCCGCTTGATAACTTCATTCAATGGCCAGTGTATCATAAAATGTATTCTCTGTATCCTGTCATGAATGATAAAGTGGAAAGAAGGCCAAATACAAATGCAATATACTGGTACATAGTTCGGATCAATAGTCAGATATATACTCGCCCGCAAGTCGAGGTGCACCGCACATGTTGTTGTCTACGCGAAGCAGGGGACGCGCGCGAGCTATAACGCTTCCCAGCCAACTAAAATTGCTTCTGGAACCATGTACAAAAGACTTGATCACTGGTCCCAGTCACTTTTATTCTTCACAAACATCATTACGAAGCCTCCACTTGTGGTGTAGCCAAACGCAAAGTAACTCTAACGCTTTTGAAAGCCTTCCTGTGACTGCTTTTGCTTTTGTGGTAGAATGGCACCCCCGATAGCAGAAACAACTTCATCAATGCTCGTGTGGTTACTACAGCTCTGGTAACGACTCCAGACCACACTAGGGCAAAACTGTATCAACATTTATATTCATTGGAAAGAACGTCCTTTACGATTAAACGGCTGGCTCCCACGTACTGCTTGCCCTTGCCCTTCGCACGGATCCATTCGCGCATAGTCAACCATACGCCGCTCTAGCCAGAGTTCGATGTCAGTAGTTACGGATGTTCATGCAGGCATAATATATATATATTTCAAGTCAAAACACGGTATCCAATGGCAAACCAGCGCCGAAAGGCCCAAACCAATACAATAAATATTTATACATCAGTTCCGCCTCTGGATATCCCTTTGGGCCGATATTTCAATATCCACGGGTGTCGTGAGACATCAGTTAATGGGATGCGCTCTTCAGGATTATATTTGAGTAACTACAAGGCGATCAGGGTCTGTAGATCACCGAGTCACGGTGTGTACATACCTGTGTTATCAGGTCTCTTGCCTCGGGAGAGACGAGCGATGGAATTCTGAGGTCGACTTTAGCTATGCGACGGTAAGTGGCTTGAATTACAAGCGTGAGATAAACGAAAGGATAAGTGCAACAGGCTACTTACCGTTAACGCTGCTCCTATCTTCAAAGGGAGGATTGCCGACCAAGAACTCATACGTTAGTACACCTAGAGCCCAATAATCTACCTTTTCGTTGTGTTCTCTTCCCTCGACCATCTCAGGTGGCAGATAATCAAGCGTCCCGCATAGCGTCATGCGTCTATTGCCGGGTGCGTGTACGCTCCATCCAAAGTCGCCGATCTTGAGCTCACCATTGATCCCCAACAAGAGATTCTCCGGTTTGATATCTCTATGAATGACGTGCTTGCCATGCAGGTAAGACAAAGCATCCGCCATCTGGTCGATATATCTCGAGCTCCGTTTCTCTGAAAAGCTGCCATGCTTGGAGAGCTGCTTGTATAGCTCGCCCTTGCCGGCGAACTCGAGCATGAGGAAGATACGTTTCTCGTCATGGAAGTAACCGTACAAGCGAAGTACGTTGGGGTGCCGAAGATTTTGTTGAATTTCAATTTCACGTCGAATCTGTTTCTCGACACGAGACTGGATGATTTCGGATTTATACAGACATTTGAGGGCGAGGATGTATTGCGGCTCGCATTTAGTGCGGACCATGTACACGCGCCCAAATTTTCCCTTTCCGAGAGGGCGACCGATCTCGAATGAAGGGAGACTCCACTCTCGAGTGGGACGGGCTCTGAGGGTGAGGTTGGTGATGAGATGTCACTAACGTTATCTTCACTCACCCCAAGACACTAGAATCGAGAGCAAGTGCTTCAGCTGCCTCTCCAAAGACCTTTTCACCCCTTTTCTCGTTGTCTAGCTCGAGGCCACCATCATACTTGCCGATGTCAAGTGAGGGCTGGGGTTCTGAAGGAGTTACCTGCTTTACTGATTCGAGCTGGAGCATTTGTATTCGTTTGGTTGCGGAGAGCAGACGGTTGAGTGGGTTTTGCTGTAGGAGGATGGGGTGCGGCATATTTTGTGAGCAGTTTGGCAACATTTGTTTGGGAAGGTTGCTTGGTATGGCCGGGACGAGAAGATTGTTGGTGCTTCTTCGAGGAGATTTCGAGGGCAGCGATTTGTTTGGTGACCGCACCTATTGATGCCATGTTCCGGGGAGACAAGTATACTTCAGAGTGAAAGGCTACGAATGTTGAAGGGATGCGGCAAAACGCGTGGCCGTGCAGTTATGGATTATGGAGTTGGTTCAACTTTTCGAGCCCCGCTCACGCGTCGATCACATGATCGATCTTTTAATTTAATACAGGCCCTTATTAGATTAATATTCTCTTATATATATGTTGCAATATTGTGTGGCTAAGCCTCAAGTTGATGTACAGCTACTTCCATATCGATAGACCAGGTCTCGTGTCACCGGCTCTATTCGCATGTGGAGCCAGGGTCCCGCTCATGACGGCGAAATACTCTTGAATGGTACTGAGGGCGCTCGGCCTGTCAGTAGCGCCGCATACATACCGGTGGCTATCGAACAGCAAGAGGTCATTAAAGCCCGCTGCGAATAGGGCTATGTCCATCATAGGGTCCTCGACCCCAACGGACAAAAAGCTTGATTTTTTTTAAATCAAAAAAAAGAAGTCATCATGTCTGACCACATGTCGTGAGCTGAGGGGGAAGGTTGTAGGAAGCAGCGAACTTCTGGGGTATTCCGCCCTTGTTCCAAACAGTTCGTGAAAGGTGGAACTCTGTTGTGCAAGCAAGTAGATACGGCAAAATCTGATATGAAAATACACCCATGATAAATTGCTCGACATCGACGGAGATCCGAAAATTTTAAGAAGTCGCTGAAATCTATTCTCGGATTCAATCTCTCTTAAGTACTGTACTATTTTATGTAAGCTCGTATCTTAAGATAAGTATTATCCGATATCTCTTCACATAAATATGATGCCACATTCTACAAAACATCGTCCTAATCAACTAAAAAGAAATACAATCAGTCAGAAAAGCTCCTTGCATCAGCCGACATGCATGTGAAATCCATAATTTGGGCGTACAGCTCCTCTCGTGGCACGCAGGTGACACTCCCGTACATGCCGGGAGTGATTGTCTTTCATCACTATCCTCCCGCAATTAGGCCACAAGCACTCCACCTTGTAACGGCCTTCTTCTACGAAGATCCGACGAAGAGAATCCATGTCGTAAACACCAAAAGCGCTTTCGGTTTCAGACACAGCCGGTCTTTCCATGGAAATACCTGCGCTGGTTCCTGGACCCATGTCCACAACGTCAAAAGACATGGGAGAAACTTCGACAGGAGCGACAAGTGGCATCGCCGGAAATGCGAAGTGTCCGAAGTGTGCATCATGATGCAAGTAAGGATGAGCTGACTGCAGGTAATGCTTGATAATCGAGATTGCCTCGCTAACGGTCAGCTGTGGACCGTGTACCGACTGAAGGTGGACAAGGTAGGCTTCAACAAAGGATACCATCCGTGTGTCGACCGTTGGGGGAGCAATGTGATTCCTGGCAAAGCTATCCCATGATCTACGAAATGGTCAAGTACTGACTCAAACCTTAGAGTGATTGGAACTTACTGATGCTCTGTGAAATTTCTGGATGGAGAGAGTAAGCCCACGGAGTAAGCCAATTCTGCAGGCAAAACACCTGGAGTAACATTATCGATGCTGTTGATTGCGTGGTGGAGTGTTAGAAGATATCAGTCGAGTCAACGTTGAGCATTACTTACATCACCTGACTGAGAAAATTCTGGCATGGGCCAATGGGACTGCCAACAAACCCGTGACTGAAGGAATTATCTGTCGCGTTTGTGTTAATCCGGCAGCTCTCGAGGTTTGCTGTCAGCTCTTCCAACATGCAAGATTGCGAATTCATGACGGGTGAGAGGACATGTTCACTGTTCACTGTTCAGAGTAATTTATACAACAGTACGTTCAATTGTGCCGCGACTGCGGCAATAAATGCAATGATCATCGATCGAAGTCCAGCCCACAGCAACATACCTTAAGCATCAGTAATTATACATTATTTTTGCCGAGTGTATGGAGCTCCGGCAGCGATGATGATGCATGACCTGATACATGTTCATTGGTCAGCGCGTAATTTGACGCTAGGCACTATATTCAGGCATTCCTGTGTTGCCTTCTGACTCATAGGCAATGACTGGCGCATTGAGCGCAGTATAGCGAATGAACGTGAAATTAGCGAAAACTGTCTGGAGTAAATTGAAAGTGAATTCTGGCCTGTGTGGCCTTGAGCACACCAGAATTCAAATGATATGTGCTCCCAAATCAAATGCACCGCAAGGTGCCAATCATCGAAGTCAATCAAGATAAATTTTGAAGGAGACTGAACGCCGTCTTACTGGTATTACTTTAGTAAGTGGCTTGCATGGCCACTTGGTCCGAGTCTATCGAGGCGCGTCTTTAGCAGACCGGTTGCCAAAGTGATGCATCGAGTGTAGCACCGACGGAGTCAGCTTGAATTTGCAAATTACCAGACCTAAGTTACGAATTGAATCAAATGTTTGATCCATAACTTGCAGGACTGAAGCTTACAGAGCGAGTTTCCTATGCGCTAATACTTAGAATATATGATTCAAGTCACTGAGACTTGGTACCAGTGTAAGCCAGTGGTGCTATCTTTAGATAATCGGGTACTTACACGTTCCCTGTAGCCGACTTCAACGAAGTTTTGTCAGACCGCAAATATCTGGATAGAAGAGAATTTATCAGTCACCTATATGAACATGCTGCGTACGCCATGACGCACAGAAACCTATGGTAGAAACTGGTAGAAACTGGTGGAAACTGGTGGAAACTGGCAGAAAACCGCAGTTCATCCAAAGTTCATCGATATCAAAACACAAAGTTACTTGACCGTAGCGGCGCGATCCCCGACTCGAGACTCGAGACCAGTACCCTGACGTACGTCTTTTGAGAGGTGGGGAATTTTAACGTACTGGTCGCCTTTGTATTAATGCGTGGTTGAGGTGAAGATGAGATATTCTATGTATATAGTAGGATCAGTAGGATAACTAATATTGAGGGAGAAGTGAGTAGACAAAGTAGTGAGACTACTAGAGAGAAATGGGAGGTCCAGGGAGGGTTTTATAAAAATGAATCAGACAAAATTTGTCGGGTGTTTTTTTTATCCTTGATTATTGTCCGGTGGGGCGTGGCCCTATGTTGGACAAGGCCTCGTCGAGTATTGATTCGGTTCCGACCGTGTGTGGGAAGGTCTGGATTTGCTGGACGCGCAAAGGGGTCAGTGCGCCGCAAGCTCATGGGAGAGTTGCGATTCTCGAAGTGTCGCCCTATCGGAACCCAGATCTCGCTTAGTAAGCTTGACAGAAGCTCTGAAAATTTCAAGGCGCTCCGTCTTCGAAGTTCGCGATCTATTCTCATATTCAATCTTCTATGAAAAACATTAATATTGTCTTCTCTTGATCTAAGCTGGCATATTAAGACTTTTGTGATATGATGCTACGTTCTACATGATGCAAAACATCTTCCCAATCAACTAAAAAGAAATACAATCCGTCAGAAAAGCTCCTTGCATCAGCCGCCAGGCAGTTCATTTGTACGCACAGCACCTCTCCCGGCACGCAGATGACATTCACGTACATGCCGGGGGTGGTTATCTTTCATCACTATCCTCCCGCACTTGGGCCACAAGCACTCCGCCTTGTAACGGCCTTCTTCTACAAAGATACGACGAAGATAATTCATGTCGTAAGTCCCAAAAGCGCTTTCCGTATCAGACACAGCTGATCCTTCAGTGTAAATACCTGCGCTGGTTCCTGTACCTATGTCCACAACGTCAAAAGACACGGGAGGAACTTCGACAGGAGCGACAACTGGTGTCGACGGAGATGCGAAGTGTCCGAATTGTGCATCGTGATGCAAGGAAGGGTGAGCTACCTGCAGGTAATACCTGATAATCGAGATTGCCTCGCTAACGGTCAGCTGTCGACCGTGTACCGCCTGAAGACGGACAAGGTAACCTTCAACAAATGATGCCATTTGTGTGTCGACCGTTGGGGGGGTGACGTGACTCGTGACAAAGTTGTCCCATGATCTGTAAGATGGTTAAGTACTGACTCGAACTTTGAAGTGGACGGGGCTTACTGATGCTCCGTGGAATTACTGGGTGGAGACAAGCCTACAGGGGAAGCCAATTGTACAGGCACAACACCTGGTGTAACATTATCGATGCTGTTAATCGCGTGATGGAGGTGTCAGAAGATATCAGCTTAGTCAACGTCGAACGGTACTCACATCGCCTGACTCGGAAAATTTTGGTATGGGCCAATGGGATTGGCAACAAACCCGTGACTGAAGAAATCATCTGTCGCGTTTGTATTAATCTGGCAGCTTTCAATGTTTGCTGTCAGCTCTTCCAACGTGCGATATCGTGAATTCATCACGGGTGATTATTGAAAGGACATCTTCATTGTTCGGAGCAATTTATACAGCACATTCGATACTCCGGTAACAAATGCAATGGTCAAAGTCCGGTTCACAGCAACATACCTCAAGCAAGGTATTACCCAGTGGTCATACAACACGAGGTTCGCTGAGTGTATGTAGCAGTGTCGACATATTGCACGGCCTGATACACGTTTTGCGTGGTCAGCGCATTATTTGACGCTGGGCACTATTCAGGCGTTATATTCAGAAATTCCCGAGTCGCCATTATAGGCAATTCCCGGCAATGACTCACTGGCGCATTAAGGGCACTATAGCGAAGGAATCTGAAACAAGTAAAAATGCATGGAATAAACTGAAAAATTGGACTCTGGTCAGCGTAACCCCGAGCACACCATTCGACGATATGTGCTCCCAAACCAAAATGCAGATTCGCAAAGTGACGACGATGAAGTCGATCAAGGGCCGTCTTCCGGTTTGACTTTGGTGAGCGGCTTGCATGGCCACTTTGACGGTCGAATGCGTGTCTTAGTACATGAACCGGTTGCCAGAGTGATGCATCCAGTGTAGCATCAACGGAGCCAGCTTCAAGTGGAGTGGAACGTGCAAATTACCACGCCTAGTAAGTTACGAGTTGAATCAGATATTTGATTCATGACTTGCATGACTGAAGCTTACAAGAATAGATGGGTCCATCCTATGCGCCAAGACTCGGAGTGTTAGATTATGCGATTCAGGTCACTGAGACTCACCAGCGTAAGCCCTGCCGGGAGACTTCTAGCGGTGTTATCTTTAAATAATCAGGTACTCCCCTCGCAGCACTGGTAGTTCTTGACTTCATGTCACTACAACATAGTGACATTGCGCAACCAGCTGCTTGCTATTGCAAGATGAGAGCCTACCGTCCCCTGTTACCAAAATTTTCAGTTCCCTGGAATTGTATCACTGCAGGACACGAGTAATCACCGTTCAGACTGCATGTACAGCCATGAGTGAGTCAGCATCAGAAGACTGATGAGCCACAGATATTCATCGTACTAGGAGATTGGCAGTGTAGTAATCGGCACCCCACAAAAGTCGGCAAGTCGCGCAAATGTCACTGTAGGTCACGGCATGTCACATAGGCCGTGAACATATCCGTGCTAATTGTAGCCAGAGGATGGTTTCAGCGACCTTTTCGACTTCTGTGGGGTGTCGACTGCACCAGAAGGGATAAGTAGTATAATACAATCAGGTCAACTTCCCAAAACGAGGTGCTTTCTTGCATCAGTAAACCGGTGAGTTCTTGCTGGGGATTATGCTGATTATGGTGCTTTTACATAGTCATATATTGCTTTATATCACTTTATATTCCAATGTGACGAAAACCTTTCCTATATATTACGATATATAACGATATATGACGATATCTTCTTCTCACAGGTTCTCTGATGCTCACTTGGGGGTCGCCTTCTTTCTTTGGTTACCTATTCGGGTCCGGGAGTCACATGCACATACGGTCGGGCAGGCGGGGTTTGAAAAACAATCGTCCCTTGCTATGGCGCAGCCCTCGGTATTTGATTTCTCATTTCTCACGTGACAATTTTTTTACTGCGTGGAGTCGTGTTCTCCTCGAGGCCCGCCGTTCTGCATACAAATCCTTCTCCGACGCACAGCAGGGTGAAACTGACAAATATTTCAGTTGCTGTAACACATGGCAAGCACGAACATCATGGCTGAGCCATCTGCCTCTATGATCTTGCCCGGCACATTCTCTGATTACGCGACCTCTGTGCAATCGGCTGCACTGGTTACGACTCGTCTCGCTGCTACTACACTACCACCAGACATGGAATTCCACCGTTCCATACATATGTCATTTGCTGCGGAGCTTGACTCACTATCCACCCGAGTCCTCCGACTTACCAACAAGCTCGTGCGACTTGCAGGCTCTGTGGATAGCAGTGCTGTGGGATGTGGCACACTAGATGGCGAGGAAGACGTCTTGGACGGTTTCAAATCCTTGATCGTCGACCCGGTGGACAGACTTTTTGAGAGGACAGACATGTGTTTGGATGATTATTTGGGGACGTAAGAAAGAGCCTGCTATCACGGTTTCCGCTCTACCGAATCAGAGCAACAATACATCAAAGGTACATCCGATACCGTTCAAAATTCGTGACTACTAAGTATTTATTACTGCATAGAGACCCTCAGCCCCCAGAGGACGCCTTGACCCTGCGTTACAGCATGCTTCTCATCTACCAAAGCCTCAACTGCTGTTCAATACCAAAGTGGACAACCGGAATGAGTCACCGTATATTCCCGCCCGTACTCTTGAGCACAAGTGGTGTGCTCGTGTACCGCTTGGATACATATTCCATGACCAAGACGAGAGTGGTAGCATGGACGAGGAAGAAAAGCAAAAGCTGTTCGTCCTTTCTAAATTTGCGACAATCGCTGTCTCAGTTCTTGTAGATCGGCGCACCCCTATTATTATGAGCTTACCCATCCGACGTTCCCTACTCATCTCTTCCATCCAACCCCTAACACCAATCGCCCTACTTCTCTCGCAGGTACCGACGTCTCGAAGCACATATATGTCTCAACTCCGTCTGCTCTTTTGTCGATGGCTACAAAACTCAAAACAGCGAAAGAGATCGCTGTCGACCTTGAGCACCACTCATATCGCACCTACAGAGGATTTCTTTGCTTGATGCAGATTAGCACACGCGAGGAGGATTTCATAATCGACTTGCTGGTACCAAGTGTACGAGATTCTATAGGTAACGCACTCGGTGAAATTTTTGCTGATCCAGATATTGTCAAGGTGCGCTTGCATAATTCGTAGGGGGCAGCTTTGTGTTTCATTTTCTTATGGCTTTTAGGTCTTCCATGGTGCAGAGAGTGATATTGTGTGGCTCCAGCAAGACTTCAATATTTTTGTCGTTGGACTGTTCGACACATATCATGCCTCAAGGGCGCTAGACTTTCAGCAGCATGGCCTTGCGAATTTGCTAGAAGCATTCTGCGACTTCATACCCGATAAGCGGTATCAGCTAGCCGATTGGCGCATTCGGTATGTCGAAATTATTTTTGGCCTCTCTTCTTTCCTTCCTCCAAATCACGGGACTGGATCGTACCTGGGGTGACGCCCTTGGGTTTGATGCCTACGCTCCTATTGGAATCAATGAAACCTATTTCAGTCAGTCTATGACATATCATCACTATTGCTTCACTTTTATCTTCATTTGTTTTTTGTCTTCAAGGTTTTGTTAGGACCGACGGAACGCTGGTTTTTTGGAACCAATTTGCGTGTATCATGTGTGAGCTTCCCATGATGGACTATTCTGTTTCTGTATACGTTATCAACTTTGCGTCACCTCCAATTTGATCCACTTCCTCTCGAGGATATAATAACTAACTTCCAATCTGTGAAGTCCATTACCAGAGGAGATGCTCACATATGCACGCTCCGATACTCACTTCCTGTTGTATATCTATGATCGACTTCGACTCTCCCTTATCGAGCGTGCACAGACCAACATTGCTCCAGAAGCATCTTTCTCGACCGCAATATCTGCTATAATCAAAGGCACTGTTTCCGATAAGCCAGCGCACGTGCTACTGAATGATGTATTGGCACGTTCGACTCGCACTGCGCTAAGGTTGTATGATCGCGAGGCATACGACGCCGAGTTTGGCGTAGGTACAGGTGGCTGGGATACGCTTGCGCGGAAATGGAATAAGGGTGCATTGGCCAACAGTGCCAGCGAGACTAATGGTGTACGAGGTGGTGTAATTGGAGAGGTATACAGGGCAGTACATCGATGGAGGGAGGATATAGCAAAGGAGGAAGATGAGAGTACGAGGTAAATATCGCCTCCATATCTGGGGGACCATTGGTTCCACAGAATTGGCGGGCCCCCTCTGCTTATATATTTACTAACCTGGCGTCTAGATATGTTCTCCCAAATCACCAACTTTTCATTGTGGCCGAGCGGTCACCATCCAATGCTGCTCAACTCCTCGGGCTCTTCTCACGCGCCAGTGTTCCCCCTGTCCTACGACGAAGAGCAGGTGAACTTGCAGAAGTCATTAAGTCCACTGTGGAGCGAGTGACGTCTTCAAGAGTCGCTGATTGGGGCTGTCGCGGCGATCACAAATGTCGAAGAAGTCGAACCAGCTGCCTCGACTGAAGTTGTAGTTGAAGAAACTGCAAAATCTAAACTGTGGGGGTCAGTGAAAGTTTCTTCCTCAGTTGTTCAGCGTACATCCTCTTCCTCTCTCTTCGGCCCGCGGACCGCAGTGGCTGACGAAGGAAGTTCATACTCGGCTTCGCGAAGTTCATTATTCGGCGCCGCACTACCTTCTCGCATGACGCCTCAAGTAAGTGAGCCCACTTGCCTGCATACTTCTATGATGCGATCATCCTTTTCAGAGCTCAGTACCAATTATATCGACCAGTAGAAATAAACTTAGTGACCTCGTGACACGGATACACCGGACCCTCGTCATTGCACCTAACCAACCACAGGCAAGCCAATCTCTGCATTTCCACATATCTTATCGTCATCTCAATACTTAGATTATCCAAGTCGGTTCTCAGATAGTTTCCCAATCTAGCGTCTCCTTGGGCTCTGCCTCGACCCAGCCAGCGATCCCTTTCTCCAGCATGGCTCCAGCAGAAGCACCTGACGGTATCCTTGGACAAGTAGAAATTCCGTTCATTCCTACCGATCAGCGGCAGCCCCGTCTCGCCCCTGTTTCAGATGATACCATTGTAGTCGTGGGTCAGGCCAGGCAGAAGAAGCGTAAACGGATCAAAACTACGGTATTGGATAAACCTCAAACCGGAGATCAGGACGACATGGGTGAGGATGAGGCATTTGATTACACGACAGTGCCGAACCTACTGGATGATCTCCCGCCGGCTCCTGAGGAGCTCGACATGAGGAAGAAAAAGAAGCAAAAAGCCAAGGGTACGTGATCGGTTATTTTCTCGATCTCCTTTGTTACAATCATCCAGTATCCCACAATCCTCTTTCACCTACATGTCGCTTTAACATCTATCCCCATCGTCCTTCGGCCGAAGTGTTGTATGCGCACGCTTACCTGACTTGTGACAGGTACCGGAGTCATAGAGTATGGCAATTTTCGCGCACCACCGCGAGATATGCGTGAGGTCAAGAGTGGTAACAAAACCCATACATTTAGATGACAATAACGTTGTATCTGTGCCTTCACATCTTGGCAGGGTGTTGTTTATATGCTATGTCGCTCCTATGTGCGATCTGGACTACGTCACTTCTGCTCTCGTGTGAGTGGACACCATGCTGAGGTCTTTGAGCAGGGATTTCTGTTGTGCTATTGGACTCGACCTGCCGCTTAAAAATGCAGACCAATATCACGAGGCAAACGCAAAATGTGACCGTTGACGCTTGAGTATGGCAGACGGACTAAATCGGCAGTATCTTTGGAAATCTTGGAACAGACTTGCCTGTAATTTTGTCGCAACAATTTCCGCCCGTGGACAGTCAGGCTGGATGACCTTCACGCAAAGGTGCGCACACGGTGTATTTTTCGGCAGCTGCCTTGTCATACCGGCATTGCAATGTACTTGGGAGAGCGTAAGATGACCTTGTGAGTGACTCCTTTGGCTCTATAAGAAGTGTCACTTTTTGTGTCGGAGGCTACTAACTTTCACTGCTTCATGTGCAACTCATGGCTACTCCGACCATTGCAAAAGTGATTCCTGTGTCCGAACCCAAATCACTATCCCATAACTCTCATGTCGAACCATCCCCTGATACCAAAGAAATAATTGATATAGAGCATGTTCCAGTTAACGACGATCCACGCCAATGGAGTTACGCCAGAAAAGTACGTTCAAGACATCATTTAATGCTCTTAATTGACCAAGTTGACGCTGTATCACCTGTAGACCGTAACTTTGTGTATTGTGTCCCTGGCTACAATGGTGTCCTCGTCAGCGGCTAAGCATTCAAAATCGTTCGTCGCATGTCTTTACCTATTGCATGGTTTTGAGTTGACGTCATCCCATAGCCTCGAACATTCTGATAAGAACAGATCTACATGCAACAAATAATCAGATCAGCTGGACATTAGCGGCGTTCATACTCGTACAAGGCAACTTTCCACTAATATGGAGCGCCATAGCTGAGATCACAGGCCGCAAGGTTGGTCGCCTTTGTTGATCTACTTAAGAATGCGGAACTCGATCATCGTAGGTCATCTATCTGCTGTCTTCGGGTTTATTTGTAGTGGGGAGTGCTGTCCTAGCACTTTCAAAGACCATCGAAGTGATGATCGCCATGCGAACACTTCAAGCAGCGGGGTGAGCTCTTATCTGAGAAGCTTGAGCGCGGATTGATGTCCTGCAGATCAAGTGCTTTCTTGGCCATTTCAGCTGCGACCCTGGCCGATATCTATGATACTCACGAACGCGGGACCATGATGGGCGTCTTCTATGCTGCACCCCTTTTAGGACCCGCACTCGGCCCTGTGATCGGCGGGTTATTGTCGCAGGCCTTCAACTGGCGTGCAATTTTCTATTTCCTGCTGATCTGTGGAGTAATCATCTTCCTCTTCTTCCTCATCCTGTTTAAGGACACATACCGATGTGAACGAAGTCTCACGTATTACTTTGCCCTGCAACGACGTTCTGCCTCTCGAGGACCCGTTCGGCATTCCAGCCAGTCTACCATCGCAGGATCTGAGTTCAGCAAGAACCAAACACGTGACAAAGACCTTGAGAAGCAGTTCCAACTCCCGGTTGTTCCAGAGAAGATTCCATCGGCGACGCCTACACCAGGGCCGGACAATATTAGGCTATCAATAAAGGATATCAACCCTTTTCCACCATATTTTCAAATTTTGTCACGCAAGAACAACGTTCTAGTTCTTACTGTTAATGGTGGGTAAAGGCTGGCTTCCCGTTTGATAAATCGCTAACGACTTCACTAGGACTTGTCTTTGGTTTCAACTATTGTCTATCATACACATGCGAACGCACCCTCGCCAATGCGTATGGTTATGACACGCTAAGCGTCGGCTTGGTGTTGCTTTGCCTTGGCATTGGTGAGATCCTCATCATCTGGATTGCGGTAGAGACTAATTTCTCATCAAGGGAGTGTTGCTGGGAGTATAATTGGTGGACGTTGGTCTGACCGGGTGGTTGGGAAGATGGTAAAAGCGAACGGAGGACAGTGGCATGCAGAAGTAAACCTTCCTGAAGCTCTTGCACCGGAACTTTTTTGATTGACTTCTTATGAAGATGCGATTGGAGAGCTCAAAATTGACAATGCTGTGGATACCTTTATCTCTCATTGGTTATGGTTGGGCGTGCGACAAGCATCTCAACGTGGCTGTCATTTGTGTCATGCTTATCCTTGTTGGATTCACAACTATGTGTGTGAAACAATTATTTGCGGTCATGGTTGCCCTGATATCTTCTTCCAGATGGATGTACGCAAGTACGTTGGCGTACCTAGTTGATGCCAACCCTGGTCGCTCGGCCGCAGCGGTGGCCACGAATAGCTCATTCCGAGGATCCCTGGCTTTTCTTTCAGTCTTGATTGCTGTACCGCTTCAAGTAAGTTTCCGTGCTATCTGCCATATCTCACAATACTGACGCTGACTCGCTCTCGCCGTAGAACGCTTGGGGAGATGGTATATTATTCACGGGATGGGCTTGCGTCTTGGCTGCTGCAGAGTTACTAGTTATAATAGTGGTGCACAAAGGAGAATCGTGGCGCAAGGGGAACGAGGAAAATGAGCGTAAAATGCTAAGTAAATGAATACTCACGCTTTAAAATTTCTAGACAGATATGGAGCATGCAGGGCAGGCCTGTATCTAGTCAGCTGTAGAGTGATAGAATTAAGTATATATGTACTTACAATCTGAAATGAAATATCTAGTATTCTAACTCTGCGTGGCACGTGACCAATATTTTATGTCGCAACGTAACGTGTCGCGCAGGTAACCTATCAACTTATAACACTGCCAGGTTTGCTATTTTCAACAAGTACTAGAGTGCGGAAAATTAAATGTTTTAGCCCTGCATAGCAGCTGCGAGCATCATCGTGTTCATGATGATTAGAGCACAAACTATCGTGGCTCGTACACCAAATGCGCTTCTTGCTTCTCTTGATCGTTTTCATTTGCAGTCCAAAGCGAAAGGTGGTACGTTCCTATTTGCTCTTTCCGCTCCCTTAGATGCTCTGTCTGTCATAACATCACATCTAAAATCTCATTTTCCTCGTCATATCGGGTGCCTATCGTCCCCGCTACCGGCGTACCATTCGCACATCATGTGTGCTGTCGCTCTGCTAAATGGGATTACATTCCGATCGACGATTGCTGGTCGCGCTGATCCTCAGGTTGGCCGATGGCATGCTGCGAGGCACTCGAGTACACAACAACTACCCGCAGCACAGTCGAGTGTTTTCGAGGAATTTAACGGAGATGTGGGCAAAGTCAACTGGGAGGATATATGGGATAGGACTGCCATGTCTGCTCAGGAGATGATACCTGTGGAACTGAGAACGGCGAGGTAGGCTTGAAGTTTCCCCGTTTCCACGACATTTTGACTTTATGTATTCTCCAGGCCTGAAGATGTGTCTTCTATACTGTATTTCTCGGACAAAGCCCCGGAAGGCATTGCGAAGGCACTGAAGGCAACTTTTCCCCATTCAAATGAGGTGGGTACACTATAGCATCTGATAGAACAAGATATTTACATTATTCATCCGATCAGCTAGGTTTTTTAGCGTCGTCGACTCCTTTCATCACAGGTCGACCAGTGACACTTTTCCATGATGGCGAGATATACTCAGATGGAGCAATCGGCATTGCGCTTCAGCCTTCTCTAGGTCATACTTCACTAACAGTCGAATTTCCTGATCTGGTCGATCTGACTCCGGATTTGCAAATAACAAGGTACCATTCCTTCCTCCTGCACCTCGTTGTATGCTTAGTAGTTTGAGCTCTGAGGGGAATCTTATACTCACGATTGATAATGGAAACCCTACACGCCTCCTTCTTGCTGCAATGAACAAACATGGTCTTGATGGTCGTGACGTCCTGCTCAAGGACGATGAGTTTTATGTTGGCGTCATGAGTAACGGCAAGGTACGAAGTCTGTGCTTATAATTAATCACATGCACATTGTTATGAACGAAGGTAGAACGGTTGCACCGCATAACCTCGGGTGACCCTTCACGCGGCACCATTGCCCTTGGGACAATGAGTGCACCACCGCAGGGCTCCACCATAAGAGTAAGTCTTTGGACATTTAAATGAATATATGTCTAACATCCGGACAGATGCTTTATTTGCCACGGAGGGATGAAGTGACCCTGAACTTAAAGCCAACGCATGGAAACACATCCATTTCATTCATCGCGATACCTGATTCCTTCGGTGATGGTCCTCCATCTTCAGCCCTTGACAACGACGTCCTTGTTATTGATGGAAATTTCGTTGCTGGGTCTGAGAATGGGTTTATGTTGAGAAGAGGGGCCAAAGAGGAAGGCTGGATCTGTACATTGCCTGGTGGGCAGGCCTGCCTGCGTTGGACTTGAAGCAAGCTGCGGCTCTAGTCCACCTATGGCAAAGCCTCCCTATTGACTTTCTGTTTATCGAACTGTTTTTGTTCTGTCCCGTCATTGTCTGGTACTTCCCCTTTGACGATACTACACGTTGCAAGTTAGCATTAAACTTGGGATTGGATTAGGAGATTAATTATGCGACCCATGAGAACGGTTATCACCGGATTCCGAACAAAAAGGAAAATGGCAAAATGGCAAATTCCGGATTCTACTGAGAATCCACACTTGGCCTTGCAAAGCAAGGTGATACTTGAATTCCCGTTTTGGCCGGGTATACCGTGTTGTTCGTACTTTCCTCAGCCCGACAAGCTCTTTCCAACGCACAGACCACTACTGTCAATGTCACACAGCATCAACGACGACGTCGTCACCACTAACGATGATCCCCCGTCGTTCAGTGGTCAAGAAAGCGATTCCGAGGGAGGTGCCGATGACTTCGAGGTATTTCCTGAAGATAAGGAGAACGCGGTGGAGTCGATCCAACAAGGAGATGCTGCAGGCGAGATTGAAATAACGCGGTCTTCTGTTTCTTCTAGTGTCTCTTCTTCTCAAGACGCTGAGCCTGACGCTAGCGAGGCACATGATGCAGCTCTTGGTCTTCCACCAGCCCGCCGCCCTTCAGATTCTGATAGTGGCGAATCGGAAAAGGGTTTAAAGCGAAAGCTTGCTGACCGTGGCACGAGTCAGGGGCCGGAGAACCTGGTGCCTTTACCCTCTGCTGAACCTGCCAAGCGTCCTAGAGATGACACCGACAAAGATGAAAATCCTCGCGAATCAAAGAGACCGTCACCTCCTCCCGAACAAAAACCTGCAGCGGCAGAGACATCTGCACCCAAATTCGTCCGTTTCTGTCTATTATTCAAGAGGCTTTGCTGATGAATTTCTTATCAGGGAGGGTTTATGGCCTATGCTGCCGCAGCATCTCCGTTTGCTGCTGTCAAAGGCCAGAATATATTTTCAGGAGCTAGTTCCAGCACGTCCAAAAAGCTGTCTGTTTCACCATCGCCGTCACCATCACCTTCCCCTGTACAGACGAACAATGACCCTACGCCCTCCCCGTTTGCAGGCTTTGCCTCCTCGCAGTGGTCGGTACAGCAGACGCCGGCGAGCACAGCAACGAAGCGTACGGGCTTCGAAGCCTTCATAAGCTCCGCTTCTCCCTTCGCAACTGCAGGTGTTTCTCCTTTCCCTTCGCGATCCAAGTCACCATTGCGTGCCAGCGGAAAAAGCGCACTCGGAAGGAGCAGGTCGCCCCCGAGACGTACTCCTCTCAATATGACCAGTGCATTCTCATCATATGCCAGTGGTGGCGTGCAAGCTTTATTTGCTGCACCCCATCCCAAGCGTGCGAGGGCAGAGTCGCCCAACGGGGGGTCGTCACGCAGTTCTCTTGAACGGACAAGCAGCACCAGACTGAACGTATTGGATCCAGCATGGAATGGAAGTGCAGATGAGAGCGGAAGCGGAGAGGAAGACGATGAGGAGAATGAGAGACCACCTTCAACGTTTGGTGAGAGACTGCGTGCAGGTAGGGATGACGAAGAAGACGAGCCTGATGAGGAGAAAGAGAAAGAGAGGCTTCAAGAACAAGACGGTGCGATGCTTCAATTTATTCAAGTGCAGATATCTAAATATGTGGCAGTCATAACTGGCGAAGAGGATGAAGAGACAATACACCACGTTCGCGCCAAGCTCTATGCTCTATGCCCCCAAAACCAGTGGAAGGAGCGGGGCACTGGCCTTCTCAAGCTCAATGTCCGACGTTCGGACGGTGGAGGTGCTCGTCTTTGTACGCAGGTTACGTTATCTCCGGAGCTCGTCTCACTAACATTGGGTATCAGTGATGCGCAAAGAAGCAGTCTACACAGTTATACTGAATGTTACACTGTTCTCCGGAATGAAATGCTTTATTGCACAAGATTCACGATATATCCGGTTGAGCGTCATCGAAGATGGGGTCACGATACATTACAACCTCAGAGTCAGTTGTTTTCATTTGTATTGTTTTCACAAAATCTGTAGTGACCTTCTCGCAGGTTTCAAACGCGAAGATTGCACAAGATTTGCTAGAGGAGATCAAGTCGAATATTCCAGCTTGACATCCAGAGTACCCTTATGTTACTTTACTGTCCATCGTGATCATGCCTTGCTACATTTAACATTAATGTTGTCTTTATGTACAACCACAGGACACTCGCTGCTCCTTATATCACATGTCCACAGGTGGCAAGGCGCCTCAGAATCATGGTCCCAAATGTTGCGCCTCGGAACTCATGGGACGTACATCGTGTCCGACGGTAGTGACCCAAAGGCCTTGGAGAACTCATCCTCACCTCGGACGTGATGCATACCTTTCATTGTACGTTGACTGATGTTTGTGTAGCCCTAAATACGCATTCAGTGCTCAATGAAGTGCTCTACCATTTAGACCATATCAATGATGCAGTGAGGAACGATTTGAAGGTAGCGTTCGTGCCGCAAGCTTGTGTTACAAGTTGAATCAGACTTGCGAGTCTTTTCTATCTCCATGAGCGTCAGCGAAACTTGGTCGATGCTTGACAAAATATTTTAGATGATTGTTGGCTCAACTGACGAAGCTGATGCTCAGTCAGCGGCAGTCAAGGTCCAGTGTGGGTGAGTATTCGCGGAGTTGAGCACCTAAAGGGGCAGCTGTAGACCACTGGAAGGGTTTGACGAGTGTCACAAGTCTAGTCCTGACCGCTTGATGACAACCGTACCATTTATTCAGTGCAGATTCCAGAAGCTTGATTGAACCGCCGGTACCAGGTGCATCCAGGCGAGACCCAGCCGGTCTTGCAACCCCCGTCACAGTAACGACATAAGTCAGCACTTTCTCGTTCACTTGTCTAAGCGGCTACTCACGCGTCGAACAGGAGTCACAATGCGATGGATAACTAATGCGAATTCCGCCCATGACAACGAAGTGCCAACTGGTTTTCGCATTTGACGTCAGTTATCCGTCGTAACGTTGATGTTGAAACATAAGGAGGCACTGTCCTTTGACGAGCGCTAGTGTCAGGTTCAGAAATTCGGCTCATCACAGAGTGTCAAAACCAGCCAGTGCCTACGGAAACAAGGTAAGTATGCGAAAGTATACCAGGGATCCGTGAAGTGCAAGAGCGGTAGTATCGAACGGCACTGGATGACTGAGCCCGCACAGATACCACACGATAAGATTGATGCGAGTGGTCCTGAAAAGGCAAAGAACTATTCGTCACGCCCTCCGGGCAATGGTCCCAAGTCTCGTTATTTCCTTCTTTTTTCGTCTCCATTCAAAAACCCATCCTGGGAGGGCGCAACTCATTCGCCGCTTTCGATACTTAAATAAATTTGTCTCGTAAGTACATTCATTGCCAGGAAGATGGCATATCTTCAATGCACGAGGGACGCCGCAGTCCACGTCACAGCCGCATCAAACAAAGAATCCATGTGTTCTTGACTATGTGATAAGCCACTATGTTGATACCACGGATTATTCTTCAACAAAAAAAATGACGAGCTGTTACAACCCTGCTTCTAGTGACTAATACGGGTCGAATCAATTCAAACGTATCCCTGGTGGGTACTTGCTTGGAACCGGCAAAAATGACGCACACGGTGTCATGCAATTCGACAGGACTAGGCGGCAATAATGTTCGTAATTCGGGGAACGCTGCGCTCTCACCGCATTTTTTTTTTGTTATATCACTGAGGAGCCTTTCAGTTCTGTCCAAATGATGGTTAATAATGAGTAATAGATGTGGTGCGCGCGGGCTCGACACACCAACATCAGATCGTAAACTGAGCCTTCCGAAAAGCTGCACGGATTAACGGTAGAAGCCTCTCGTGGCCGTAATATTGAAAGTTAAACAGAGAATTGACCGGATATCATGGCGACTTGGATACTAAAGCTGACCGACGGGATCAACATGAATATAGATCTGTTTATACCATGGATCTTGTAAACCCTCGGGATCTAAGCTCAGTCATACAAATCAAAAGCATAAGTGCATGGCAGAGTGTTCTCGTGCTAAGTCGTTGCGAAGTAAATACAACGGACGGTACCTTTAGGACATCAACAACACCGATTCCTCAGCTGGAACATTCCGAGCACATGGCACATGCAGGCTCCGAGTCATCCGCTGTTGTCATTCAATCATGATACCATTCTTATCATCGAATGATAGCAAGACCGGAAAGGGACCATTCTGATCATTGCGACCAGCATTACATTACCTTCACAACCTTGGCGTTGGCTTGGTTTGTGACATTGTCCCTCACCGGAAGATGCTCGGACTGACTGGCCCGACTATGGCTCAAGCGCTGTGAAGCAGCATAGCAATCATGAAAAGAATTGATATTAGAAAACGGATAAGACATAATCTGATGGGCGAAATGTTGCTGTGGCATCTTTAGAAGCACGAACACAATTAGATTATTGATACACTCAACATCACATGCATGCACTCGTAACATGTCGCGTAAGTAGTCCTTCTGATCGGATGTCTGAACGCGAATGGAATGTGCGCGGGCGATGTGTAGTAGCATAATTGTCACGAGTTGTGTAAGAAAAATTCTCCATGACGTGCTATAAAGTAGCAGCAGTAACGGGCCAGGAACGTCCGCTGGATACTGATCACGAACTGTTAACCAAATCTCGAAAAAAACAAAGAACTGGCGTAAGGAAGACACGACCGGCGAAACGGGAGGCACTAGCAAAGATGAAGTCAATGACAAAGCTGAAGGCGACGAAGGCGACAGCCATGATAAGTTAAACGCGATGATGTAGAGCTGAGCGCTGAGTGGTTTATCATATAGGCTTGATTAATGACGGCAGGCGAGGAGAACGTTCAGAGTGACGAAACAATTGACAAATCAGAAACAAATATGTACAATTCGGACTGACTCGGAGTCCTGTGTCTTCTCAGTGCCATTCGGGCACACTAGTCTAGTCGAGTTGTCTCCGTGGAACTTGCCTGATGACCTGATCTGCACCACCCGACGAGCCCTCTTTCGTCGGATCGTGTTCGCTATTTCAAATTTTCCACTTATATCCTCCATTCCTAGTTCGGCTCCATCGGCGATTCGACTGCGATCGCTATTTGATGAGGAGATTCGGTGGGCGCGTGGACTCCCTCAATGAGCTCTACTACTCCCATCTTCATCTCCGCCCACACATGTATGAGTCTAGGGACATTAACTTTCGGGCCCGCCTGCGCCCAGACTCGGAATATGATTGCACACGTCGAAACGAAGAACAATATTAATGCAGCGGTGGAAAAATATAAGCGTGCACGTCGAGCACTGGAACCATGGGCTAGGAGGAAATGCTCCCCCTCGTGGGAGATTCGGTGGGTGCAGGCTCACGGTCCACGGACTCCCTCAATGAGCTCCGCACCCATCTTCATCTACGCTCACTCATGTACAAATTAACTTTTGGGGCGTGCCCAGAATTTGACTGTACCCGTCGAAACGAAGAAAGATACAGCGGTGAAAAAAATATACATGTGCACGTTGAGCGTTGGAACCGCTAAGCTGTCGTTTGAATAGGGGGGAATGCTTCCTCTCTCAAACCTGAGGACATTCGACTGACGGGCGATTTTGCAGGAGCCACACTCTGGGAACCGGGACAATCTTGTGGATCTAGCTTGTGTCGGAGAGAGACACTAGCCGCTATGAGAACGAGCGTGTTCAAGCCTGAGTAATTCTGGTCGACGTGATCCATAACTGACTTAGTTCTGTCTCCATAGGTATTTCTACAGAGTGGTGTGAGGCGTTCTCGATGGTTTGAGGAAGTGGAGTTACTGGTGGCATCGGCGCGATTCTGCGCCCGTCGGAGAAGACTGCCAAGCGCAAGGGCTTGCGGGATTATGGATACCATCAAGCTGTCCTCCGTACTGTTATGCGGAACTCATTCTGAGGCCGTCGGAGTTCGTTCCTCAACTCAATGTCTGCCGCCATAGGCTCTATGCGGTCCTTCCATCAATGCCCCTCCTTTGACCGGAACGCGTTTCAGCTTAATCTCGATCGTGGACAGATCGATCTGCAAATGGCTCAACCTCATGGCCGTAGTAATAATACTTGGACACGAACAGGAAATATAATAAAGCTAGGAAACCTGTAATCTGTGGAACTGATGTACATATCACGCCATTCGTAGCCCGTATCGCGAATGTCTTGTAAACCCTGGCTGGCTGGTGTTGAGTTCAAAAGGGAATTGCAAGCCAGACGGGACTCCGAGGAGTAAATCAAGCGCGCTGGAAAAAAACAAGACAGCTTTCTATGACTCCAAATTTAGACGGACAGTTTTATGATGAGCTGATCGTATGATATTATCCTAGTTATATTGGCGTGCATAGTGGGCCAAAATAAGCATTATATGGAAAGAGAAAGTCGAGTTCTAACATGAATGTATGGACAAAGGAGTGGTGGCGCAAGTAAATGCCGAATAAGGAAACTATCCGCGTGTTTCGGATATAGGAATGTAGTGAAGTTTTTATACATAGGTCCTATGCGTAAGGATATAGTAGAGTCCTGACACAGGTATCCGAACACAAGGCCTTGAAGCCCTCCTATGGGCTTTTTTATTCCAGGGAAACCAACATCAACCTTACCACAGTGTATATACCCTTGTTCCTCTAACAACGTACAGCAGGTACCAGTTTCCAGTGTGCTAAAAATATGTAGTAGTTTATGGGGTATGCCATGAACTTTCTCCTCAGCGCAGCCCCGATCAGTCAATTTACTTTATATGTTAGTTTGAATGGTCTGGCATAGCACCACCATGGTTGTACGTACGCCGAACCCGAGGGCCCGCCGATGCGGCTGTATCAAACTTCTTTCGTGCCACCACGCTTTAACTACCGCCAAATGGGGTTAATTCTAAGCGGTAAGTTTTCAAGTCAGTCTTCAAATTCTGGTCTGTCCATATGAAGATACTAGAAAGGAGGCTGACAGGCTAAACAAAATCTAAGCGCTAAGCTCAGCGGTCTACATTTATGGACCGTTCCATCGAGATTACTAGTACAGCCGCTTCAAGTTCCTGATTCATGCAATGACGAATCAGATAAGTTCGTTTCAACCAGTCATGCCAGGACTGAAGTACTGAATTGAGTTCAAATTGCTTTACACAAGTCTAATTGGTCGATATGTTTGACCTTTTTATGAGCGGATTTATCCCCTTGTCCATTGCGACATGCGCCCCGGGTGCTCTAGCCATGTAAGTCATGTTTGGTCCCACAAAATCACTCACAGAAATTGATACATATCATATAGCTGTAACAGTCAGCGAAGGAATGTTTTAGATGACCCTACTAGAAACTCAATGGTGTGAGTGAGTGATCCTTTATCCTGGAAATTCAAGAACGCCATCGTATGAACAAGGTCCAGAGAGGCTAGTGTGACTGACATGCCAATCATGTCATCTATTATCTAACTGCCTTTCTGATTGTTGCCAAATCACAAGGCAGTGAAATGGTAACTTCACAACCTGCAACCCTGAATTTGATGAGTACCCGCTAATCTCGGGACAAGAACCCATAGGCTCAGAGCGCTGCAGGAACTTTGGATTGGTGTCACAGGTAACGATCCATCCGCTCGAGTTATCCACTTCCCAGGATGTGCAACCTTTTAGGGTCGTGGTAAGTCTTGAGTTGTAGTATTGTCTCTTCCCAGTGATTTAACAGGATCCCTACAGCAACTCTACAGGATCTGAAATATACAAATTGAAACTTGTCAAGGCACCCCCTTTTCGCCGCTCACAAAGATTTTCACCCGATTTTAAGTTAAGTAGCGGTGAGGCAGCATGACGCGATATGTGATCCATTTTGTAGCCGCTGAATTGGCTTTGTTCCCCAAGCACGGTCAACGTGCCTCTGTGCCAGATTGGAGCTGTGGCCCGTAACAGAAACCAATCCCCCCTCGATGTCATCTCTGGGTCTGCCATGATAATCTGCACACCGATAGTAGGGCGCAGCACCCTGCCATAGTTTGCGGATCAGAGAGCCGGTCATATTTCCCGGATCATATACGGCTTAGAGGGAATGGTTTTGTACCGCAACAGTGTATTCAAAGTATAAAGAACCATGTGTCTGAAACAAACTAACGAAATTAACCTGCTCTCACCTCCAATAATGGAAGCTCGTAGTACTCCATTGGCAGCAGAGTTTCCAATGCCTGGATGCAGACAAGTATGCCTTATCGACTCCCCCGGACCATTCCCTGAGTTCATGGACTCCGATATCGTGGGCCCAGGCTTGTTGAGCCACTCCGACATGAGTTATCAGGATTCTACATCCCCACCAAGGTATGCTTCAAGTTGCTTTTTTCTCCAAGATCAATACTTATTTTCATCCCTACCATGTGGCCTCAGCTATTATAACAACCATCACCCTCTGAATTCGTTGGAGGAAAACACATGTCCTGACTCTGATTGGTAGTCCATATTTTATCCCTTTCGGAAGCATTCTGCTAATGAAATCATAGCCTGTCGAATGACCATTCGCATCATTACAGCGGTACCATGCGTGCTTCGTTACCAGATGAAACAGCTCTCTTTGTTGCAAACTATCTCCACCAGTTGCGCCTGAAATTTGGGATGGACATGACTCTTGACCGAGCAATTCAAATATGCATTGGACAATGGGACACTCCAGGTCACTGGCACTATCATCACCTTTTCTATCGCTTACACTGTATTTTACCCCAGACCCCAAGCCTACGCACGCCCAGATGGGAAGGGATCATTTTGTTTCGAACTACAGTTCACCTTCGACGAGTGTCCAATCTAGCAGATCGACTCGCCAGTCTATACCCAGCGATAGGGTTTATTTCAGGTCCGGTGCCATCGCACAGACCGACCACGAGATATTCCAAGACGGTGGCAGATTAAAGGTCAGGTGTTACGAAGGCTCTTGCAGCGGCAATGCATTGATGAAGGACAATTTTGTCCGGCACGTGCGTGAGCATCATCTTGGTAGAAAGAGGAAGACAGGAGGTAGCTCCATACAGCGTGTTAATCTTGGAATGAAATGATGGGCGTCCTACAGCATTATGGCGGCAGCACGGGTAATTGCCTGATCAGTGGAACTAATGCGCGGACCATGCCAGGCTCTTGGGCATGCCGCATTTATTTTGTATCTCATATATGTTATATCTCTCCTGCATACTATCTCTCCTGTAGATATAATAGCCCTTTAATTAATGCTGTATTTCGCACAAGACGCACAGCTTCGCAGAAAGCTGAGCAGGACCGGGTATGATGGGCAGTTCCTGTACCCTGAAAGAGAGGGTAAGTCAACACGATCATGAAGGATCATGGTGGCTCCACTTGATTACCGGTCCCGACGACCTCTTTTGGCTTTTGTGCTATAGAGGTTTGTCAACCTGTTTATTAGTTCTCAATATTCAAATGAAAGAAGATTCAATCATTAATCAATGATTGGATGCTGCCCGCAGTTGAGACCCGTGGTTCTCCGGCCTGAATTGACGAACTGCAGGATAGGTTGGGTAATTGGGCAGGACAATTTGTAGCGCAACATGTAATAATCTATAGTATGACGAACCTCATATTTGTTTAGTTAGTTTTGCTTCTCTTGTTTGCAAGTTGACTGTTTACACCTACTTGATGTTCATGTTCATTCACACGCAATTGCGCTCATCCTACAACTCCACATCACAGCCGCAATGAACTATATCACCGCACGATCCATCATGTGCTGTACCTGTGGTGGACAGCTAGGAGTATGAGCTTCCTCAATTCGTGACTGTATCTCGAAGCCAAGCTGATCTTCGTACAGTGGATGTGCTGATGAACTATGCAAGGAGTGTTCAAAAACCAGTCTGTTTGGGTTACCATGACTGTGAAGAACATCATGAGGACGATGATAAGAAGAGTGGCTATTGTCCTCACAAATTGAGAAGCACAGTGGACAACGAGATGCTGTATCGGGACCTCGAACAAACGCAGACTTTGGGAGATATGACCATAACTTGTCAGGACATATTCATCATGGTATTGCGCCTCGGAGGACAAGAGTGTGCGGAAGGCAACAAGACATCTCTAGACTCTTATATGCTAGGATGAACTTAACGAAACTTACAAAACCTGTAAGGGTACACAGCTCGTCAGGAAGCCCATAAGAGACAACGGGAAAGATGACAGAACGGTGCGGGCGTGAATGAGGATGAGGATTATGACGAGAGAAGGAGTCAGGGAGTGACTTTCCCCCAGCTTTTAGCTTAGTATATGACTGCTGTTTCGTTGTTAGAAGCGCTGGTGCCTGAGGCCTGAGGTCTGAGTCCCTGCCCACCCACGTCGACTCCACTGCTGACCTAATAGTAATGCAGGCGAGGACGGGATAGGAACGAAGATGATACTCGAACATGGCTGATGATCGATGATCCATGCCATGAGCCATCGATTAATATTATGAATCGGATTAAATAAAGGGACGAGACTGCATACAACCTGAGGGATATATGGCCGGAGGACAACCGGAGGACCACCAGTGAATCCAAAAAAAGAGTGCTGTGGCGGCAATGACCGAATCGCACACGAGTTGGCGTGCGTTTGAGCTTACTCATCACTGCCGTTTACCACCACTTCGTCGTCGTAGTCTTTGCCGTCGACGAGACACTGCAAACAACGTCGAGTTCTGTACAAAACAAACTTCTACTGTAACTTAGTCTTATCCTTTGTTTCATTCTTATTCTCATAACAGTAACAACGCTGCCATCCAACTTGGCTTTCTCGCACTTCTTCTGAGGCTAGCTGTATACCGCCAATTTCCTACTCCCGCTCCTTTGTATTCTTGCTGAAGTCAAACCAGTACAATGGGTCAAACTCCCTCCAGGGTGCAGATTCGTCGCAATGGCATCTCACAAGCGAGATCTAATCCACCATCCTCTGAATCGCAGTCATCGTCCGAACCTTCAACTTCCATTCCCACCCCTTCATCGTCGTCTTCTGTGTCAGGGCCTCAAATTGCAGATATCACAGAAACGAAACGTAGTCGTCGTGCATCCCTGCCGCACCGCCTTCTTTCATCGCTCTCAACTCCACGCATCCGGACAGACAGTTCGGCTACTCAGTCCTCGCAGCGCAAAAAGTGGCGGCTTTCGCGACGCGTCTCTAAATCTCCTACGGTCAATAACATCGCTGTTGGTGAGGTTACAGAACCTCAAGACGAACAGAACGGATCCCAAGACCCTCTTGCGGATGTAGAGAGCGATAAAGGCAAGGCGAGAGATGACGAAGCTGTGAATGACTTCCCGCCAGCTGCAGAAGCATCAACATCCCTCAGTCCACCATTAGAAGAGGTGGTTCCAACTACTTCGGGTGGACGATTGGTTGAACCGGCATCTGATATCTCGTTCCAACCCATTCCCTCAATTTCTCGTCATTGCTCGGAGGACGATGAGGATGAAGTCGTCATTGCTCCAAATACAGAGTTGATTGATCCATCTCCTCAAGTACATGTCCCAACCGTAAATCAGAGCGAAGGCCCACCGTTCATGCCTCCGATTACTCCCGCTCGACCTCAGTCCCACGTAGGCACAACTACACAGCCCCCAGGTCGCCAATTTCCACCTGCGGGGACACTTGTTGTTGTGCAAGGTGTCGTACATACCACCGACGTGTCCCGCGCTTCGGAGTTAAATACCGCCAACACCATCAACTCAAACAATACGAGTCTCGCGAATGATGCCAATCTGGAGCCACCGGGAATTGTCAGGCCATCCTCCGTTGCACGCCAACGATCGTCCTCTACCCCCGGTGATCGCTTGCGCAATCGGTTGTCTGGAATCCTACCCCGCCCTTCCAGCATGCTGCCATCTGTACCGCTCGTGTCAGAAGGTGGCGCTGCTGCTGATTCTCCACAACAATTGCCTATTGACTCGCAGTCAAGTACGGCCTCTCTCCCTGCGGGAACGGACCCTAATGCAGAAACTGGTCCACCAACCTCTGAAACATCTAGTGCCAACACCGGCTCACTTTCGCCTAGTAGCATTGATGTATTGGGAACGTTGCTTAGGTGTGCATTATATTCACTCCACAACTTGCCTACATTATACTCTACCCCACCGTACTATTTGACTGATTCGTATGCATTGCGTACAACGATGCTGACTTCTTTTTAATCGCAGTGTCGCAGCAGCTGCAACAGCTGCTTCTCTCCTCACAGGGACTTCCGAGCCTATTTTTTCTTCTGGACTTGCGCCCTTATCTCAGTCACCAAATCAGCCTCCTCAAAGTGTGTCAGATCGGCCTCTATCGCCTACACCAACAGGTGACGCTGGGCGGATGCGTCATGTCTGGAGCAGCTTACGTGATCGTCTTGGTCTACGCACACCTGGAATGGGAACGCCTGGTGTTGATGAGGGCACGGGTAGACCCAGTCCTCGCGATGCACGCGAGCTTCTGCTTACGGAGATGGCTCGGGCCTTCAATTTGGGTCTTGGTCTAGGAAGACCGCCTGCTGTCCCTGACGCGACCAATGCCAGCGGACCCGCGGCGCCCATAGCTGAGCCACCCTCCGCTAATGGAGGTGGGACCAGTGACGTTCCCGTAATGCCCCCACCTGGCAGCTTTGAGCGTTTCCTTATCGATCTTCAATCAGATCTAAGGGTTGCGCTTGCGCAAGACAGTACCCCTGTTGACGCCGACCGCGATGGAGGTATGGGCGATGAAGATAGCCATGAAGGTGCACGCCATGAGACTGAAGACGTGCCGGATGGCACGAGTGACAACGAGTCTTACGACACCGCCGCATCCGACATCGATGATAACATGCCTGAACTTCAAAGCGTTTCTGATGAGGCGTCTACTATATCGGATGCCCACACTGCCCGGGAGAGCCCAGGCACAAACAATGACAGTCTAGGACCTAGCGATGACCCGGATTTGGAAAGTGATAACGCCCAGGTCCACGATGCCACAGCAACCTTACCTCGCACTGCCCACGCTGACACCCTTTCTGGAGAGGCGGGTATAGACACAGGGTCTCAGGATGCTGCATCTAGTTTGTCGGGGTCCCCAACAGAACCTTTCTTATCACCTCTTTCATCTGGTCCCCCAGGTGTGAGTCCTTTCATTGAGTCCTCCACTACTACACAAGAGTCTGCCGAAACAGACATGCCATTCAGAATTCCACGTATCTCACCTGGTTCTACGTCGCGCACTGAGCATACGCCTATCAACTGGTGGCGATTGTACCGTTTTCCTGCTATCACCGCGCCAGCAAGTCGCAGTACACAATCCCCCACGATTATACAGCAAGGATCTGCCCCACAACCACTACCACACGCGGATGGCGATGGGGTACAAAATGCGGGTAGTCCACCAGCTGCTTCGTCTTCTCCTTCCTTTATTCCTTCAGAGATGCTGGATACTACGCACGCAACACCAGACGCCGACCTCACCGCTGGAGTACAGCCGGGTAATGGTAATGAACAACGTAATGTCGTCATTCCTGTCATCGTCGTGGGGTTGCAATCAGTGCACGCAGAACGCCAATCACCTATGCCTCCACATCCTCCTCATCACCTTCATCCTCATGTCCATCATCAGCCACCCGATTTCGCAGACGAGCGCTCCACCGAAGGAGATATGATGGATTTAGAATTTGGCAGTGAAACTGGGATGTCTCCACCAACCCCAATCCCTACTGCTCTATCAGAATTTCCACCCGAGAGTACACGACCATCTCGCGGCCGCTCTTGGCAATCTCGTGCAGCCGATGCCATCAGGAATTTACGTCCTGGTCGTAGGGCCGCTGTGTCAAGACAGACAGCGTCAGAGCCTCCAGGGTCCAGGACGTTCCTCATTTATGTCATTGGTGGTGAGTTCACCCTTTTCCCCCTGTTTTCAAATGTGGACAGTTATTTTCAGGCTACTACCCACCCGATCACCAAATCATCACAGGCGGGAACTTGGATTCATTCGAGGCATTGTGGTACGCACGCGCTAGGGGTGTGATATCGTGCTTTGCTCACTTTCATACAGGGAACTAGCCGAGTTGCTCGGTCAAGTGAAACCACCCACTGCCTCGAAGGAGGAGATTGACAAGTCTGGACTTGAAGTGATCAAGGCAAATTCACTTGAGGAGTATGCGAAGGACGGACGTGTCGCTACTAACTGTGTCGACCGGGTATGGAATCACGCCTTTACACTTTCTTCACACTTGCTTACCTTGCATGCAGTGTCTCATATGTCTTGATGACTATGTGCCGGACGATGACCTACGTGTCTTAAGCTGTAAACATGCATTCCACCAAGGCTGTGTAGATAAGTGGCTCCAGACAGGAAGGAACAATTGTCCTGCCTGCCGTACGAAGGTATGTTCATTTAGCAGCCAGCAATCAGGTATTCATAAGCTATTTCAGGGCGTCGACAACGATATCAGCCCGTCTACTGAACCGTCCGCTTCGAGTTCAACCTTAGCACCCCAGCCATCGGCTGCATGAGGGTGTATCCTTGATTAAGCAATATTTTCCCTTGCATCATCTTTCCTTGTAACAAACCTTCGCATCCGATCTGTTCTGCGATTCGTGTAGCAATTTCATCTCTTCATCGCTGTTCTTTCTTCAGGTTATTATAATGCTACTGAGTATCATCGTCCAACACAATTTATCCAAATAGCCCGCTGCCACTTGTACTGTATGGCACATAGAAATGATCATTTATCACTGAAAAGATTACAGTACCTGTGGGCTATCCTCATACAGCTAGGCAAGTGTGAGGAACACTAAGGTGATTGCTATGCACGCTTTCCAGTAAAGCCAGCCTCTTTGAGTTTGGCGAGAAGCTCGTCCACATTTGCCACCTGTTTGTCATTGTAAGTACTGGAATAGACTATGAAGAATGGAGGATCACCTTGCCGCCACCAACACGCTTTGGAGGTTCTGTGACTTTGATGGTCTCTAGTCTAGGCGTGATGTCAACTCCAAGTTCCGCAGCCGTCAACTTCTCCACAGGTTTCTTCTTGGCCTTCATGATATTGGGCAATGAGGCATACCGGGGTTCTTGGAATATACGGTGATTAATTGAGAGCGATGAAATATTGACATTGTGAATGAAACGCACCATTAAGCCTGGATTTGAGAGCGTTCGTCAGTCAATAAGACATCCATGGACACACACAGTTGAACTTGCCGAAGATCTGTCGTTATAATGACAGGAAGCTTGCACCTAAGCTCCTCAAGACCTCCATCTATCTCACGAGTGATGTTCGCAACCTTCTGCTCTGGGTTCACCTCGACCTTGCTCGCAAATGTTGCTTGTGACCACCCCATGAGGCCAGCGAGCATTTGTCCAGTTTGTCCAGCGTCATCGTCAATAGCTTGTTTACCTAAAATTACTATGTCCACACCCTCCTTCTGTCGTTCGATGAGGGCCTTCAAAGTCTTCGCGACACCAAGAGGTTCTGGGGACGGAGCAGAATCCGGGATTTCGACATGAACGGCAGAGTCGGCACCCATAGCGAGTGCGGTGCGGAGCGTCTCTGCAGACTTGGGTGGACCGATGGTGACAACCTTGATAGATTTCACTGCATCCTTTAGGCGTTCCCGTATCCGAACGGCTTCCTCCACGGCTATACCACACAGTCAGATAAGTGTGCGCACGGAATACTAGCGGAAAACGTACCAATCTCATCAAATGGGTTCTGTGATGACTCGTGTGAGCAAACTTGCTTACGAGCTGTGAATTTGCCATACCATGGAATGTTTAACATTGAGGTCGATGCCTGTCTGCTCGGGATTCACACGAATCTTCACGGCATAGTCTACCGCCCTTCCAAGCGCATGTTGAGAGCTGGAAGCATGCAGACATAATTCGTGCGTACCTCTTGATAGGGACTAGTATGTTGAGCAACCGCACAGCAGAAGGCCTCATCCTCAATTTCTTGTTAAAAAGTCAAAAGAAATCAAGTTGATGATCTGTCGGAGTTCGGATTCGGAGATGAAGAACGACCGTATTTAGCCCTGTGTTTACGTCCAAGCAATCAGACTACAAGTTCAACTTGTAATATACGTATGCTACTGCATCTTGGTCGGTCCATCTGCGATTAATTCCTATAGCCTTTAAGCACCATTGCGAGTGTCTCGCTTTCGGGCTTACACTCTAAGCTGTGATAACAGCTGACTCACACTTCCGACTAGCGCCGAAGCCGTTTCAAGTTTCTCCCTCTCATTTATAGACGAAGGAATGCGGGTTGATAAATCCCCTGCTCGGAACATACCACGAAGGTCAGAATATGTCATCTTATTTGTGAGACTACTGCACACTTAGTAAGTTGATAACAGAATGTACGTTCTATACGGACGGATAACAGGATGGACTCATGACTTGGACAGTACTCTCTTCCTATTATTAGTTCAACTTCACCTCTCAGTGGCCGGGCGCCCGATATTCCGTGGCATGCAGAAACTCTGGATGGTTGCGATTCGGAATGTAACCCTTAAACTGGTCGTTCGGGGGCCTTCCTCACAGTGGCTATTTGATAGCCGGAACGAAGACAAAGTTCTATGGCATGCCACTCGATCGGCCATGTTGTCCGACACACTAGCATCATAGTTGAGGATATTTTGATCATCGGCATCAACAAAATCATGTGCACTTTTGTGGCGCGCTTCATTGCTGAACCACCTATATAACCATGCCCTCACATAGAATCTCAAACTTCAGCTCTCGCGTCGGACAACCTTTTACACTATGATAGAAAGCCAGAGTACGACTCTGTCGTCTACAGAACTCCAGAGTGTGGAATTCCGGGAAACAAACATCCAAACGCATGTTTCCAGTTCAACGTTGGCAAATGAACCTATCAAGCTTGATATAGAACATGCAGTAGTTGAGGATGATCCTCGAATGTGGTCCAACGCGAAGAAGGCGTGTCCTTCTCTCTTGATTTTGTAACTAGAAGCTAATAGAACACATCGTACAGAACGTTGTTTTGTTCATCATATCTGGAGCATCAATGATCGCAGGTTTGTGTGCGAATATACAAAACCGTGAGTTGTTTCTTTAATACCATTGCAATATCGGCTGAACAGTCAGGGGATAGCTGCCAATGCCCAAATTGAGCAGCAGCTACACACCAACGGCGAGAACATCAGCCTGAGTTTGTCTCTTTTCATTCTCGTTCAAGGCAATTTTCCTGTCATGTGGAGCGCAATCAGCGAGATCAAGGGCCGCAAGGTTTGAATTTCTATGTGTTTTGAGTGTTATTTGTTAATATCGCCGAGCTCAGATGGTGTACCTTTTCTCCATAGCACTGTTTACACTTGGGTCGGTAATCGTGGCCATATCCAGAACGATTGGCTTGTTGATCGGCATGCGTATTCTGCAAGGCGCAGGGTAGGGTAGTCCTTCAAACCCTTAATTCCTTACTGACATGAAGTAGGTCAAGCGCTGTTATCGCTATCGGAGCTGCCACTCTTGCCGACATATACGAGCCGCATCAAAGAGGAAAAATGATGGGTGTCTTCTATTCTGCACCTCTTCTCGGTCCCTCGTTGGGGCCAATTATCGGTGGTGCACTCACACAGGGCCTCGGCTGGCGGGCGATTTTCTGGTTCCTAGTCATCTGGGGCGGCATAATATTTTCGGCGTTCCTTTTCTTGTTCAAGGACACCTTCCGGAAGGAAAGGAGTGTGACGTACCAGAATGTATTGAAGAGGAGGCTCCGAGAGCAACAGTCGTCAGAAGCAAAGGACGACTCGCGAAACATCTCAGAGAAGGAATTACGAGTGAATGGCGAAAACCAGACGTCGAAGGACATTGAAGCACAGCCAGCGGTCATACCAGCATTAGCCATCAGAGAAGTAAAGCTGTCTATTGCTGATGTCAACCCTTTTCCTCCATACCTATCGATTCTCAACCGCAAGAACAACTTTGTTATCCTGATACCATCAGGTGAGTGCCCTCAGTAATAAAGTTATTTCAAAGAAATCTCATGCCCAATTGCGTTAGGATTAATTTTTGCATTTAGCTTTAGCATTGCATATACATGCGCAAGAACATTGTCGATGTATTATAATTATGATGCTCTGAAGACCGGCCTCGTCTTACTTGCCTATGGTATTGGTAAGCGAATCACAAGCAAACGAACAAGCACTTGCGTGACGCATCTATTCCAGGCTCTGTAACCGGCAGCATATTAGGTGGACGTTGGTCCGATCGGACACTTGCTCGGCTGAAGGCAGCGAATGGAGGAGTTAGCTTTCCAGAGGTGACCACTATCTTTAGCTCAACCTCTGTCTCCATGTTTGACACAAATTCGTGCAGATGCGCCTTGAGAGTACAAAAGTCGCCATGGTGTGGTTACCTCTTTCTGTGATTGGATATGCCTGGGTGTGCCAAGAACGGGTCAACGTTGCTGCGATATGTGTGATGCTTTTCCTCGCAGGATTTTTATCCATGTATGTTCTTTCGTTTCACACTGTCCTTTGCTCTCATCCGCGATAGATGGATCTACACGAGCACGCTGGCATACATTGTCGATGCAAACACTGGTCGCTCATCAACGGCAGTAGCGACCAACAGTTCTTTCCGCGGTCTGTCTGCTTTTGTTGCTGCTGAGATTGCTATTCCCCTACAAGTGAGTCAACGTCATGATAGCTTGTGGAATATCGGATCTGAGGTTGATTTAGGATAGTATTGGCGACGGTGGTCTGTATACGCTCTGGGCGGGGCTGTTGGTCATTGCTAATTGTATTATTCTACTGGTGTTGTACAAAGGCAGGAAGTGGAGAGAAGCCAGTGTTGAGCGGGAGAAGCAGAAGCTGGATGGCAAGTAGACGATCATCACGACTTTCGAAGTTCCGATAGACCATAGATGATACTAGATTACTAGAATTAATTGTGTAGAACCGAGGCTCGTTCGCCGTCGGTGTATGTACAACAATGATTTCCGACCAGCCAGGATGTCGCGGAGTTGACTGTCATCAAATTCATTAATACAGCAACTGCTAGCGACGGATCCGAGTCCGTGACGAGCCACTACTTTTACGGCCGTCACAATATTAATTGAAATTGAACATGCGCGATGATCCTCGGGTCGGGCTTGGATAATGTCAAACTTCCTACTAGAAGCCACCAGGGCTACTAGTTCCCAAAGCTCATCGAGGAAGGTGAATCATGATTGATCGACATCGATCCTAACTTCTACAAAAGATTAACCTGGTCATCAATATAATGCCCATTGCCCATAGGGTGGGCCCCAGGAAGCATCCGGCATACTTCTGCATTGGTCGGTATATATATTTATATTTAGAAGCAAAGACGAATCATGGATGCGACTTGCTAGCTATAGCACTAGATTCCATATGGCTGGAATGACAAAACGCCGATCACGCAAGCAGTCGCGATGTATCGGAGTGATACATATATTTAACAAATGGGTTTAGGAACTAATAAACCAATAAATACTATAAAGAAGCAAGCGAAACCTTTCATGCCCTGTGATCTGTGTCTTTCACCAAAGTACGTATAAGATGAATAGAAAAGAACTAGTACATGAGGTTTCCAACTGCGGACGAAGTCCCGTCGTTGTTGTAGAGGCACGACCCGGTTCCGACAATTGTGCTGGCAGAACCGCCGTTCGCTTGCAAGAGCGCGGGCGAAGTTGCGACGAAGGGAAAGTAAAGCTGGACGTATGATGCGCCGTCAAGGAAAGGGAACGCCTGTTGGAAGAAGGACACCCTACACGATACAGTATGAATGGATGATAAAAGAGGTACTGCATCGCAACATACTGAGCAGCTTGACCACCTGCAGGGTTCTGAAGAGCAAACTCTGTGATGACGAGTTGATAATTCTAGGTGCTTGTTGTTGAGATATATACCACATGCGTAAAGGAGACTCACGGGGAATTGACTATGAGCTGATTCTACGTAGCTCTGAAATTCTGCAAATGTTGTTCTGCATTTCGAAATTCAAGTAAGATGAGGAGATGCACCAAACAAACTCTTGCTACATACCCATACCAGTGCTGGAAAATAGAAATTAACGCCAAACAGAATGGGGTCGCATACAATTACGTACCAAGTTAATGTAGTCAAAGTAGCACTGTCCTGCACAAGCGCTGATCATTTGAGAGACCCAACTAAGACCCTCTCCAGACGTTACGCTGGAGGTAACAGCAGGGAGAGCCTTCTTGATCGCCTGAAAGCACGGACAAATATTTCATAGGTCTGAAGAAAAATTGATACGGTAAGGCCTTACCAATGGGTTGATGTATTGGATGTACCAAGAAGCGGCCTGGCTCGGGGTAATGCCATTGATATCGGGTTCGTTCAGTGTAAAGACGGCTGTGAAGAAATGGGTAAAGCTAATGTCTATCCAGTAATGAGTGGTGACGAACTAGCCCAGCCTTGTGATGCTTGACGTGACGCCAGGTCTGCGATAGGACTGGATGAGCAGTCGGTGCAGCGCTGCATGCCGATGAATCCGAGGCCACCGTTTCCATTGGTAGAGACTGGAGCGTATGTTTCATAATCGTAGCTATTTACTGTTAGTGAACTGCGGACGCGAGAATTCATTGAATATACATTGCGACAACTTCTCCATCTCCGTTGTTGAATACGCCGGGATCGCTGGGGAGAGATGAGTCAGTGAACCAGATAAAACATGAAATGTGAGCCTATGTACAGTGATTCATCGTCTGTTCAGTTATGGTGAGCAAAATATACTTGTACTCGTGATTTGAGATGAAACTCACAGAAAGTCCAGCATAGGCCTCGCTTTCCAGCGAGAACGGTGGTTGCGAAGAGTGCTACAACTGCAAGTCTGGCGGAGGTTAACATGGTCGAGAATGTGTCAGGAAATGAAAGCTTGGGTTGTAGGTGGCACATACCAAGTATATTTATACTTTCAAAAGCGGCGCCCAGCATCTTCAGACTGAGGCGGTCAGGTACGACTGCCATTGGCGCATATGCTTTGACAACGAGCACATTGACATATCAGCGCTACGACGGGATACGTATCTGAATTGGGCATAAGTGGCATGTGACCTGCTTGAAAAATGATACTAATGGCACGGTAGTCCCATTGTATACTTTACATACAAACTGTAATGAACTGAGACAATGATGGCACAGCCGATGGCCACCTTGATATTGAGACGGGGTCCGAAAATGTCAGCGTGGCGGTGAGAGCGGAACCATGTGGAAGCGGCCTCTGAAGACGAGTTATGGAGACCTCATCTCAGCAGGCCAATACGATATTAATAGTAGGGTGCTTGCATCACCTATTGAGTGACTCTTGCCTACAAAAAATTGGATATACCTTACCTCGTTACCACTGAGGTCCTGAATTGACATGTCAACAAGTACAGCATAGAGGATGGACGAATGATGGCGAATGATCATTATAGGTAGTAGACGTCATCATCAGCTGTGTAAGATATGATGGATTATGGATAGAAAATGCTACGTTACTGCGAAATGGAGCCAGGAGCTACCTCGTCACGAACCCTACTAAATTTTTGATGGCGCACTGGTTTGAACGAAAAATTCTGGTGAGCACGGACGGAGCGGAACATTCGGTAGTTATCTGAACGTCGCAGAGTCGGTTCTTCGGTACTGTAAGGCTGAGTCAGGGTTACTCACAGCACCTCAAGATTAAGATCTAGGTTAGATTTATGTCACACGATGTAACGACCAGAGCAAGTTACAAAAAGTGCCCAGGGTCTGACTGGGAAAGTCGCGCAGCGCGCGCTGATGTTTCGTGGTAGGCTGGCAGCTGCCACTGACAGCATCAGAATTACCGACCTGGCCCCATGATGAGGCCTTGAGGTCCGAGGACCGAAGTTGCCGCCCTGTAGCTGACAAAAAGAGAAGACGAGAAAGATCGATGAAGCGGAGGTTTAGCGACTTGAGACTTGGATTGAAACACCTACTTAGATTCAGACTCCTTCAAGTCGGATGGCGTAGGTAAATTCGTGCCCAGTAACAATTGATATTGAACAGTCATGACAAGTACTCGCTAAATCACAACCACTGCGTCTACGAACCACTACGAAATGAGCGCGGAGATCGAAAGCTCGGCTGGGCTCTGTGTTGCATGTCTAGCAAACTTGGCACTGACTCGAAGGCAAGTACCATTCCTTTTGGTTCAAACGTTCAAATTTTGTATCTACTGTCCAGGTCATGATAGCCGCGCATCTCCAGCTCAACTCTGTTCTAGGACGTTGACTTTGCAGACGCATTGACACTGACAAGCTACTTTCCGAGAATCAACCCAGAATTTATGCAGTGCGCCAACCAGGATGCCAGGCTGAGTTCCTTCGGCATGGCAGCCTCTGGAAGTCATCGATGACGTCGACCACATACGATATCCTTTTTCCCGACTCGTGATTGGTCCCCCGCTGCGTCGTCGAAACATGATAAATAGCGGTCGTCAGCCAGGACGAACACCAGTGTTCTCTCTTCCCTCTTTCTCTCACATCGCTATCAGAAATTACAATACGTTCTTTATTTTCATACTATTTAGCATCATGGTTCAACTAGCTCCTCGCTTCGCCACCCTCCTCGCCTTTTGTTTCCTCGTGTCCGCTACTCCCGTCCTTCCTGCTGCTAGTCCCTACGTGTCTCTTAGCGCAGGCTTGGTCGACCCTACTCCGGGCCCGAATGGTACTCATGCCAATCACACTGCTAGGGCTGTTGCTGTCCTTGTCGCCAATAATACCGCAATCCTCGTCGGGCCTACTCCAAGCCCTCATGGGAATGGGACTCACGCCAACCGCACTTCTAGGGCTGTAGCTGTCACCAACAAACACCCCGTATACGCCATCGAACAACACCCAGGTTCGCAGTCTCACGAACAGGCTCAGGGACACGATCCAGTATGTTGTTCAAACTTGTAATATCGAAGCCGTCATGTTGCTAAATCCATGGTGCAGATTACCGGCGTGCAGAACACCCCCAGCGTGCAACACAACGTTGTCGTGGATAAGAATGCACAAGTCCAGTCCAGTCAAAGTCAGGACAAGCCAGTATGTCGCCGCGCCTGACAAGCATCATCTTTCGCTGACATGACTTCACAGACACAGTCCAGTAGTGCTGCTGCCAAAGCAAGTCCCTCTCAAGGCAAGGGCAAGAGGTACGACGATGGTCAGTACCACCCGAACCCTTCCTACGACAATGGCCAGTACCACCCCAACCCCACGTATAACAATGGTCAGTACACCACCGCGACGGATACGTCTTCTCCCACTCCCACTCCCACTCAGACATATGATGACGGATTGTACCATCCCAATACATCCTACGACGATGGCCAGTATCATCCCAATACAGCCTACGATAACGGCCAATACCATAATGCCGCTGCTGCGAATCCCGTCCCCGTTGCGGTTCCCGACGCGGTCACGTCTGTCTTGGGTGTTGTACTCAATGTAGTACCCGGTACCGGAACGGCGACCCCGACGTCCCAAACGGGCTCCACTACCCCTGCGACGACGAATTCTCCAACGACAATAGCCTCCTCCACGTCTGCACAAGAGACTGCCACTGCCACCGCCACGTCTGGAACCACTACCACGACGGCAACTGATCCCACTGAGACTGCAATGCGCACAGTAGCCGGTGCTGGCAAACGCTCGGACGATGGCCATTACCACCCTGATTCGAGGTTTGACGACGGTAGCTACCATCCCAATCCCAAGTTCAACGACGGCAAGTATCACGTCGGTACCACCGGAGGGAAACGCTCGGATGATGGCCATTACCACCCTGATTCGAGGTTTGACGACGGCAGCTACCATCCCAATCCCAAGTTTAACGACGGCAAGTATCACGTCGGTACCACTGGAGCCAAACGTTCGGATGATGGCAAGTATCGCCCCGATTCGAAGTTGAACAACGGTCAGTACCATCCCGATCCCAAGTTTGACGACGGCAAGTACCATCCGGGGAAGTATCATGGGACGAGGGGGTTAGCGCATCAGGATAAGGTGCGCGCTGTTAGGAGAAGAGCTGCCCAATACTAGGCTTAGGAATTTGTAGGCGTTACTTATTGGACTATGATGCAGATATCACTCTTTCACATAAACTTCTACGTTCTCCTATGTGCGATAAGGATCAGCGAGCTTTAACATTCGTTGAAATCATTGGGCGTGTCCGCGTCGTGAGAGGCCTCTTTTAGCATGACCAGTGAGTTCATGGCGTCAATGACCGTACCAGGGAAAACTCGGGATTTTGCCAGGCGGGAGTAATCGGACTGTTTTGCTTCTTCGGTCATCTTCCTTCTATGATTGTGTCTGCAGACTAGTTCTGCGAGATACAGTACTTAGCCAATAAATTGCGAGGTCTGCAGTGGCTTTGCTTTCCAATTTCGTTGCATGGGATGCAGCGAACTTCGAAGGCAAAGCCACTACATCGAGATTCGAGACAATAATCCAAAGGCGGCTACTTCGATCACAGTCAATCACGCAATCTGAAACATTCGATCCCCTTCAACATATGATTCACAAGAATGCATTGCCAAGGATGTGAAAGTCCTTGTATCCGGCGCGTTCGTGAATTGACTTGCGTCTTAGCTTCTCGTGACCGCACTAGGCTTGTCAAAGATCCTCAAGTTGCCTAATAAACAGCAGGCTGCACGTTCAGACTCTCGGTAAGTACTGCTGCCCCGAACCACCACGAGTGAAGTCAAACTCACTGTTTGGCGCTCCGTAATTCTTGACAGAGCCCAGTGAGTATACCAGACACACTCGCAATGCACACCTGCTTGCAGATTTCGGAGATTTTGAGAATCATTTTTGCAGAAGTGACACAGGTCACAGGTGGCGGCGTACAACCATCATATGCCCTGTACCACCTGGCGTTGACGTGTCGAGCTTTCCGAGAGCCGGCGCTGGACGCCCTGTGGGCACATATACCAACGCCGGATGTACTTGTCATGTGCTTGCCTCAGGACGCTCGTTCTCAACCCATGCTAAAAATGACCATGGAGAATTTTGACCAGTTCGAATGCACGCCTTCCGGGATCGCCGCAGCATTCAGGGTGGTGAGTTGGCTATTCTCTTCTTATTCATTTATATTGTTTACCAATTTCAGAGGCTTCTCAGACCCTTGACCACTGATGATTGGGCTACCTTTCAAATGTATGCGCGTCGCGTACGCTCGCTCACTTTCGCAAAATATGATGCTGAGTCCTACGCCCTGATGAGAGATCGCGGGCTGCACGATAGCGCTGCGCTTGCTCTCCTGGGCTCTCCTGCTTTACCATTCTCCCCGTTTCCTCTGCTTCGCGAGCTATACTGGAATGACCAGCGCGATGTGCTTCTGCCTTGCCTCCAGCGCTGCATTTCCAACTCCCTCACTCGACTAGTCATTCATTCGGAGCTTTGGCCATCAGCAATGGTCGATCTCGTCGCAGGTCTAGGGAAGGCTTGTCCTATGGTCAAAGAATTTCGTTGCTCGATGCCGCCCGCTAGTGCATGTGCCATGATTTCTGATATCGTCACCTACTGGGATGATCTGGAGATCTTAGAGATGGGAGTAGTGAATGCGCAGCAGGCATTGCAGCATCTTGCTTCCCTGGAGAAGCTGAGAGAGTTGAAGATGCTCGTGCCAGAAGGTCACAGCCTGGACGAAGACTTGGCATCGACGTTCAGCGTCAAGTTTTCGTTGGACGAGTTCAGTATAACTGCTGCAAGGATCGAGCCGCTTCTCGCTTTTTTGGCGCCTTTGAAAATTTCTGCGAAGAGCGCGAATCTGAAAATCGACACAGCTTCAAATGCGGATGATCTCGGCCAACTACTTTCCTCCCTCATAGAGCACTTCTATCCCAACGTTTTAGAATCATTGGATGTTTGGATGGCTCGCCCCACTGACCCCACCAATCACGCCCTTTCCGAACTGAGTGCTTCCATCTTTCAAAAGATCCGGGCCTTTACAGGGCTCACCAATCTTAATCTCAGTTCAATCCATGCCTCTATGACCGACCATGAACTTCTAGACCTCATTTCGGCTTGGCCGAAAATGGAACATTTTTACCTTAACACGGCCTGGGATTGGGGGGTGGCCCGCTTGAGGGTAACGTTTCATGGGCTTGCCGGTATCCTCGAGCGCTGTCCAAATCTGCGTTCCCTAGGGGTCGACCTAGACACCTCGCCTCCCCACGACCCACCTGTCTACGTTGATAACCAATACACTGGCATCGCCAGGGATAAAGTCACTGAACTCAACGTTGGGTCTGCGGAATGCAACGACGTCGAGACCATTGGTAGCCTGCTAGCTGAAATGTGTCCCAACTTGATTTCCATCGGTCGCGCGTGTCCCGTAAATCTCAATTACGAAGATCCTTCCGCAAATAACGAATGGTTTGATGGGGAAGCAAAATGGGAAGAGGTTAGAGGGTTCATAGCTCAGAGGAGAAGTGGGCAGCTGGAGCAGAACAATGGTGAGTGCGCTTTATAGTCATGCAGTCGTGCCCTCATTTCTCCTAGTGTAGGATTATTACACTAGCGGTGTCTGATGTAAAGAATTGGTGCTGTTCACACGAACAGGTTGTAAAAGCGACTGCTAGTGATCATGTCTACTAGTATTCAGTAAGGTATGCAACCAAACTTGTTGGACTTTGATGCAAATGTCACTCCTTCACATAAGCTCGTACACTCTGTTTTATCCGATTATGACCAAAGGGCTTCAATATTTGGAGGTGTCCGCGTCGCGAGCCTCCTCGAGTAGCTTTCAGCGGACCTGAGCCTGCTGCATGGCATTACTTTGAGCATGACCACGGTCGCATCGGGTCTTCCTAAGAATCTACAGTGCGTGTTGGATACGTCAATACTTAACCAGTAAATTGCCAGGCCTGTGCGCTAGTATCTCCGCCTTCGGAGTTCGCTAAGACCGTCCAAGGCCTAGGCAAATCCCTCCGATCAGTCAAATTTCCAAGAAGGATTCGGAGAACTAGAAATCCTTTTCTGATTGACCGGCAAATTAGCAAGACCCGATGCGTGAATTAGTTCTACTTAACCATAACTTGCAACCAAATTAAACCAATCCGCCTATGACTGTTGCTCAATGCTGTCATCTATCGCCGGTCTCGAGGACGAAGTTGTAGCTCGATCAGCCACCATCTTTGGTTACGACGGGTCTCCACGAGCAGCCATTGCCAGCTGTATAGGGTAGTCTGACAGAATATCGCGGGGGCCGAGCAGGCGGCAGGACAACAATTAGTGGTTCAGGCCGTTGATTCGACTGCCAAGCCTAACCTCCAGCTCTCGATTGACGGGCCAATATCTCTGATCCATTCAGTATCCTGGACTCTGGGCTGGCGTCCGGGAATTGAACCTTCGACTCCTTCGGAATGATTATTTCTGTTGGCAATGCCATAAGACAAAGTTGTAGTTCAACTTATTGATCTGATCCTTGAAATGTTGATACAAGGAGCTTTGTGGACAAACTTTCGGAGTTGGCAACCTTGTGGCAACCAATTAACTTATATTTCGTGCAAGTCCAATTAACAATTAACGAATTTTAATTGGTCTATGTTAGCAAGTTCTGCGATATTATGTAATATTATACGTTGGACCCAGATTGACACTTGGTTTTCGATGCTACCTTGTCATTCACCAAGGCAATTTGCCCGCACCTAGGCCTGGCATGGACGTTCGATTGCATTGATTGAACCTCGAATCGAACTCCGTGTCTGACAATAGACTAGTCAATTTTAAATCATGCAATCCGAAACATTCGATCGATCACTCCGATTCACAAACTTCTATTTGAAAGGTCGTTCAAGGCGCCGCGGTCTGATTACTCTGAGTGTCTGAACTTTCCCGACTTCGGAAGTCTCAGATTCTCTCGGTCGCATGATCCTCAAGTTGCTTAGCGAACAGAAGGCCGCGCAGATTCTCCAAGACTCCAATCAATAACTACTCCGAACGACCACGACTCAACACCTTGCCTTTTGACACTTGTTCTATCACGATAATTTTTGACCGAGTCTGGTGAGTAGCAGATTATTGTGTCAGATACTGCCACTGGAAGACTGATTGATGATTGCCCATTGTTCAGTCGTGATTAGTACCAATGCACACCTGCCTGCGGATCCCAGAGATGTTGAAAGCTATATTCGCGGAACTGATGCCGGTCACAGAGAGCGGTGTTCAACCATCATTTGCCACTCTGTACCACCTGGCATTGACGTGTCGAGCTTTCCGAGAGCTAGCACTGGACGCCCTATGGGCGCATATTCAAACACCAGATATGCTTGTCATGTGGCTGCCTCAGGATGCTCGTTCTCAACCCGCAACATTCACCGCGAGGGGTCGCACAATAATAGATATCTCTGGGCACAGTCTGGTCAGTCCGATGTTCTTCTCTTTTGAATGTAGTTCATGATATATCGATTTCAGCGGCTTCTCCGACCCTTGGTCGACGACGATTGGACTACTTTTCAAAAGTATGCGTGTCGCGTGCGCTCACTCACTTTTGAAAAATATGATGACTGCAAAACTCGTAAGCTGTACGATAGCGCTGCGCTTGCTCTCCTGGGCTCTCCTGCTTCACCATTCTCCCCGTTTCCTCTGCTTCGCGAGCTATACTGGAATGACCAGCGCGATGTGCTTCTGCCTTGCCTCCAGCGCTGTATTTCCAACTCCCTCACTCGACTAGTCATTCATTCGGAGCTTTGGCCATCAGCAATGATCGATCTCATCGCAGGCCTGGGAAAGGCTTGTCCTATGATCAAAGAATTTCGTTGCTCGATGCCGCCCGCTAGTGCATGTGCCATGCTTTCTGATATCGTCACCTGCTGGGATAATTTGGAGATCTTAGAGACGGGAGCAGTGAATGCGCAAGCATTGCAGCATCTTGCGTCCCTGAAGAAGCTGAGAGAGCTGAAGATGCTCGTACCAGAAGGTCACAGCCTGCAAGTGGACCCGGCATCGACGTTCAGCGTCAAGTTTTCGTTGGACGAGTTCAGTATAACTGCTGCAAGGATCGAGCTACTGGTCGCTTTTTTGGCACCTTTGAAAATTTCTGCGAAGAGCGCGAATCTGCAAATCAACACAGCTTCGAATGCGGGTGATCTCGACCAACTACTTTCCTCCCTTACTGAGCATTTCCAACCCAATGTTTAAAATCATTGTATGTTTGGGTGAATCGCCCCACCGATTTCGACGATCATTCCTTTTTCGAACTGACTACTTCCGCCTTCCGAAATATCCGGACCTTTACAGGGCTCACCAATCTCGATCTCAGTTCAATGCATGTCTCTATCACCGACGACGAAGTTCTAGACCTTGTTTCCGCTTGGCCGGAAATGGAATGTCTTTACCTTGACTCAGCCTGGGACTGGGGGATTTCCTTCATGGGAGTGACATTTGGTGGGCTTGCGGGTATCCTCGAGCGCTGTCCAAATTTGCGCTCCCTAGGGGTCAACCTAGACACCTTTCCCCCCTACGACTCACCTGTCCACGTCGATAACCAAAATACTGGCATTACCAGGGAGAAATTCACTGACCTCAGTGTTGGGCATGCGGCATGCGAAGATGTCGAGGCCATTGGCAACCTGCTAGCTGGGATATTTCCCAACTTGACCCAGATCTATCGTGCGCATCCCATAGATATAGATTATGATGATCTTTCCGATCAGAATGAATGGTTTGAAAGGGGGAATGAATGGAAAGAGGTTGAGAGTTTTATCATTCAGAAGAGAATGAAACAACTGAAGCAGAACGACGGTGAGTGCACTCCATACTAACGCAGTCATGATCTAACATGCCCTAGTGTAGGACAAAGATGTACCAACGGATTGTGTTGATGCTGCCCAAGTGAACGAGTTTTGCTTGCTCTGTACAAGATGGCTGCCACGTGATTCTGTATATTAGGGGGACCCGCTCAACATGCATGGTGGAGACACCGAGCCGGCACGTTCAACTGTTATAATAGTGTTTTACTTGTGCTAGCTTGCTTTTATATTAATGTGGAGGCCGTTTGCATGGAAGAGGAAGATTCACAAACGTTTCTGTCAAGAATATCTTCTGCCACCATTAATATTGTTACCCGACCATATCAACCTCGCGAAAGACGCTCGAGGCAGATAGCGATACGCATTACGAATTCAGCGCAGGTGAATCAAGATATCATTGACTGCAGACTGAGAGGTTTGTTGTGATCATATTGTTACACCATCCAAACTGCTGACGAGTACATAAATGTTTCAGGTCAGCAATCATTAATCACGCGCGGCCCTTGGTACTTATAATAAGTTGACCAGGAGGGGATAGGAAAAGTTGGACGGTGCGATTGAGCGTAGATTTGTTACGGCAAAGCTGGACCTCAAGCCTCCGTACGTTAGAGCCGATGCGAAGTTCCGGCCCAGATACACAAAATTTGCGCCTACACGAGTGTCTTCGCATTGAATGCTGAATTGAACTAACATTTGACAGCGCAGAGGAACTCTTCTTATGGATGAGCGAATTGTAGCCCAAGCTAGAAGCGTCCAGCAAAGCGTGGCGAGGCGGACTATGTCTTTAGCACCCTGCAGGTACCCGTCTCCTAGGATATCTAGACGCCAGATGACAGCAGTGGTCAGGGGGCTACCGCTACCCCAATCGCGCTGACTCGTTCTGTTTAGGAATGACACTACTGAGGAAGCGACCCTTTAATCAGTATCGGCTATCTTCGGACCGACCAGCGTGCGGAAATGAAGGAACCCTCTTCATCAAGGGCCCAGATGCTGGCTTCAGTACTTGTATCAACCTTTCTTGTGCGACGACTTGCATATTTGAATAGACGCGGCCAGTTGAAAATAATGGTCACTAGTACTAGTAAGTAGTACTCTCGTCCAGTCACTGAATTCCTAATTGTCGGACATCGGATCATAACGACCACAGCTATTATGTAACTCGTTAGGGTAGTACTACTAACAGTCACCGGTCACCAGCTGTGAACGAAGGAGATAAGAAGTAGTACGTGCCGGTAAAACATGTACTCGACTTGTAAGAGTTGACCTAATAATTAGTTCACCCATGACAGCATACGCCTTCTGTGCGCTCAACGCCCACTCAATTTTCTATCTTGTGATACGAAGCACTCGTCGTCTGGGCAAGCGACTCAACGGAATCCACGCCTTTTACCTCATCAAAAGATTGTGATTGCGATTACGGGCTAGGTGCCAAATCGATATTCCAATTGCCATAAAATGGGACAGCATATTTCATCCGACGATACTGCTCGTACGCGAATTTTTTTATCAGATACCCCCACCCAACAGCCTGGCTCTGTCCTGGATTCCATGATCAACTCTGTTGACCCGAGCGAGCCTGCTTCGTCAGGCAGCTCTCAGGCCCACATCCCGAGCCAGCCTGAAATGGTCGGCAAACAATCCTCACTATCTTCACCTCGCAGATTTCGGGAAGTTATCAACGAGTTCGCCGCTTCTCTAAAATGCAGTCTAGTGCTCGAGAATAAGGGTAATGTTGCTCGTGATCATCTTGCATCAGAGCGAACCTATCTTGCCTACGTTCGCACCAGTCTCGCATGTGCAAGTGCTGGAGTAGGTGAGACCGTGATCTGTGCTCTGCCCATGATAATCGCTTACAAGTAGAGGCAATCAACAGCCCTTGTACAGCTGTTCACGCTTTCCAATTCCACAGATGCAAATACCCATGGTCAAGGAGAGATTGTTCCACAGCGTTTTGCTCGACCACTTGGCGCCACGGTGGTGCTCTTGGGTTTGTTCATCCTAATTTATGGCGAGTCCTATAATTGTACCACCTCATGCATTCTCATAAGTCGTAGGCCTCGTACGCTACTTCATGACCCAGGCGGCCCTCGTACGGGGTTTCTTCCCGGTGGCACGCAATTCCATTGCTGCCCTGGCATTTGCCCTTGGGGCCGTCGTTGGCATCGTTTTTGGGGTACTAGTTGCTGAAACCCGAGGCTAAAGTGTGGGGCTGGTCACTGTAACCGTATATGGTTACGGTAGTACAATTGTACGGTAGCCATACGGGTACTGCCCGTATTGTACCGTATGTCATACCTCGATATCCTCAACGGTGCGGTGCGGATCACTACATGGTCATGCGGCCAACCAATACGGTCGTACGGTATATGAAGATACTGAATTACAGTAGCTAGATGTAGTATCAACCCATCAACTACCGCGATGGCATTTAGCAGGTCGAAGGGACCGAAAGAATGTGCTTGAGAGTCGACGGTACGGCAGAAACTACACAGTGGAATATTAGTATACCTATAGACAATAGTTTTGAGCAGGTTGAACTCACCAGGGATAGCGAGCTAGCCAGACACGACAGGTTCGGAAATTGTGAGCAGCAGCCTGCTCACCGGCCACAGGCATCCCTCGAGGTCGTTGAGCGTTTTTTGTACTGAGCTGTTAACTGATCCTTTGCGTGGTCCAAATGACTTCGTAACTTGTGGCCATCGTCGCAGTCAGTTGAAAGGCTTTCGAACGAAATTTGGGAGTTAACCGGTAACCGACCAAGGACTGTAAAGGAACAAGTTGCAGAATACTGGTCAGGTGATACTCTCGGCAGCATTCCGCTCACTCATCAAAATGAAATTAATGAATTGTCTACAGCCACATATAATGTTGGGTCTCAGATCTCAATTCTGATGTAAACATACTTCAATGTGATCAGGTCTACTATCTGCAGGTAACTCGTTCTCAAGATCTCAACTTTCATTCACAGAACGTTCTCCATTCATGAAACCCTATTCCGTGACTCCGTTGCCTTCACGTCACACTTCACGCAACCTTATCGATGTGGAACAACCCATAGCCCTGGGTGGCTTATGATCAGCGCTTGGACGTATTCAGTCATTCTCTTGGTCTGAACGCGGCACAATATAAAACACCTCAAGGCAGGCATTATACTCTATAGTTTAAGATCGGCTCTTTGTTCTAATCTGGAAATCCACAGGAATTACTCTGAGCAACGCTGTTAGTTGATTTCTCTTTCCAAACACAAGCATACCAGTGAGGTTTCTCAGCTCAAGAGATAGGAACACCGTGCGATATAACCATTAACAGGGCCACGCATTACCATCGTTGAGCAAATTCAGAGAGGGGATGTTCTGGGAGTTGACCAAAAGGGCCAAATCCATCACTCGAGGAGATAAAAAGGCGCCAGGACGCAGAGGCAGCTGCTGAGCAAGCCCGAAAGGATGCTGAGGCTGCGAGAGCACAGATCGCCGAGCTCATCAGGTCGAATCAAGAATCGCAGGAAAGGGCTATGGAGGCTCAGTGGGCCGCTGAGCAAGCTGCGGCAGCCTCACAGGATCAGACCCATAGGGAAATGGAGGCAATGGTCGAGGCCGAATGGGCTGCCAACGAAGCTTGCTTACTGGCAGAAGCCGCTGCTCGTACCGCTAGCGAAGAAGTAAAATACAGAGCAGCAGAAGCAGAAGAGGAGCATAAGCGAACTGTCGCTGTCCAAGAACAAGCCAAACGAGACGCCCAGGCTGCCCAGGAGCAGTCCAAGAAACTACAGGAGGCTGCCGATAAAGAGAAGAGGAGAGAAATTGCTGCCCAGGAAGCGGCCAACACGTCAAAGAAAGTGGCAGAAGAGCAATTAAAGGCAGCCAATGCTGCCAAGGAGGAGGCTGAATGTTACAAGTAACATCGGCTACATGGCCCCCCTATCATTTTTCCCCTTCGTCCTCGCCCTCATATGCCTCCGGCTCGCACTCCTCTACCGACTATCCGTTGACCGGATCCTCGGGACCGTTCCCGTCCCTCATCCCCCTCCTATCGCACCAACGTGCGCACGTGCCTTCGGGCTATGACTCATTCTGACTCGTGCCACCAATGTGGCTTTCCTTATCTTGTCTTATCTTTCCTTTGACTCGTGCATGCTGCACATTGTATCATTTACCATTGGCTCGTTCCAACGTTTCTCGGTCTCATTCCGCATTCGACCTTACATCACTAATCAGGCTCTGCCACCATCGTACCTATACCCTTTCCGTTTCCCCTTTGCCCTTACCTACAGTACGGTAGCCTTGCCCTTAACCCTTTCCACTTAGTATAAGTAGTCGGTCACTCTGTACTAGATTCCCTAACTTGAATCTACTCAATCTTCCCTCGAACATACTTCCCTCTGAAGCCCCCTCAGCTTCAGTCTCTAGTATCTTTTCTTAGGTGCTCATCGCGCCTAAGTCCACCTCGATCGACCACCTCATCGTTTGGACAAGACTGTCCTTACTTTGAGACCGTCAGTGACTTTGAAGACATCCGTCTTAGAAGTCACGTGACACGCGCGTCTCTGATATCTGCCGACTCGACATCGCCAGTCTCAGTCGCTACACCGGATCCTTCTGGTTACGTCACGAACGTTAGCGGACGAAGCCTCTCTTAGGGCTCCGCGTAACAGATCTATTTGAGTGCGTAACAAAAGATTCAAGTTACTCCTTTTTGCGCCCTGCCATCTGCATGGCCAATAACCGACAGACACCACGACTACCTGGACCCCGAAGTACCCTTGGGAACGCGATCCCAACACTCCGGACTCCGAAGAAGAAGAATCGGAAGAAGACCATACGTCCTCCGACGAGTTTCCCGACGAACAACCGTACGGTAACCTCAACTCGAACCCTGGAACAAGAATGTCCGGAGGCCCCACCCCACAACCAACAGTGGTCGTATCCAGGCCTGAACTAAAGGCTGGAGTACCACAGAACTATGATGGAAACATCGATGATGCCGAGCGCTGGATGTACTCGGTGGAGACATACTTCCTCATCAACTCGACGATCTACAGCTCCGACCAAACCAAGGTCGCTGTTGCACTCCAATACATGAACGATGGAGACGCCCGCGTCTGGGCCGACACCTTCTACCGAGCAGCCTTCGACAAACCTGCCGTCGACTTCGGTAGCTGGAAGGACTTCAAGAAGGCTTTCACCGAATCCTTCCACCCGGTCGACCGGATGACTGAGGCTCTAACCAAGCTTCATGGTTTGACCCAAACTGGCGACGTGATGCCCTACATCGCAACGTTCAAAACCCTGTCGTCCACTGCTAGTCTCAAGCAGGATGTCGCCCTCATCCACTTCTTCGAACGAGGGTTGAAACCAGGACTTCGAACCGCCATCTACACGAAGGAGGTCGTCCCCAACACCATCGATAAATGGTACACTGCCGCGACACAGTTGGAAGCCAACTACAAGCGATCAAGAGCAGTTGTGTCCAACAACAGATCGGTACGCCCTTCCGGGCACCGGCACGTCCCCAAACCTCAGGTTCACCAACGTGATCCTGATGCTATGGACGTTGATCGTTCCCTCACGCCTGAGGAACGACAGAAGTGCTTCGATAAAGGCCTTTGCTTCAAATGCAAGGAAAAGGGCCATCGAGCAAACGACTCCCGGTTCCACCCGAAGGTGCGCCGAGGAGACAAGAACGACGAAGAAGACAAAGGCAAGAAGCCAAGCAAGTCTGGCGTCCGCCAGCTTGACGAGTCTTCTGACGAGGAAGACATGGAAGTCAACCTTGTCAAAAGAAAGGATTTTTAAAGAGAGGGCTTGTCGAACGGTCAATTCCCTCTATCTGCGCATTGTATACTAAAGCTGTTGGTAAATCCAACGAGTTTTGTGTCCCGGTGACACTTTTCTCTTCTTGCAGTGCCAAAACCGTTCAGTCGACCGCCATCATCGACTCAGGGGCAGGTGGGACCTTCATTAGCTATGACTTCGTCAAGCGAAATGGGATCCGGACCCACCTACTCAAGAAACCCTTCCGGATCACCACAGTAGACGGAAGCCCGTCCTCAGCAGGACAGGTAACCCAATACTGCATGCTATTCATTCGTCTCGATCGGAGACTTATGTATGGAAAGTTCAACGTAACGAAACTTTCCAAGCATGATGACCTACTTTTTGGAAAACCTTGGCTTAGTGCCATGATGCCCAATATCGACTGGAAGGCCAACACGATCTCCCTGCCTGCGACCAATAGGTCGAAGGAGGTGGAGAGGGAACTCAACGCCTCCAGACGAGAAAGCAAGGCCAAGCCATATCTCTTTCGTGGAGAAAAGGCTGTCCTAGAAGAACTCGACGACGAGGACTTTTCGCCCCTCAAGCGACTCCCCAAGGGCACCCAACATTGCCTCAAGGAAATCAAGAAACGCAAGAAGCGTAACAAGAAGAAGACGGCGCCAATCATCGTGTCCTTCGAAGATACCGACTTCAACACCATGGACGATGTCTGGGTCGGACAGACCCATCTTGCGGATAAAGTTGAGGAGATCTCCACTTATCCCCTCACTGACGATGAAATCCTAGTGGAATATGCTTCGGACGGAACATCCGTCCGGATCATCGAAAACATCTCTTTCGACACTCCGCTCACCAAGGACGGGACCTCGAAGAAAGAAATCCGGAAGGCTCTCCACAGACGAGCAAAACCTCTCCGGAACCTCTGGATCCTCGCTTCTCAGCAGGACTACACGAAGACCTCCAACAAAGCTCAAGAATTTGCTATGGAGGACGCGCAGGAGAAAAAGAAGAAATCATTTGAAGAACTGGTACCTTCCTATCTTCATGATTTTGCTGACATCTTCGCAAAGGACGGTTTAAACAAACTCCCTCCCTCTCGACCGGGAGTAGACCACAAAATCGAAACAAAGGAAGGCTTCATTCCGAAGTCTTCTCGAGCCTACCCGCTCTCACCAAAGGAAACCGACGCTGTCAAAGCATTTTTGGACGAACATCTCGCCAAAGATTTCATCCAACCCTCGAAGTCTCCTCAAGCTGCTGGATTCTTCTTTGTCGGCAAGAAGGACGGTTCTCTCCGCCCCTGCCAGGACTACCGATACATCAACGAATGGACGATCAAGAACGCGTACCCACTCCCTTTGATACCACCCTTGCTTGCGAAACTCAACAAAGCGCAATGGTTCACAAAGGTCGACGTACGCTCAGGATATAACAATATCCTCATTCACCCCGACGACAGGTGGAAGGCCGCATTCTCCACCTCATACGGGCTCTTCGAGCCCAAGGTAATGTTTTTCGGATTGTGCAATTCACCCGCTACCTTCCAAGCTTACATGAACCAGACATTTTCAGAAGAACTGAACGAAGGATGGTTAATCGTCTATATGGACGACATCCTGATCTTTTCAGATAACCTGGACGAACACCGGCAGAGGACCCGCCGAGTGTTGGAGAAACTCCGCAAAGAGTCTCTCTTCCTCAAACCCGAGAAATGTACTTTCGACTCTCAAGAAGTCGAGTACCTCGGTATGATCATTCGACCTGGACAGGTCGCTATGGACACTGCCAAGCTGAAAGGCATCAGCGAATGGCAACAACCCTCTTCAGTCAAGGACGTGCGGTCCTTTCTTGGATTCTGCAACTTCTACCGTCATTTCATTCCCCACTACTCCGACATCGCACGCCCTCTCCTCGATCTAACCAAGAAGGAGATCCCCTTCTCTTGGTCCGATTCTACCGAGGCTTCATTCCAGCATCTGAAGAAGCTTTTCACCACCGAACCGGTTCTGCGGAACCCCGACTCCTCGCGACAGTTCGCACTTGCAACTGACGCCTCGCTCTTCGCGACCGGAGCAGTCTTGCTCCAGACGGATAGCAATGGGGATTACCACCCCTGCGGCTACCTCTCCCAGTCCCTCAACGCGGCCGAATGGAACTACGAGATCTACGACCGAGAACTCCTTGCCATCATCCGAGCCCTTCAGGCTTGGAGGCACTTCCTTGAAGGAAACCCTCACCCAGTCATTGTCTTCACGGATCACAAGAACCTGATCTATTTCCGCTCCGCGCAACGACTCACCCGACGACAGGCCCGGTGGCACCTCACGCTCACCAACTTTGATCTGGAACTTCACCATGTTCCTGGAACAAAGCTCGCTGCACCGGATGCCTTGTCCCGCCGTCCGGACCACGCTATAGCTGGTCAGGATAACGAGGATCGTATCCTCCTCCCCGACACCCTGTTCACCTGTCTAATCGACGCTGAACTCGCAGACGAGTTTCAACGACTCTCTGACGATCCCTCCGACCAGACTGTGAAAACAGCCTTGGACGCCCTTTCCGGGGTGTGCGCACCTCCCATGAAGTCTGCACTTTCCGATTGGAGGTTCACCGATGGTGTTCTCTTCTATAAGGATCGTGCCTACGTTCCCCCCGACCTCCGGCATCGCGTGTTGTCTCTACATCACGATCACCCTACCGCCGGGCACCCCGGGCGTTCCGGTACCGAATGGAACGTCAAGAAATCCTACTGGTGGCCCGGAATGGGCTCCTTCATTAGGAAATACGTCGATGGCTGCGCCATGTGCCAGCAGATGAAGGTTAACACCCACCCCACGACACCTCCCCTCACCCCGATACCCTCCTCGGCCCTCCGGCCCTTCGCTCAGGTCTCGGTTGATTTAATCACCGACCTCCCCGAGAGCGCCGGCTACGATTCTGTCATGGTCGTGGTAGACCATGGGCTTACGAAGGGGGTAATTCTCTGCCCTTGCAGAAAAACCATCACAGCGGAAGGAGTAGCCGAACTTTTCTTCAAGAAAGTGTTCATGCGCTTCGGACTCTATGATAAGATCATCTCGGATCGAGGCCCCCAATTCGCCTCGAAGCTAGCAAAGGAGCTAGGACGACTCCTCAACTACCAAGTCGCACTTTCCACTGCCTATCACCCTCAGACAGATGGCCAGACCGAACGGCTCAACCAAGAGCTCGAAACCTACCTCCGGATCTACTGCCGGACGACTCCCTCCGAATGGGCAAAGCACTTGCCTATGGCCGAATTTGTTCATAACTCCCGACGACACTCTGCCAGAAATGCCTCTCCCTTCTATCTCATGATGGGCTACGAACCACGAGGCATCCCCCATCTCTTCCCCGACTCTACCCTACCAACCGCCGAAGACCGAGTCAAATCACTCGCCAAGATCCGCGAAGAAGCCCTTGCATGCCACAGCCTCGCGCAGCAACGCATGGCTGATCGTTCCTATGGCCAGCGTTACAAGCCATGGAACGTTGGTGATAAGGTATGGCTATCCGCCACAAACCTGATCACCAGATTCCCTTCTAGGAAACTCGCCCCGAAACGATATGGACCCTTCCCAATCCAGAAGGTCCTCTCCCCCATCACGTTCCAGCTCAAGCTGCCTGCCAGCTGGCGTATCCACCCCACGTTCCATGCCTCGGAACTTTCCTCCTATCAGGAGACAGACGTGCATGGACCGAATTTCACCGAACCTCCTCCTGATCTTATCGATGGAGAGGAACACTACGAAGTGGAAGCTATCCTCCAACACAAGGGTACCGGATCGCGTCGCCGGTACCTCGTGTCTTGGGTTGGCTATCCTGCCTCCGAACGAACATGGCTCCCCGAAACAGAATTGAAGTCCGCAGCGGAGCTCCTGAAGGCGTATAAGAAGCGACTCAAGATCGCTTCAATCGCCATCTCATGTTGATCAACAACCGCCACCGCAACTTCTCCTACCGCCCTCACTACACTAGGGCTGACCCCACCAGCGAACCCATCCACACCGATACCAAAGCCTTCCATCGCCAACAAATCCGCAATCGCCACCGCCCCAAGAAATCCACACCCGTCGACAAACAGAGACCCACTACCCAATACCCCACCTACGCCACTACCCAAGGAAAGACGCTCCACTATGTCGGCCTCAGCGTCGTCTGTTTCCTCGCACCGATCCGCTACCTCTCATGTGTCTGCCTCCGACCCCGACCCGACGAGCCAGCCAACGCATGGCCATGATAGGCCCTCCTACACCGTCTTCCGACGACCATCCCTTCGCTCAGTTGTCCAAGACAGGCAACGGGCCTATTGGGAAGCAGTCATCTGCGATCCCCAGTATGCAATCCGACTCGACAACTATCTCAACCGCACCAACGACGACATAACCATGAACCTCGTTCAGGCCTTCAGGGCCACCGATGCTCTCACCGGCAATATCGCCAGGATTGACCTGGCTAGGGAGACTGCCCTATCCACCGTCTCAACCAGATACAACCAAGGCAAGATCAAACGAGCCTTGCTAAATCTGTTTGAACTTAGGAACTTCCATGCCGCCGTCATGGCCGTCGAGGAGGAGCGGGCATTTAATCCCCCTCCCGACCCGCTTGCAGTCGTCGAGCGTGCTGTCTATGACAGAGCTCCGACCCCCTTCCTTCCCCAGCTACCCCGCTCTGAATCACCAGAGCAGATCCCCAATGTCACCCAGTTAACCAACCCCGAGATCGACCGTCTCTATAACGAATACGAACGCGAGCTCTACGCCCCACGTAACCCCTCCCCCATCCTCGATGCCGACACCATCTCTATCATCATCCCAGAGTTGGATGAATGCCCCCCCGCATCACCTGTTCTCAACCCCGACGATTGGGTACCCACCGAGACGGTCCCACACCTCTCTATTGGTTCTCCGGAACCCCTTCCCACTCCGCAACGCCGAAATCACCGTGCTCGTGCACGATCCATCTTGTCCCTAGGACTACCCCTCTCCCATGCGCATCGACCGCGCACCCAGAACTTCACTAGGCACTATCCTCGCGAGGAAGCCCAGGGAGACGCTATCAACGACGCGCGTCGTGATGCCACCGAGACCACCCAGGTCTACCGCAGCAACGTTGTCTGCCGCCAGTGCCGTGTCTACAGACACAAACAGAAACACTGCGCGCAATACTTCTGCCGCATTTGTGGGCAATTTGCCCCAAAACATCTCACTCCTTTCTGCCCTCGACTTGACGGCAGGAAGATCCTTCGTCGTGGAACCTCTTCCGACCGGTTCTACAGGGACATGCAGCAGCTCGAAGCTGCGTATGACCAGGACGCTGCTCGTCTTGAGCAAGAACGCGAAGAGAATGCAATCGAAGCCGCCTCCTGGCTCGAAGACCTCGACTTTGACCCCGCATGGTATAACAACCAGGACGACTACATTCCTCTGGACGACGATTAAAGAGTTCGTGGAACTCTACCTTGAAACGGGGGTAATGTTACAAGTAACATCGGCTACATGGCCCCCCTATCATTTTTCCCCTTCGTCCTCGCCCTCGTATGCCTCCGGCTCGCACTCCTCTACCGACTATCCGTTGACCGGATCCTCGGGACCGTTCCCGTCCCTCATCCCCCTCCTATCGCACCAACGTGCGCACGTGCCTTCGGGCTATGACTCATTCTGACTCGTGCCACCAATGTGGCTTTCCTTATCTTGTCTTATCTTTCCTTTGACTCGTGCATGCTGCACATTGTATCATTTACCATTGGCTCGTTCCAACGTTTCTCGGTCTCATTCCGCATTCGACCTTACATCACTAATCAGGCTCTGCCACCATCGTACCTATACCCTTTCCGTTTCCCCTTTGCCCTTACCTACAGTACGGTAGCCTTGCCCTTAACCCTTTCCACTTAGTATAAGTAGTCGGTCACTCTGTACTAGATTCCCTAACTTGAATCTACTCAATCTTCCCTCAAACATACTTCCCTCTGAAGCCCCCTCAGCTTCAGTCTCTAGTATCTTTTCTTAGGTGCTCATCGCGCCTAAGTCCACCTCGATCGACCACCTCATCGTTTGGACAAGACTGTCCTTACTTTGAGACCGTCAGTGACTTTGAAGACATCCGTCTTAGAAGTCACATGACACGCGCGTCTCTGATATCTGCCGACTCGACGTCGCCAGTCTCAGTCGCTACACCGGATCCTTCCGGTTACGTCACGAACGTTAGCGGACGAAGCCTCTCTTAGGGCTCCGCGTAACAGATCTATTTGAGTGCGTAACACTGAATGCAAGTTGAAAGAAGACATTCAACCTGTGGTGACTCCCACACCTGAAGAAGTCAGCGCCGCCAAGCGGAAATTTCAATATCGGGAGGATCTTTTCCACTTTGCAGTAGCCAGGGTGGCAGGAGGAGGGAAATCATCCCTCATCAATGCCTTCCGCGGTTTGCTTAAAAAGGATATGGGAGCTGCTGCCACAGGCATCACAGAGACAACGCCAACTATGGCTAGACTCCCCGACCCCAATGTGGAATACCCTCTTGTCTGGTGCGATATCCCGGGCGCAGGCACGCTCAAAATCCCAGACTGGCAATACTTCAATACCCAAGGCCTTTACATCTTTGACGGTATCATCGTCCTGTTCGACAATCACTTCACTATGACCGACATCGTCATCCTTGTCAACTGCAGGTGTTTCAAGATCCCCACATATATCGTGCGCTCTAAGGCAGATCAGCATAACTTGAATATCATGAAGGATGATGGGTACGATAGCAATGATGAGAGTGAGGGCAAGAAGAAGAAGCTTTACCAGGCTGCACGACAGCAGTTCATTTTGAAGACGCACCGGAGCATGAAAGACAACATGAAGAATGCCAATATGCCTGATCAAAGGGTTTACATTGTTTCGAATACAACAATATTTGGTGTTGTGAAGGGAAAGCGGCCAAAGAAGATCATCGACGAGATCGACTTGTTGAGCGACTTGATCCGAGAAGCCCAGACCAGGCGAGGACACCCTAATGCTGAGAATGAATGAGTAGTCAGTGATTATACAGTTCTTCTTACATTTCTTCCTTCGGGCTCTTGCTGATACTTCTCCATTCTCGACACAATCATACTGCTTGTGACCGATCTTGACTGCAGACTCGCAGATACAGTTCATTCTACATTTTTTCCTCTTGGCTGACGTTACGTCTCCACATGTTCTTACCGCTTGAGAATGACTGATTTCCATCCCACTGGATAATTACAATTACAAAGGGTTTGCAGTTGAGATTTCTGTTATGAACCTAGATCCACAAGACGAAAGGCATCGCAGGACTTCTGATGTAACACGATCTGCACCTCCCACATCCAACTTTCTTCGGGGCAGTTGTGAAATGAATTTTTGGGTGTTTGACCTCGTGCAGATAGTGTTCGAATGATTGCATTGTTGAGCTAACTTGTTGCACAATTTCCAGATCTGCCTGGACCACCGGAAATTCATTAGATTTGAAGAAATCGTCTCCCATTTTTATATCAGCACTTTATTACCCTTAGCGAAATTCCATCGAGAAACATGGTAGGATTGGCGCTGGCACTTGAATGTAAATGAGGTCTCCTGCTCCCGATTTACGATGGTAGCTGATGAGTGAATTATGTAGACATTGTACAAATTCAAGGCATCACTTCTCGGTTGTATTATGTAATCGTAGCGGCAGTGACCGGCCAGTCCCCGACTCTGCCCAACCATAACCATATTAAGTGCCGGCAGACGGTCCGACCACCCGACCCCATTTGTATGACTCAGTGATGTCATCTGGACCCGAGTCTTACGCAGACTGAACTCCAATTTGAGTTCTACCACAGTGTGTTTATACCTTAGTATGAAACACATGATTCCCAGCCGCAGCGCCAGATTTTTATGACCACAACCCTAGATTCGTATATCCCATCATTCCACCAATGCAAAAATCAGTTCTTTCCTCGATCTCTGATACCATCACTCTTCTTCTAAATACCCCAATCGTCCCTCCGCCGTCCAAACGAACAAAGGACCTCGCGCTCACCGAGTTACCTCGTTCGACTCCTCGACGACGTGCGGAAGCACTGGAGCTGGAGAGATCTCGGAGCGTAGATTTGGCGGCTGGAGATACGTGTCTACAGGTAGCCAATTTAGGATGGCTCTGTCTCTGAACTATCTAACGGCCTGTGCAGAGGATGTCAGACGAAAGCGGACGTACAAGTACCCAGAGTCACGGAAGTAGTGATCAATCTGTAAGAGACGACCTGCCCACTGGGATGGTGGAGCCAGTCGCGCATCAGTTGTCTAGGCGGTCATCATATATACAGGCAAGTATGACTCATCGACACTCAGATCCCTCGGTTTTGACCATGCATAAATCAGGACGAATTGGAGGCTGGCCTACATCTGGCAATGAACGCCGAGCACGCAATGCGCCGGGCAGAAACGTAGTTCAGGTGTGCAGGTTGTAATACTTCAAGTTGGTTGTATGATCTCCAAGGGTGTGGCTAGAACTAATAGAACAGCAAGTCTAGTTGATCAGTTTCATCTATTTTAGCTATCCAATTCGTATAATACAAACACGCTATCACCAAATTCCTATCATTATCAACGCAGGTTTTCAGGCGTGAAAAATGTAACGCGTATCACTTCTTGAACACCCTCAAGAGTACCAACCTCGTTGTGAGAACCAGTGGAAGTTTTGAGCAGGGTGATTCGTTCTCCAAAACCATCGAACTGATCCATTAATCCGAAGTTGGGGATGACAGTACGGGTCAGTAAGGACTCCCGAGTTTCCCTTCGCGTGATCAGTTGAGCATGGTACTCGCTCCACTGCTGTGTCGACCACGACTCTTGGCTTGTTGATGGAGAGTAGACGGGAGGGAGATATGGTTCCAGGAGAGCGTCAAATAGAGCGTCAGAGTGGGTGTGAGAGATATCCCAATCATCCTCCGCGTGCAATATCAATATTGGTACCTTGAGTTTCTGGACGCAAATCAGTGAGGTGCTAGATAACCTAGGAACAGAGCGTTTACATACCGATATCGCCGATAAAGTGTCAAACTTGTGGACGAGAAAACTCTTATAAATACCTTTGAGACACGCAAAGTCAGGTATGTCGGCGTTCGGTGATGTTTTCCAGACTTACCGGCCGCTCGAGGTATCATGTTAATCGGTAACATGACAGGAAATACACCAAAAATGTTATAGGTATCTATCAGGGTATAGAGCGAGGAAAAAGGAGACATAAGGACGGTCCCTCTGAACTTGACCCCGTCTTCGGAGAGGCCGACAGAAAGCCCGGACGCCACTGCAGTTCCCAAGCTGTGACCAACTATAAGGACATCCTGCGGTGAAGCACCTTGCGCGATCAGCCAATCCCATGCAGCTCTTGCATCTAGTGACAAGCCGTCCTCTGTAGGCGTGCCTGGACTATCTCCGAATCCACGATAATCTATCGCCAGGACATTTGCGTCCAGGCGCGAGGTAAACCCGGAATATAGGCGAACGCGCATGCTTAGAGCCCGCGTAGCAGCATTGCCATGAAAAAAAAGCACAGTTGGACGCTGTGCCACAGCCTCTGAGATGTGCAATTCTGCAGCAGATGGAGGCGGGGGAAAGGACAAGTTGTGATATATGGTATCCGAGAGAATGAACCATGCACCGAGAGTGTGATTGTCTGCGGTCTGAATCTTGATGTTCGCCGTTTTCCCAGCTGACGTATCCGCAACCAATCCAATGAGTTCGAAAGAAATGAACGCGATGGAGTAAAACGTACGTGCAAGACCATGCCTTTCCGGTGCATCAAAATGTGCGTTCCAAGGTAGCTTCAAGGCGTTCATGTACACTACGCTTAATTACGTCTCGAGTTCTACATGCGCAGTCGTGAAGGATGAATGATTGGACTTACTGGGACTGGACCCACGGCACTGCTAGAAGGATGACTGCCCCCAGGTAGAGAAACCCGAGGACCGCAAAAACCCTCCTAAGCCGTGCAAACAAACCATCGTTGTCTGGTTGGATGGACATAAGGAAGTACTACTGGGTATAAGTACGGCACTGCGCAACCGGCGCAACATTCGGTTCACTATTATCTAATACATATTAGTGATCGTCCACTTCTTATTGGACCAGCGGTTTGATACAGCTGCGGGCATGCCTACGATCCACTTCATCATGAAGGCCAAGGAGGGTCAACAGAGGCGCAGCTGGTCCAGGTCTCGGTACAATTGCCGGATTACGTCTATAAATCCGTGGCACACGTAACACACGCTGCGTTTGACTGCATCTCATACTAGTAATCCGTTGGCTCCCGATGATCCTGATATTTCTATCGAAGACAAATGCTCGGCTGAGAAACTATCGAATACAGGGAAATGCAAAAAAAGTAATTCTTTGAATTCGTGCTCCTAGACAGGATATCTGATTTACCTACGCGCAGGTGATTATCCGGCTTATACTCGCTAGTGTATGAAAGATCAAACGGGAGTCGTATGGCGCTGGATCTGTTCAACTATTCTTCACACACAAAACTCATACACACGCACAGACACGACACACACACAAACGAGACGCACACACATAATCACTCCTTCGCATACATACTCTTGTATCGTAGAAAAATTAGTACTGCACTACTAGATCTGACATGATTCGATAATCAAATTATATTGCAGACAAGGTCCCCAATGAAGAACTGTAGAGTCCAAGGGGCAAACAAAATGCACCGAAGCCGCCAGCATTGGCAGCAAAGCCTCGAATCTTTTCAAGGCCTGCCGGTGGACGAGACGGAGCAATGAGAAGTGAGTAGGTCTCAGAGCGATGATGAAGGTTTCTATAAGCGCAAAGCAAGTAGAGTCCAAGGGCAAACAAAATGCACCGAAGTCGCCAGCATTGAGAGCAAAGCCTCGAAACTTTTTAAGGACCGGCTGGTGGACAGTGCGCAAAGATGCAGGTGACGTGGCGGGCGCTTGTTGTGGTGCCGCAGTTGATGGTCTCAATACCGAGCGACATCGAGAAGTAGGAGGGCATGAGAGATGGGGCGCGGCATGAGAGAACAAGTGGGAGAGAGTTAGCACGAGAGAACAGGTATGAGAGAGCAAGCATGAACGGGTGCAAGAGAGCGAGCACAAACAAAAGAGTTAGAGCGAGCATGAGAACGGGCGCGAGGGACCAGAAGTATAGGTCCGTAGACATTGATTGGTTCACGAGAGAACGGGTAGGCGCAAGAGATAGTAACTGCAGGAGTGCAAGATGCTTCGCAGTAAGAATATAGAAAAATGATAAAAAGTCAAAACGTACCTTGAGTCTCAATGTCACCAGCATTGGTCCCTTTCAACTCCCTGGCGAAAACAAAGGACTTGGAGAAAATTGAGCGTACGTAGATCTTGTTGAGAAAGTTCCATCTTGGTTCCGTCACCACTGGCACTCTAGATGGTACTGTATGCACAAAAATAGCAGGGACAGCAGTAGGAGACCCGCTTTCAGCATTTCATCCCTGGGCGTTGGTGTTAGCCTCTTGACTACTACACATTGACATCCCGAGGTACTGAAGAACTGCAGTGACTTATAGAAAAAAATAGCAAAGCCTCGTCAGGCGGCACAACGCTTATGTAATACATAAGATTGATGCGTAGTTCAGCCAATAATGAGCACTGCCGCATTATTGCCTGCGAGCCGCCCATTATCGAGCACTCATGATACTGCACTGACAATACTGCATGTTCCATCGACTGGTATGCGAAGGAGTGATTATGTGTGTGCGTCTCGTTTGTGTGTGTGTCGCGTCTGTGCGTGTGTGTGAGTTTTGTGTGTGAAGAATAGTTGAACAGATCCAGCGCCATAGAGTCGCGACACCTTCGCGACGGCCATTCAGACCAGTATGCTTCGAATGATATTACTCAATGCAAAGCTCGAGAGCGCTGCCGACCCTGCGAGGATTGATGAATTTGAAGCAGAAGGAGTCATTTATGTTCGCTCGACAGATACCATGGATGGCTCGTGGAACGGACTATTTCAGAAAACCGCGCATT